ATATGAGACTATACCACACCTCTATATTGCCACTGAGACCGAGGCCCCTGCCCTCTGCCTCTGTTATTTCCCTTTCGCCTCTTCTTAGATCCCTCTTCCATCTCTTTCCTTCCCTATCCTTCTCACTTACATAATTGAGGGATCAGAGGAATCTAGGAACACCCCTTTGATACTTTGCATTTCCTTATCCTGTTGTTTTATGTAACATATATTAGTGAATCCACCCAGTATTTGCCTTAGACTTAAAAGAAATTTAGTGTCTAGATCAACTCCTAGACACTGAATAAACATCTTCCATACAATTCTGAACATGGCCTTTAGCAGACATATAATTATTCTATACAAAGCATTGCTCTAAACTAACAGTATATTAATACTTTGCCCTTCTTCGACGCTTACGGTCTCAAAACATTACCCTTATCTTTGTTTAGTATTAATTGAACAGCTCAAGCTTGTAAAGTGGCTAGTTTAATACAGGAAAGATACTTTGCCAGAAACAAAAATATTCTGTTATTAATGGGAAGAAAACTGTTTCCTTTTTCTTATAAAGGACTGTTTCCTTGCCAAAGATTTGATAATGAAGATGTATCACATGCACAGTCAAGTAGTGTGGGTTAAAGTTATTTATGTTTTCATAAGATACTTTGGGGGGTTCAGAAGAGAAGTACAGCAGGTAAGGGTCTTGCATGTGGTTCATTCAGATTCAATTCACATCGCTGCCAGGTGTACCCCCCATCCTACCCAACCCTCCAAAAAAACGTTGAGTTTTTTTTAAAACTATACTTTGATAACTAAAACAAAGTATACTTTAAAACTATACTTTGATAACTTGCCGGAGAGCCCGGCAAGCTACCGAGAGTATTCGATATGCCAGACACAGTAACAACAAAGTCTCCGATGGAGACGTTACTGGGCCCGCTCGAGCAAATCGACGATCAACGGGAGGGCCTTTACTTTACTTACTTTACTTGATAACTAGAAGGCAACCTACATTATACAAGATTTCTTCATCCCCAGTTCTCCAAACTCTTCCCTTATGAGAAATGGAAAACTTGAATCAGATTGCTAATGAAAAAAATAATCCAAAAAATGACTAACTTTTAATGTGAAGGTGAGCTTATAGGGGGAGAGATGATTGTTCACAATTTCCAAACATAACAAATAGAATGATTCACCCAGTGTGGCTTGTTTCAAATATATGATCAGTCGATGTAGTTTGTTTTCCTTATATTTCCATTTTTTTCTATAAACAAAAAAGTATACATTATGTGTACAGTCACACAGATATAAAACATGCTATTTCTGTTTTGTGTAGCAATTGCCCTGGTTCTAGGCTTGAATCTTGATCTGTGAATGATTTCTCCAAGAAACTGAGAGGCAAACACTCGTGGATTGCAATTATTCCTGAGGTTATTCCAAAGACGGGAGATTGTTGTCAAGCAGTGCATTCTCGCCAATGTCAGCAATCTCTTGTCAAGGTTACATATCTTTAAACCTAGAAACCCTAAAATTTCATTATTTCATTAGTTCAAAGTGGTTTACGTTAGTAATAACTCCTACATTTAAGATGATATTTTAAATGTGTTAATGCGATTAATTTCTTAAATTTATAGAGATGAGAATCGTTTGGATGCTTTTGTCTGCGTAGAATAAGCACAAGAGCTGGACTATATTAACTGCTACATGAACTTTTTATTGCTGTAACTAATGATTTTCCAGGAAAAACAAAAAGGGATTAACATAGAGCATCAAACTTCTAATACTTTGTCTTTTGATTCTGTTTGACCATCAACAATGATGTAAGACTTGGAGAGAATATTTCCTTTCTGGGCCATGCTTACATTTTTTGTCTGCTATCAGTATATACACTTCACTGTGGTTTTTCTTTGAATGACTCTAGCAGCCCATAACCTAATGCTTTGCACAGCCTAAATGCAAGTGTTTGAGGCTTGTATTAGCAACAGTTCCTTTCCTGATCTAGTGGGAAACTGTTTTGTTTTGTTTTGTTTTTTAACAGACTTACTCTTGTGACTTTGCAATATATAGCAGAAATTAAAAATGTAAAAAAAAAAACCCTTCAAAGTTGATTAACTTATATTCTGCTTATTTGCAAGGAATTATTAGTGCACACAAATTTACACTCATTTACAAGCCTGTTATCATCCATGTTTATCTTTCATTAAAGTCAAATTAGATAGGGCAGGTATTTTTCCTCCATAAAGTATCATACAATGGTAACTCCTTTTTTTAAAATATAAATTCATTTCTGTTTACCAGGATCTTGAAGTCTTCCCATACTTTGTTTTAAAGAACAAAACAGGGAGAGCAGGAAAGTAGTTCAAAATGCTGAAACACATACTTTTCATGCTGGACCCCTGCGCTCAACCCCCTATACTGCAAGGTCAGATAAACGTGCAAGGAACGACACTTGAGCACAGTTAAGTGTGGCCCCCAAACCCAAAATCAAAAATAAAGTTGAGTTATTCGAAGTTTACATCCTTAAATTCTGTCTGATTCACACTTCTGATTAGTCCGGGTGCTTTATAATTAGCTGAAACTGACTTAGGTAATTAGTCTTGTTTTTTTTTTAATATAAAACGAATAACAATGGCTTGAATTATGGTTTATTGTCATTACTTACAATTATCACCAATTCACTTTTTATGTCATAATAATTACTAAATATAACATTTCATCTTAAAACAGTCGATCCAAATAAGTCAGCCAAAACAGCTATATTGTGCCACTGTATAGATGTTTGACTCTATGCATTTTTCACATGTCCTGGGACTCAGCACTTTCTAAACCCCACATCTGTTTGTTTCAATCTAATATTAGCAACTATATTGTTCTCCACACAGCTTTGGAAAGGCAGTGAGACATTGCTGGGAGGGAACAATGGAATCTGTCAGTTTACTGTAGAGCCATTTTCTACTGGGCGCAATTCAGATCTTTTTAGGTTTCAGAGTCTGTTAAAGATAAAGTCAAAGCGACAACATATCAGGAGGTTTGAAGCAGTGGAGTCGAAGACTCTGTAAAGCTAGTATTTGAAGCAACATCCATTTTGCTTTGTGAGAGCTCAAGTGGTAGAGCATGTGCCTGGCATATGGGAGGCAGTGATTTCAACCCTTGGTAAGGTTTGGCCACCCTAGGGGAATTGCTAAAAGTTTTTTAAAAGGGGGAAAGGGATGAATGTGTGAGTATTTCCTGCTCAAAAGAACCAAAAGAAGGCATCTTTCTGCCTCTGTTTGTACTAGAATGATGTTGCCAGACACAAGAGTCTACAAAAGACTGGTTCCACTCCTAAAACACAAACACAACCTTTTCAAACAAAAAAAGAACCATCCCATAATTTACACATCTATGTGACAAAAATTGTAAGATTACAAAAACAAGATTACCATTCCCAGGAAAACTTAGTTTATAGCAAAACATTCTCTTTCCAGGAACATTCCAAATAACCATAAATGTTTGTACTATTTGAAATCTGTGTTAAACTTTCATGGCACATTTATAAAAGTTAATGAGGTTAATATAGTTTTGCAAGTGAATATATTGTAAAGATTTCTGGTACTAATTCTGCCAAATGAAAAGACTTGGAAAGAGAATGATTTCATGTGTGTTTTGGTTTTCTTCTGTGACTTAGGAGAAAAGTCATTAAATGACATTGTAAAATTGAGGTAATGATTGGGAAACATGATCCGTAAATTTCAGAAATAATGTAGACCAGGAATGACCTCAGAGATAGAGCATTTGCTTTGTATGAGACCCTGGGTTCAATATCAGCAGCAACATGATGACAATGATGATGATGATGATGGTGATGAAGAGATCAACAACTAGGGCAGCAAAAACCCTAGAGTATGTTAGATCATTCAGGTATTTTCAGACTGATTCATGTTCAGGACTTTTATAATGTGTGATCCTTTCACCAATAAAGTGCAGATTCTTTTGTGAATCATTTTACTTGCTCTAGAGAGCAAAGACTTTAGTCTTTCTGAGACTACAAAATATTCTTTAAATACATAAAATCATCAGTTTTAGAAAAAAGTATCTTGCCTTTGATAATTATTCCCGGTTCCATGTGGAAAAATTTTATCATCACTTTCCAAAATCTAAATTTAGAACAATCAAATTTTAGAATTTGATTTTCATTACCAAAATAAAATTGGGGGAGAATTATAACCTGAATTTGTTAAAATAGTGGTATAGTTATTGACAAATTCTCATTTTCTATGTATCTATTTCCTCCATTTCTCAAATGAGGACAGTGTTATTGATACATCAACAAAAGAGAAAGCATATGTAAATTCTACCTGAGAAAATATAAGTAAAATAACTTTTTAAATCAAGTTTTTCTGACAAAATTTCTATATTCAAGTTTTATATGAGAATGTCTCAAAAGTTGTAGATGTAGAAGTCAGTAGTGGACATATATAAGACACAATGTTGGTATTATTTTATAGTATTTAAAAATGGTAAAGGCCCTCCTGTTGATCATCGATTTGCTCGAGCGGGCCCAGTAACGTCTCCATTGGAGACTTTGTTGTTACTGTGTCTGGCATATCGAATACTCTCGGTAGCTTGCCGGGCTCTCCGAGAGGGGCGGAGGAATCGAACTCGGGTCGGCCATGTTGGCTGCGTGCAAGGCAGACACACAACAAACCCATTTAATTCTCAGCACTGCATAAGGTTCCCCGAGCACACAGGCAGTAATAAACCCTGAGCACTGCTCAGCTTGGCCCCCAAAAGAAAATTAAAAAATAAATAAACAAATATAGCTAATTCCTTCCAAACTTTAATATTATTAGATGAATGTAGCACATAGTTATTTCATTTAAGAAATGTTAAAAGTTGTTCCCTAACACCTCCTTTAACCTTGCCATTAATTCGTATGGGATCAAGAAGCCTTTATTAACAATAACAATGCTATAATTTTGCTCTTTAATGGCTTTTTTGTGCATTGTGTGGCTCTGTGTATTTTGTCTGCCATTGTACAGGAGTTCAAACCCATTGGTGCCGCGCATAACAGAAGGGCCCAGCCTTTTGTTGCAGCAGCAAACATTGATGACAAAAGACAGGTAGTGAGTGCTTCCTATAACTCACCCATTGGGCTCTATTCAACTAGCAATATACAAGATGCACTTCACGGACAGCTGCGGGGTCTCATTCCTAGTTCACCTCAAAAGTAAGTATCAGATGCTCAAGTTTCTGCCCATGATGTCCTTAACAGCGATAAGAGCATCATTAATGCATTTTTCTTTACAAAGTCCAACTCTTGCTGTTCAATGTTTACTTTCCTGAAAGCACTGTCAGAGTTTTATTTTAGGCACAAGCATCTGGGATGTGGCTCTAAAGTTTCTCTTAAAGACAAGCATATGTGTGTGTTCTAATGTCCAATCAGCTGGTTCATATACGCCTAACGAACAGACTTGGTGCAAACAAAGAAGTACTTTGGCTTAAATCATCTCAGTTTAGTAATGTCAGTATCTGGTGGTAAATAACCTTCCCTATAGATCTTCTTCATGGAATTCTGTCTAAAAATTATTAATCTTCCACTGAGGGACCTTGTAATCCTTTGTTTTTTACAGGAGGTGAACTACTTTGAACACAAGCACAATATTCGGCCCAAACCTTTCATAATTCCAGGCCGAAGCAGGTCATAAACCCTGAGATTGTGATGTTTTAAGTGCATGGTTCTCTAATATTACCTTACTAACTGCCAAGAGTAACTTTTAGTTGTTTGGAGTGACTTTTCTCATTTTGAAGCTTATCTCAAAAGCGAGAGAAACTATTTCACTCAGCAGATTATAGTACCCATGTATCCTCCATTTCTAAAAGTATTGAAAAGACTCTAGAGTTGTGACATGTTATGAATCACCACATATATTTATAACTAACACCCTGCTGTTCTGAGAATCCCATCCAGAACATAGTGACCTTTGTGACAGGCAGGGGAATTCTATCCCAGTTCAGGAAAGCCCAGCTGGCAAGAATAGAAATGGAAACCAGCCCCAGTTAGGAGTCAGGACATTGGTGTGCACTCAAGGGAAGCATGATAGAGCCCCACGTATGTTTGACAGACGTTAACCCACCCAACTCAACTCCTTCTCACTGCACCATCAGAGCCACTGGGTAATCCCATTATAACTCTTACACACAAACAGATTTGTACTCGCAAAGGAGCAGAGAACACTGAAAGGGACCTTCCCACTTGGGGTCTGTAACTGTCACTGTCACTGTTCTCCCGTTGTTCATCATTTTTCTCAAGTGGGCCCAGTAACGTCTCTATTGTGAGACTTTTGTTGTTACTGTGTTTGGGGAGAAGGGAATTATCATGAAAAAGATGGAAGAGGGGAGATGTGTTGCCGAATGGTACAAACATTGGAATAATAATGAACAAGTTCTCAACTGAAATCTCTCAATCAAAGAAGCAAGATGATCTTTATATGATGGTTTTCAAGTATCATCTCTAGACATTGAACTCCAACCTAAGGGGAAAATACTAATGCCTTGTATTGCCACAACAGGAAATAGAGACTTTGAGAAACCGGAATTCCTTTCGACATCAGTCAGACAGATGGAGGAAGTTGTTAGTTAGACTGAGTTGATCCTAGCAAGTTAGGTTTCACCGAATCATGATCTACGTTTGTTGTTAAAGCTGATAGCCTATAGGTAAATTTTTTATGGAATATTTATGGAAATATTCCCAATATTTTATGGAAACTTATTTTTTTAATGTTATTAAGTGGCTTGGAGACATGTACTCTATAGCTTATGTCTAGGTCTGTCTAGGTCTCTGTCGTATGCAGCCCATCACAATATAGTGAGACCTTCCTGGCCATGGATGGTTAGGAATTTCTGAAAAAGGGCACCTGAATTTACAATGCCCACACTAACTGGCCAGTTGTTCTTGACTTATAATTTTTTCCCGTGTGCAGAGTTTCACACAGTTTAAGATGACCATTTTTAAATGGATTTTGTGATGTCAGACATAAGCAATAGAGTGGAAGAGTCAGGATATAGAAGCTAATGAGGCAGTGGTTCCCAAATGCATCTTTTGCCACTAAAATGAAGGCTCATTGTATCCCAGTACCTGCAAAGAGTCTGTACAGGGTAAATGCTCAATACTGCTCTTGGATAAGTGGTGAAAATGCCAAGAAAACCCAAGAGCATTTTCTGAATGGCATGAAGAATGAGGAGCCATTTGTCCAGGCGCTGCTTGCAGTCCTCCTTTCTTTACTTATCCCCTTGTTCTCACTCCATTTTCCTCTATATCCTCTCCCTGTATCTCCACAATCAACAGCTTCTCAACTTTACTCACTTACAATATAATCAACAACTTTAATAATATAGCAACAAAGATTAAAAGTTAAAATTATATTTCACTATTACACAAATGTATACTCAACTTGCTAAGGAAGTAGGGTGAAATTAACACAATGCATTCCTTTAATGATAGAATAAATATAATATCCCTAAGTTGTGCAATAGTACTTAAGATGTATATAATAAAGTAATATATTATACATCCGGCCTTTGCTTAAGACAGAAATACACATAATTTTATATAAAATCAGAGTCAGAATCTAATGCCCTTTTAATGTTTTTATTTTAATTTGTACATGATAATAACAAGCACTCCTAATTTTGTAATTGTGAGGCACATTTCCAAATAGTGAAATTTGGAAGAGAAGAGAAAAGAACACAGATGAGATGGTTTGTTTTAAAAACATATACTAGTGTACAGCGATTTTATAATTCCAAGGGATTATAAAACATTTCTAGTATCCTTCCATTTCTCCTCTACTCCCTTATTAGTTGCTCTAGCTTCTGAAATTCTTGTTCTTAACAAGCAGTTCTTCATCAAGGTGAAATTTCAAGTGGCTATATACCAAATAGTAGAGAATAATTTTTTAATTAGTATGGAGATGTTGGGCTGGAGCGATAGCACAGCGGTAGGGCATTTGCCTTACAAGCAGCCAACACGGCCGACCCGAGTTCGATTCCTCCACCCCTCTCAGAGAGCCCGGCAAGCTACTGAGAGTATCTCGCCCGCCCGGCAGAGCCTGGCAAGCCACCCGTGACGTATTCGATATGGCATTAAAAATAAGTCTCATGATGGAGACGTTACTGGGCCCACTCGAGCAAATCGATGAACAACGGGAGGACCATGACCATGGAGATGTTAAAAAGTGATATATTGATCTCCATAGGGTCTTACTAGTAGTTATGGATCTTTTAGTTATGACATAATAGTTGAATATTAAAAGTGAAGCATTTTCATATTCAAATATTTACATTTTTAAGTCTACACTATAAATAAGTATATATATGTTACATATATACACATGGCAATATTAGTAATGACGAGTGACAAATAATGTAATACAATCTTGCATGTGGCTTTTAGACGAGTCATGTCACTTTCAGAAGCATAATCTCAAGAGTCTGTATACCTGCTAAGGAAATTCATTTCTTGTCAAATGCTCTAACCAGAATTCAAGGCAACTGAATGTACCATTGACCTTCACTTGGTCCTGCCATGTCACAAAGCGAACCTGCATGAAATCTCATTAGTATCTACCTTTCCAGGGCACAGGAATGGGTCATAGTGACCCATGATGATGTCCAGAGTAATTAGAGTCTATGAAAGCTTTTATGAGATTCTAAATAAATTTTTGTTTTTGCTTTATGGGAAATATTATATAAATCCATGAAAAATGTTATATAAAAATGTAAGTCCATCAGAGGATTTTTAAATTTTTATAGAAATTTTAAAAAAAGATGATTTTTAATTGCTTAGGATTTGTTTCTCAGTGACATGGGCCCTAAGTAGAATTACAGAGAGATTAGGAACCAGAAGTAATAAAGATGCATACATAAACATGCATCTAAACAGTATCTCTAATAATAGAAAAATATTAACTGTAGCAATAACATTCAGTATTTTAACAGCACTACAAACTGCAACTACAGCTGAAATTTTACTTAATTCCTCTTACCAAATCAAGTCATCTTCAGGTGCCAGTGTATGTTGAGTAAAACTTGACGTTTTTGTGTAAACAAACAATTTGCAAATCGAGTTTTAAACAGAGTCTCGAGTCATGAAATGAAGGAGCAATTTTATATTTACTGCCTAATTTAGGCAATGCAGGAATTTAAATTGTATATCAAAAGAAAAAAGTTAATCCAATAGGTGACATGAGTTTTTCAGGCTATTTTGGCTGTAAAATTGCTGAAACCCATCAAATCTACATTCAGTTCCTTTCTAGGTTCTGTTCCTTTGATGATTCTTGCCCCAGAGAATAAATGCATGCATGTATAGATCCATGATTGGATGAGTTTTAAAATACATTGTGGCATTGAGAAAATACACCATTTAAATTGTTCTCTGTCTTGAGTTTGTATCAACACTGACAGTTATGATCAATGTTTGCATTAATACTAATATTTCTTTTGGCTTTTCCTCTATGACTGTGCCTTATTTTAAAACTCAGTGTATTCCACTTTTGAATAAGTTTAATTTCTTTTGCTGAACTTAAAATGCATGTTAAAAAGTTATTTATTTTTTTTGTCAAAGAAAGTGCCTTTTAGTATTGGCATGTCAGTTGTGTGTAGTGTTCTATCCAGTTTTCTGGAAATTAAAAAATCTTCTTAGCTGTTCATAAAATTGCACGACTGTACTCTGGTGTCTCCCTAACTCGTCCTTAAAAGGAACAGAGAAATATGCATGGAAATATTTCTGTGCTTCCAAAATTTTAAGTAAAACATATAAGTATTAAAGAAAAATATATTAGCCATAGATTTTATCCAAAGTCTAAGTTCACTAGTTATCCTCTACTCATTCATTTCAAGGTGAAAAGCATTTCTTGGCTGATTATAGAGTCTATTAAATCTCCAAAATGTTTAAAGTCTATGTGTCACCAAATTAAGGAATGGAAATTTAAAAAGTTAAACCGGTAACAATAAAGCACTTATAAAATAAAATATATTGTCACATAACCAAGTTAACTATTACTATTTGGTTAAGATCAACTGCATTCCTAAAGTGTTTAGACTATTTTATAGAATATTTGTGTTATAATTTTATTACACTTGTGCATAGTTATTCATTAATATTTTCATTTTAAATATTGCACTTCAGGAATGTAGAGGAAAACCCAGCCAATGTGATTTCCCTCTATGATTTGTCTATGACATAATCAACTTCAAAATAATTTGGCCTATTTTAAAAAGTGAGAACAATTGCATTTCCCTACTTATTTATATACAAACTCTTTATATTTATATATTTATATACAACTCTTTCTATGGATAATTCCCAATCTACTTATCACCACGTAGAAGAGAGCCAAAAAAATGCAATATCACCGTGCCCTGTAATTTTGTCAAATTTCTTTCAATCACGAATTTCTAAGTGTCTTCTCTCTTTAAAATCAATTCCAGACAATACAAAGCGTTTATTTTAATTTGTTGCAATTCACTTTTTCTTGTTGTCTTCAATTTCTTTTAACCTCTTTGTCCTTGTTCTCTGTGTTCTCCTGACTGGATTTTCCGGTTCCTGTGTTTTCTCTGTGGTCTGTAACACAGTGTCTGCAGTACTCCGTCTGGTTTTGACTGTGGCAGTGGACGGAGCACCCCTTCTTCTGTCAGTACTGTTAGTACTATTTGCCCAGGTGACTTGAAAGTTGCTGCTAAGCTGGCCCCTAACATTCCTTTGGAAATGGAACTTCCTGGTGTGAAGATTTTACATGCTCAGTTTAATACACCAATGCAGTTGTACTCAGATGACAATATTATGGAAACACTTCAGGGTCAGGTTTCAACAGCTCTAGGGGAATCATCCTCAATGAGGTAATTAATATGAGTCTTTTGAACCACAGGCATTTTATCTAACTCATAAGCAATGACAATTTTACTACTGTCTTTGTAACTCTGTCGTAATTGAAAAAAGAATCTATGGGAAAAGCCTTAAAGAGAAAAATAAAACATTAAGCACTTATTATAAATATCTAGGTTCTAGGTCTAATGGAAAGGATGGTTTGAATAATTAACCAAGGAAACCTATGACCAGCAGTGGAAGGATCAAATGCATATGTGTGTTTGAAAAGTTCTGGTGTATTATAAATGTGTGGAACAATACTTTTCAGAAGTGATTTATGATCTAAGATACTCTATGCTTCTCCTTTAGGGGTCAAAAATTGGAAAGGGGGTGGGGGATTCAGAGGAATTTTAAAAGAGTTGATCCTTTCCCCTCTCCTGATGGCATCTACTGGTGACGTCCATTTTTCCACTTAAATTTTTTGCCTTGAATACTGGTTTATAAATGAACACCTCACAACTATGAAAGCAGATATTTTATTTCCACTGATCTCTATTTTGACTATCTTCTTTTTTATTCTAAATATTTTTGGACTACTTTTGCCATAAATCTTTAAAGAGATTTTATAAAAAATGCAATTGCTTCTTTCAAAACCACTGCTTATAAATAAAAGTATATAATGTCTAACAGGTACATTATCACAATATCCTGGAGATAGCTCTTGAAATGATTACAACAAAATAATATATTGCACTGCATATTCCAAAGACATTTTATGAGCAATTTGTATGTATATGATTACAATGTTATATATAATAAAATATATTAATACAGAAACTACTTTGCTAGGTAGTACAATTAAAAGACGGTCCACAGTCCTCTGGTTGTTCATCGATTTACTCGAGCGGGCCCTGTAATGTCTCCATCATGAGACTTGTTGTTACTGTGTTTGGCATATCGAATACGTCACAGGTAGCTTGCCAGGCTTTGCCGCGCTGGCGGGATACTCTCGGTAGCTTTCTGGGCTCTCTGAGAGGGGACAATTAAAAGACAATTAAAATAATAAAGCACAATTAAAATAATAAAGCATTTAGTGCCTGACATGCAGAAGCATTGTGGCATTTTTATTTCTCATCATATGTTTGTATTAAGTATATAAAATAAAGTTGCCATCATTTTTGTAAATGAATTATATTTTAAAACGTAGTTAAAATAAAATAAATAAAATGTAAAAGATATATAAAGATAACAGATTGTGAAGGTTCCTACATACTGTGCTTTCCAAACCCAACAAGTTGAATTTCCTCTGTTGACAAGAAAAATGATGCCATTTTTGTTTCTAGGCATTAACAGAGCAAGTTAATCATAAAAAAATTAAATTATATACTTTTAGTTTAATATAATCAATGAATCTGAATTTTATTGACAATTTTGACAGAATAATCAAATTGGATTCATTTCTACACGGTTATATACTGTGTTGACTTTTTTCTGAAAAAAGTTCATTTCATTCATGTCTATAAATAAGAATCCATCGTACATCTTCTATTTAAGTAACATTTCCTAACAAGTCACATTTAGTTGCTCTCCAAAGTATTTTGGCTACCAAGTAGAGACACGTAATAACAAAACTTCTCTTAACATCTATATCTAAGGCAATGATGTGGGTTCCCAGTAATAGAGTATTTAATAGAAGTTGCAAATACTTTTATATAAAATATGATGTTCAACTAAAATAGTCATATGAAAATATCGAACCTCCATTTAGGAGTTGCTGCAAAATAGTGTGATCATTGCGTATGAAAGAAGTCTTGTGGCTTCTTTCATGTCTGGGGTGTCACAAAACGTTCCTGACCTGTTTGTCCCACCCTATTGGGTTTCAGTGAGCCTGCAGCTTCTGTGCCCCCACAGTCGGATGTGTACCGGATGCTACACGATAATCGCGATGAGCCTACTCAGCCTCGCCAGTCAGGCTCCTTCAGAGTGCTCCAAGAACTAGTGAACGATGGTGAGTAGTTTCCAAGTGTCTCTCCCAAACAGGATAGGTGGAGGCTGCTGAGGGTGGGGAGGCTACAGACACACCGAAAGGGAGAGTCAAAATCTGGTTGTCATGAGTGATCCAAAGCATCTTTGCTCAGGAGGATTTGGATAGTGCCATATTCTGGAAAGACACTTCCCAGATGTGCTTAAGTAGTTACTAACTTAATAAAAGGTAAAAGGTAAAGGCCCTCCTGTTGATCGTCGATTTGCTCGAGCGGGCCCAGTAACGTCTCCATTGGAGACTTTGTTGTTACTGTGTCTGGCATATCGAATACGTCACGGGGAGCTTGCCAGGCTCTGCCGTGAGGGCGAGATCCTCTCGGTAGCTTGCGGGGCTCTCCAAGAGGGGCGGAGGAATCGAACTCAGGTCGGCCATGTTGGCTGCGTGCAAGGCAAACGCCCTACCGCTGTGCTGTCACTCCAGCCCAACTTAATAAAAGGGCACTAAAATCAAATTCTATCCATGGGAGTCAAAGTCTCCCTAGGCTTGTGTACCATGTAATAAGTTGTAAATAGATGTTGTAAAATTTCCCAGCCTTCTCACAATAACCAGCATATCTTTGTCATGAAAATGTTTAAAAGAATGCTGGGACAAAACAGTACCATATTCTAAATCCAATGCTAATTTTTTTACCTCCGTGATCACTTAATTCTTCTAATTATTCAGTAAGGGACCTGGGAAATAGGGTAGGGGTATGAACTTCCCCCCCCCAGCCCCAACCCACTCCACCATTTGATGACCAGCACTCCATGCCCCCTGCCCCCACCAAGCATTACTGGGTGTAGACCTGGTGGTGCCAGAGCACTGCTGGGATGGCCCTGATGGCCACAAGCACCGCCATAGTGAACTGTGGGGCTCAAACAGTCCCCAAGCCCTGGGCCCTAACATTGAACCAGGTGGGTTAAGTCATCAGAGCAGTTTCAGGACTTCTAATGGCTAGGAGGCTCACCTGGACCCATCAAAACATAGTAACTCAGAGAAGTGGGAGCTATTTTCCCCAGTTATCAAATGAGAAAATGAGACATAAAGAGGGTGGATTGCTACAAAGTCATATTGCAAGGACTTGAGGATAGTACAATGGGTAGGGCCCTTGCTTTGCATACTCCTGACCTGGATTTGATTCCTAGCATCTCATGTGGTCCCCTGAGCACAGTCAGGAGTAATTCCTGAGTGCAGAACCAAGAGTAACCTCTGAGCATTGCCATTTGTAACACCCCCCCCCCCCCCGCCAAAAAAAGTCACATGGGCCAGTAAGAAACAGAGTTGGAACTTCTCTCCACTCCCGGTTCCTACTTTTACTCGTGTTTTTCCACCTGTCAAGAAAATTAAATGTTCTGGGTTGGAGTACTAGTACAGCAGGTAGTGTACTTGCCTTGTGAGCAGCTGATCAAGGTTCAATCCCCTGCACTCTTTATTGACCTTCGAGCTTGCCAAGAATGATCCTCGAGCACAGAGCTGGGAGTAAGCCCTGAGCACCACCGGGTGTGGTCCCAAACCAAAACCAAAAATAATCATAATAATAAGTTGTTCTTTAAAAGCCATACAGAATTGCAAAGTGTACTGTTAGAATAGTTATCAAAAAATGAAGAATAAGATTTTGTAAGCATGTGGGAACACAGAAGTCCTGGTATATTGCTAAGGAAGTATAAGATGATCCAGCCCTATGGAAAACAGTATGTTGGTTCCCAGTAAGGGTAAAGAGAATTACCCTGTGTTCTATAACATCACTCCCACATGTGGTGCCCTGAATTGAAGTTGGTGAAATAGACATTTGCTCACCAATGTTTATAGTCATTTTGCTCATGAGAGTCCAATTGTAGAATCAACCCAAGTGTCCAGTGATAGATAATGGGTCAACTGATAGTGACAGGTCACTACCACTATCCTCCCATTGTTCATCGATTTGCTGGAGCCGGTCCAGTAACATTGTGAAACTTGTTACTGTGTTTGGCATATCGAATACATCACGGGTAGCTTGTCAGGCTTTGCCGTGTGGGCGAGATACTCTCGGTAGCTTGCCCGGCTCTCCAAGAGGGGCACAGAAATCAAACTTGGGTCAGCCATGTTGGCTGCTTGCAAGGCGAACGCCCTACCGCTGTGCTACTGCTCCAGCCCCATGACAGATCAAATAAACCTTAATCAACTTTGAAAAGAAATAAATTTCTGACACATGCTCTAGCATGAATGGGAGTGTGAAAATATTGTGCTTTTTAAGACACGACACAAAAGCACATAATGTATAATATTGTGTATAATATTATGTATAGATTTACACATACTATACATTCATGTATAATATTATACTATTAACATAAATATTTTTATATTATTATGTGTAACATAATAGTATAATATTGCGCTTTATAAAGTATGGCACAAAAGCACATAACATATGATTATTTTTGTATGTGCTCTCTAAGCTAGTTAAATTCACAAATGCTACCAGGGATTGGAGGGAATAAGAAGTTATTATTTAATGAATTTCTATTAGAGTGGGGCTGGAGCGATAGCACAGTGGGTAGGGCGTTTGCCTTGTGCGCAGCTGGCCAGCTGAGCCGGGTTCGATTTCTCCGCAATTCCTCTGCCCCTCTTGGAGAGCCCAGCAAGTTACTGAGAGTATCTCGCCCGCATGGCAAAGCCTGGCAAGCTACCCGTGACGTATTCAATATGCCAAAACACAGTGACAGCGAGTCTCACAATGGAGATGTTACTGGGCTCGCTCGAGCAAATTGATGAACAACGGGAGGACAGTGCTATTAGAGTGATGAAAAAGTTCTGAAAATGGGTACTGGTCATGGTGGTGTGACATTTGGGAATATAATTAATGCCACTGAATCCCTTAAAATGGTTCAGATGGTAAGTCTTAAGGTTTATCTAGTCTGCTTTATAAAAAGGGGGAATAATAGAAAATGTTCTCCGCCCCTTTGAACATTTTCTAACAGCATCCTAATTCAAGAAATATTGAAGGAATTCTGTTTTGTAAGGCCCTGTCTCTGAACTAGTTGCACTTAAGCGAGTCTGACTCACTTTGAAATGTGAGTACAGGTGCAGTGTGAGAATTCCTTAGGTTAAAGCACACACCCATAAAATGGAAGCAAAATGCAGGCTGTGGCCAGCTGTCCCCTCGCCATAAATGGAAGCTCTTTGTTTTTCAGATGACCGTCCCGCTGGAACGAGGAGTGTGAGGGCGCCAGTGACAAAAGTGCACAGTGGGGCTGGCAGCGCCCCAAAGATGCCGCTCTGTGACAAGTGCGGAAGTGGCATTGTGTAAGTGCTATTCTCGCAGAAACTCGCTGCACATCTTCAGAGCCCTTCTTGGTTTCTGTTCATGAGCCAGATTGGTACATTTTCACCAGAATCCCTTAGATGTACCCGAAAATTGCCTTATAAAGTGAGTGGGCAATTCTTGGCTATAATTTCACTTTTTTCCCCCACCGAAACACTTGCCCCTGAAGCATGTTTAAAAAAAAATCATTTCTAGTGATTCAAGAGATAGTACTGAGGGTAAGGTCCTCGCCTTGCACACAGATGGCTCATTTGATCCCCAGTGCCCAGGACAGAATATGGTCCCCTGAATCCCACCATGAGTGATCCCTGAGCACTGAGCTGGGCATCACCTAAAACGCAGTCTCCCCATCACCCCCCCCCCCCCGCAATTTTTTTCCTAAGGATTTTTAGCTTCACTTTTCAAAGTCCTCCCTTTGTTCACACCCACTGGAAGACTTTTTGTCTCTAATAAACCCATTGAAACATAGGCCATGCAGTTGTAGACTTTACCCAGTTTCTTATGTTGCATAAATATTGAAATAATTTTTTTAAATACCGATATTTTTCATTTCAAGCAATGTTTGAGTAGCCACACTTTCTAGTTCAGATCTCTAAGTGACCCAGACTGTCGAAGCTTCTCTATGGCATGTCCCCAAGTGGCCCTACCTCCCACCTCTTGTCTGGGTCCTACCATTAGCTCTCTGAGGGGAGGTATGTCCAATTTCTAGGATACATCCCAGGGAGGTCATGGAAGATCAGCCTGGTAAACAGGGCACGTTGGGAAGGAAAGGAACAGCAGAACAGGGAATTCAGGAGCAGGAAGGACCTCCAATGAGGGTGCCTGGTGCTGGGACCCGAGAGTCGGAACTTCCTCTCTGTTTTTTTTCTTTCTTCTGTTCTCCTAGAGACTTATCCATCAAGGTAGAAAGCAAACAGAGTGAATTCATTCTAGCTGTGGCAGAACCCTTTGAAGAGGTGCCTTTCTTGTTTTTAAAGGCCCCCTCTTTCAAAGAAACAATGAGAAAAAATCCATGCAAATCCCATCACCCTTCTCTAAACACCTCATTGGAAGGGTCTGAAATATTCACACATCCACATGGCAGACAATCGCGTGGTTTATTATGATTATCTAGGATCTCCTAGACAATTATGCATGCCACATCTGCTCCGATTTTTACAACAGGGACGCTATTGAGTCCCTGCGCAGGAAAGGGACACAGGAAACCCCCATGTCGGGTGTGCCTCCTTCTTATGGCGTGGAATCATGTGTATTTTTTGGTTTTTTGGTTGTTTTTTTTTTTTTTTTTTTTTTTTTTGCTTTTTGGGTCACACCCAGCAATGCACAGGGGTTTACTCCTGGCTTTGAACTCAGGAATCACTCCTGGTGGTGCTCAGTGGACCATATGGGATGCTAGGAATCGAACCCAGGTCGGCTGCGTGCAAGGCAAATGCCCTACCCACTGTGCTATCTCTCCAGTCCCTCGTCATGTGTTTTCACTTGGCCTGGTCTCTTTCCCCACAGGGGGGCCGTGGTGAAGGCCCGGGACAAGTACCGCCACCCAGAGTGCTTCGTGTGCGCCGACTGTAACCTCAACCTCAAACAGAAGGGCTACTTCTTCGTGGAGGGAGAGTTGTACTGCGAAACCCACGCACGCGCCCGCACGAGGCCCCCAGAAGGCTACGACACAGTTACCCTCTATCCCAAAGCCTAAGTGGGATGCAGGCAGGAGATCGCAGCTCGGGGAGTCATCCCCCACACGCTCCTCTAGGGAAGACAAGCTGGCGCAGTGCAGCAGGGCCACAGAATGTGGACCTTCCATCTAAATGCAAGGCTCTTGGATGTCGTTTATCTGATTCTGCACGGAAGAAACCTCGCTCCAGCAGACCGCAGCATACACTTAGTTCTCGTTCGCCACCCTTTTCTCTTTGGCATTAGCAATAACGATGCATGTCATTTAAAGCAAGGCCCTTTTTTGTCTGTCATAGTTTAGATTTACATCATGACCATCAAACATGTAAACATCAAGCTATGGGGGGTGGGGGGACGCTGTCGACTTGTCTCATTGTCTTTCTTTAAGTTGATTTTGCAATTGTAGTAAATACCCAATGACAAGCTTGTTTTCTAACAGAATCTACAGTTGCCTGTTGCCTGGTTTAACATTATAGTGCATGCCAGGGAGAAGTCCCCTTGATTTCTCCCGCTTTCATTTTCAATTATACCATTGGCTGCAGTATACAGAATAAACATATAAAACCTTTTTAAAATACTTAATGGAGTACTTATTCAATGAATTCTGGCAAAATCAACATTCCACTGAGAAGATTCAGTCATATTTTGACAAGTCCTCTAGCATTTTAAGCAGCGTGTGGCTAAGTTAGTTTTTACATCACATTTATAATTTCTTTCTGAGCCCACAATTCCTGATGATAGGAAGGGCATTTCAATTTGCTGAAGTCAATTCTACATCTTTTGGATTAAAAGAGTTTCTTTAGGGGCTGGAGAGATAGCACAGCGGGTAGGGCGTTTGCCTTGCACCTGGCCGACCCGGGTTCGATTCCCAGCATCCCATATGGTCCCCTCAGCACCGCCAGGAGTAATTCCTGAGTGCAGAGCCTGAGTTAACCCCTGTGCATCGCTGGGTGTGACCCAAAAAGCAATAAATAAATAAATAAATAAGTAAAATAGTGTCTTTAGTTTTGAAAGAGTCTCATTTTCAATGTCCATCATGGGGCATGAAAGATAGTCCCAGCTGGTAAGGCACCTTCTTGCCTTGCATGCAACCAACCTGAATTCAATTCCTGCACTACCTCTGTTCCCAAGCTCCACCAGGAGTGGCCCCTGAGTGCAAAGCCAGGAGTGAGCCCTGAGTATAGATGGGCGTGGCTCCAAAATCTATGGATATGCCGGGTTACCAGTCAAATTCTAAGTTTAGGCCCCATTAAAGTTGTTTCTTTGGTGGGGCTGGAGCAATAGCACATCGGGTAGGGCATTTGCTTTGCACGTGGCTGACCCGGGTTCAATTCTCAGCATCCCATATGCTCCCCAAGCACCGCCAGGAGTAACTCCTGAGCATTGCCGGGTGTGACCCCCAAAAGCCAAAAAATGTTGTTTCTTCGGACTCAAAGGTCCATCACCCCACTCCATTATGATGTCTCCAAGAGGTGACAGTTCAGGAACTTCAGGAGGAAGGGAGTAGCTGCTGGTGCCTGTCCTACTTGCTCCTGAAATCCTTGGTTTTACTCTCTGTGGGTTTTGTGGTGTAGCTGGGATTAGACAACAGTCACCTCCAGCACTGCCTTGGAAAGTCTCCACCCCGCTTCCCTGGGGTAGGGAATCTTTAAGTCTCAGACCTACACCAGAGCTGGCTACTGGCTCTGCTTTGTCATCTTGCCTCACTGTGGTGGCCCCCTGGCAGTAGCCGTTTATATTCTCCATATTTTCCCACGCTCCCCACAGGAGACAGAGGGGACCTTATGTACTCGATTCTGTCCAATACACATGCTGAGGCAGCAGAGGGGTGAGGAGGTGGGGACTGTCTCTGCACTCTCTCGCCATCTCCTCACTGCATCCCTTGGGAACTGTTCCCCCCTCCCCCCTTCCATCTGGAACAAGTGTTCTTCCTTCTTCCTTTGTCCCAAGAGGAAAATGAAAAAAAAAATGGTACTGCTCTCAAATTCTCACAAACTCAACTCTTTCTGATCCTTGGGCTGTCCTGCAGAATGCCCTTCCAGGCCTCAGCAATTGCAACAACACCCACTGCACCCTAACATAAATAGGGAAGCCCTGAGACCCAAAAAACGATGAATGTATCCTTCTCCCCGCATTCACATATACCTTGCACCCAGCAGAAGGCTGCTAGGCATTGTCTGGGAAAAGAACAGAATCTTTGAGCTACAGTCAGGAAGCATACAACTGAGTATATGTTTGCCATTTTAAAAGGAAGTTAACAAAATGAGAGAGGGGCATGGGGGGTGTCTGCCATACTGCCATAGAAGTAAGATGGGGTGGGGGGGGGAAGTTGGGGGCTGGTGGGAGGAAAACTGGGGACATTGGTGCTGGAAATGTGCCCTGGCGGAGGGATGGGTGTTGGAACATCGTGAGACTGAAACCCAACCATAAATAGCCTTGTAACGCTCTATCTCACAGTGATTCAATTAAAACAAAATATTAAAAAATAAAAGAGCTGAAATTGAGTAAGAATAAAATATTTATGAGGAACGGGTGGAGCACACACTTGGGAGTTCAATCCCGGGCATTGCATTGCTGGATGGAGCTCTGATGGTCCCTAGTGCTGTGCCCTGGGTTCAGCTGGACCTTTTCACTCCCCACAACCAGAACAAGTATTGCTGGGCATTGCTCCCAGAGTACTGCTTGAGAGACCCCAACCAAAAAAGAATTGAATTTTATGAACTATGAACTCAATAAGTATTAAAGAGTTGTTTTGGGCTGGAGCGATAGCACAGCAGTAGGGCATTTGCCTTGCACGCAGCCAACATGGCAGACCCGAGTTCGATTCCTCCGCCCCTCTCGGAGAGCCCAGCAAGCTACTGAGAGGATCTCGCCCGCTCGGCAGAGCCTGGCAAGCTCCCCGTGACGTATTCGATATGCCAAGCACAGTAACACAAAGTCTCCAATGGAGACGTTACTGGGCCCGCTCGAGCAAATCGACGAACAATGGGAGGGCCTTTACCTTTACCTTTTGTCCAAGTAAACACACGCTAGAGTTCTGCACTCTGCAATAGGGTGGCTGACTGAATAAAAACCAGTCCCAGACACTGTTGCCTGTATTTGCACCTGTGCAAGCAGAGTTACTCTCAGTAGTAATGTCACACACCATTTACTCGTCTCTACAAGAGATGATCTAAAGTCCTCAACAACAGTCCATGGAACGGAACCAGTCCACAGCTGTGGGAAGGTTGAAAACAACTGTTCCACTGCCTTGATTGTAACTGCCGGTTCATGGACTGGTACCAGGACAGGTGCTGACCAGCTGGTATAAAATGGTTGAAGACTGATGGTCTAACATTTACTCACATGGGAACAATCTATAGTAAGCTGAACTCTGCAATGAACAACTTAAAAAATTTAAAAGTTAAAAGTTATCATGAACTGGATTAGAATTCTAGGAATCTGCTACTTTTAACCATTAACCTTTATTATCATGTTATCTTGGTTTAAGATTCTTTGTCTATGCAGAGTCATCTGAATTGATTTTGCCTTGTTTTGCTTAGGAGTCATGACAGTTGATGCTCAGGGGACCCCCATTTTAATGGTCAGGGGACCATGCAGTGCAAACATCATACCCAGGATTCCTGACATCTGAAATTCAAGCGTGAAAAAATAACAAAAGCAAAATAAAAGAAATGTTTAAAGGTGGCGGGGGGAGGGTGGTGTTGAACTCAGTGATGCACTGAATTCAATATCTGGGTTTGAAAAAATTAGGGCCAGAAAGATAGTAGAGGGGGGGGTTAGAGTGATAGCACAGCGGGTAGGGCGTTTGCCTTGCACGCGGCCAACCCAGGTTCGATTCCCAGCATCCCATATGGTCCTTGAGCACTGCCAGGAGTAATTCCTGAGTGCAGAGCCAGGAGTAACCCCTGAGCATCGCTGGGTGTGACCCAAAAAGCAAAAAAAAAGATAGTAGAGGAAGCGGGGCAATTACTTGCACGTGGAAGAGCCCTGTCTATCACTGCCTCTATGTTTAGTTTCCTAAGCACCGCCCCAAGACACTCCTGAGCACAGTCAGAAGAGTCCCCCCGAGCACCACTGACTGTATACAGTCCTAAAGCAAAATCAAAGAAATTTTTTAAATTAAGAGTGAGAGAATTCAGGGGGCTGGAGCGATAGCACAGCGGGTAGGGCGTTTGCCTTGCACACAGCCAATATGGCCGACACAGGTTCGATTCCCCGCACCCCATATGGTCCCCTGAGCACCGCCAGGAGCAATTCCTGAGTGCATGAGCCAGGAGGAACCCCTGAGCATCGCCGGGTGTGACCCAAAAAGCAAAAAAAAAAAAAGAGTGAGAGAATTCAGATAATTCAACTAAGTAAATGAGCCCTCTGACAATGTCTATTTCACTCCAACCTTTATTCATTTGAGCACCTACCAGGGAAGCGTTGTCATATACTAGACATAGAAAAAGGATTATTTAATTTTGTGTCTAGAATTTCAAACTGGCATTTTATAGCAAATTAACACGATTCATTGTTCTATCCTAGAAGCCAGATTCGCCAAATATATTTTATTCAATGTAGATATCAGCTCCAATATTTTGTGGTCTTTAGAAAAAAAAATCTTTAAAAAATGAAAAAGAAAAATAGGAGTATGCAGTCTGTTTAGAAGTCGCTTCGAATAGACTCGACTTGCTTTTGTGCAATGCTCTTGATTCTGCTCAGATTCTGGTATCTACAGCCGAAAAGAGATCAACAGGTGACTCCCCTAAGAGGAGCTGCTGTTCCGTTTCTTCGGAAATTCTCATACAGATTTTAATTCCATCCGTCAGCAGCAGCCCTCGCCAAACCAAAGAAGAAAACAAGGCGCGTGGCGTTTATTATTGCACATGGAGGGGCTTCTCACGGCCGCAACCCAACGCGCTTTCAAGAGAAACGGTCTTGGCGTCCCTGGTTGCCAGGCAACGGGGGTCGCGGCGGCGGCGCCGGGGAGGGATGCTCTGGTCCAGGCGGTCGGGCCGAGCGCTTTGAGCCGCGGGAATGAGTCCGGGTAAGAGTCTGCCGGGGGCTACGCCTTAGGGGGGTCGTGGGAAGTCGGTGGATCCTGGAAAGCGCCTCCTCGGACCCCGGGCCCTGCAGCCCCCGGGCCCCTGGACCCCGTTGGACCGACCGCGTCCCCCTGCCCAGCTCGGGGAGCAAAGCCGCGCTGTCCTGCCCGGTCCGCCGCGCCCCCAGCGCGCCCCCCAGTGGCCGCCGTGGGACCGGCCGGCCCGAATCTCCTCGCCGCCCCTCAAACCCGGCGCCGCGTGTGGTTCAGTTGCAGAGAAGCAGCGGGAGCAGGAGGATGACGTCGAGTGCGTCCTGCTGTCGGCGTCCAGGATCCTCAACCCCTCGGAGGGGCTGGAGAGCGGATGCGGTGAGCCAGGTGAGCCACTCCCCAGGGCCCAGGTACATTTGGACTGCAGGCAAGTTTGGAGGTGACTGTTCTGTCCCCTCTTTATGCGCTCCTGTCCAGACTCCCTCGACACCCAGTGAGCCATTCATTCCCCAAGAACACACCAACAGAATGGTAAGCTGGTTCGTTTAGATAATAGCCAGTGCAACTAATCTTAAGGGGGGCATATAAATATGTTTATATATATTTTAACAGATATATATATATAAGCACAGAAGGCTGAACCTTGAACATCTTACTGATCTCTTATGGAAGGGCTTAATGACCTCTGTTGAAATAGGACAATCTCCACACTCCTCTACGGATACTTTTGTGTAGAATTTTTCAGTGGTTTTTCATAACGAACAATACAAAATACATGATTTCGGTTCTGCTTTGGGGCAGGGATTGGGTTTCGGAATGGAAACATCCGAAATACGGTGGTGGGAAGGTGTGGCAGTGGTGGGATTGGTGTTTGATTATTAAATGCGATCAAATATTGTGAACTACCTTATAAAATAAAAAAAAATTAAAGATAAATAGCCAATAACCAAAGCTATATCATATTTCTTGGCTTTGAAAGAGCACACCATTAGCCTAACTTACCCTTGACTTATTGGGTGGGAGTATAGGTTTGAAGCTTCAGGACCTCCAGTCTATTTTTCTTGGCAATCCCCTTCGACCCAAGCCTGCTGGCTTGCCTTCAGCCTTTCTTCATCATCGTTTTTGAAAGCCTTCTACGGTTAAGTGCTTTTCTAGGAGCTGAGGACCCAACAGTCAAATAAGCAAATTATGTGAATTGACCTTCCTGTGGGAGGAACAAATAAAGGATATAGTGAGTGGGATTAGCGTGAATCGATGGAGAAAGATAGGCAGAGAAAGGGACAGGGGAACATATGGTGCATGTGAGTTGGGTGGGGACCAGCTTCTTATATCAAAGAGATGAGGTGCCTCTGAGCTGGTCATATCCGGGACCCCATGGGTATGGCGTCATCAAGGCAGATTTCTATGGAAAGAGCAGAGAGACAGTGCTCCAAAGTGGGAAGCTGGCTGGCAGGTCTGAGTAACACACACCTAGTGTATCTGGAGCAGAAGGTGGAAGAGAGGGAGAGGAAAGGGTTCGGAAAGGAAATTGGGGAGGAGATTTTAGTTCATGTAAGAATTGAGGGTTTTACTATGAGCACATCGGGACAGTTGCAGCATTTGTTTTTATTAACAGCGATTTGAAAGTGTTTCTAGATTTTAGGGCCACAATGCTACCATATCACACCCACCCCCCCAAAGTGCTAATATCCCTCCATCACAGCTAATCTCTCCTCTACTCCAGCACTGCAAAGCCTCCTTTCTATGGTCAGTCTTCGGGTTTTGTTTTTCACTGGATATTGACAATTACCTTGCTTTGTTTCCTTATAGCCCACCTATGAATGAAATCATCTGGGACTTGTTTTGCTCCTTTTCTTTTATTGAACATTGTATTAACATGACACTCCTAAATTCCATCCATGTTGAAAAAAAAAAAGGCAAGATTTCATCTTTTCTTGTAGCTCATTCGTTTTCCATTGTGAATATGTAACACAACAACTTCATCTGTTTATCTGCTTTGGGGCACTTGAGTTGTTTCCAGAGAAGACTGGAGACTTAATTATTCACCACCCTTCCCCTCTACCTTAATAAGAATGGTCAGATTTGCTGGATCATTATACTGATAATACCATTCCCACCACAATGATTAAATATTTATTGAGCATTTAATATGTGCCCCGCAGATTATGCTGAGCACTGAGTCCATAAATAAGATTCAGGGCTCTTGAGTTGCTCTTCCTTCATGGTGAATAGGGGCAAAGCTAAAATTCCAGACTCGGTAACCTTACTTCATAACAGTCAGGCAGAATGGTGCCCCTCGCCGAACTCTGTAAAATGCTATTCTAGAAATGAACATGATTGTCGTGGCAAAACTCTGTATTTGTCCCTGAGTATTGTAAATTTTTGACCAAGGAGTTTCCTAAACCCTTTGTGAACCCTTTGTAAATCCATATTGCATGCTTAAAACTCACGTGTTAGCTACAGAAATGCATGTGATACTCTCTGCACTGACTGGAGTGATAGCACAGCGGGTAGGGCGTTTGCCTTGCACGCAACCAACATGACCAACCTGAGTTCGATTCCTCCGCCCCTCTCGGAGAGCCCGGCAAGCTACTGAGAGTATCTCGCCTCCACGCCAAAGCCTGGCAAGCTACCCATGACGTATTCTATGTGCCAAACACAGTAACAACAAGTCTCATGATGGAGATGTTAGTGGGCCCGCTCAAGCAAATCGATGAACAACGGGAGGACCGTGACCGTGACTCTCTGCACACGTTGGCTACGTCCATCTTTGCCTAGGCTTCCACCTTCAGCATAGATGCTCTGTGTTTTATGCATTATTACTTATAAAAAGTCATGCTATTGATGTCTTGTTTTTCACTTCTGACACTCAAATAAGAAACAGCTGGAGAATTTAAGTGTAATATGAGTAATATTTAGATAGATTCGAATTATCTCTCCTTTCCTGACCTCCATTACCTAATTTTGGGGAAAAATACAATGACCCTGAAACTGTATTTCAAGAGGAGTAGGGCAGTGGCACTCGAAAAGACATTAAGAGAAATTATCTACACTTTGTAAAAGAAAATAGGAACCCTGAGCAGAGATAATCAAGTTAAAAATAAGCATTAAGCAGCATAACTACAATCAAAGTGTAGCCGCCAACAAAAGGGAAGTTGGGGCGGGGAAATAAATGTAAAAGGAATTTATAAATCCATTATATGAGGGTAGGATATTACCGGGGTTCAGGTACTTGCATTACGTGATCCCCAGCACTCCATGTGACCTCCCTGAGCACTGCTAGAAGATGCCTGAGCAGAGTCAGAAGCCAGCACTGAGCACTGCCAGATGTAGATCAATCCCCCCCCAAAAAATAAAAATTAAACCTATTTATAAAATATTTCCATTTACTATGTTCCTGGGCTATATCTTTTGATTTGGGGGAGGGGGTCCCTTGTTTCTTACACTGCCTTGATAGATGCAATTCTGGATTTGACCTTGAACTAGCCAGTGCTTCCTAGGAAACAAAGGAAACCTGTCCAGAAGAAGGAAGCTGTTGCTGCTGGTGCCGGAAAGAGACGTTTTTTTGCAACATAAGTCCACTAAGAATAAAGTTGAAGCCCAAAATATTCATCAACATAGCATCCTAGCTTCATATAAACAGCTTTATAGGAATCATGGTCCCGGGTCTAAAAGGAGGCATCATGCAACTTTGCCTTGGGAAAATAACATGAGTTAAAATCATGACAAGTGGGGAGATATGGGAGAAAAAACTGGTACTTTCTCCTAATGTATTATTCTTGACAGGAGCAGATCAACAGAAATGTGATTAAGTATAAAAATCCCAATTTTCCAAAAAAAAAAATCCCAATTTCCTAATTCATTCCATTACTTTCATTAGCTGATAACTTTTTTAAAATAATTTTATTGGATCACCATGAGATAGTTACAAACTTTCATGATTACGTTTCAGTCATACAATGATTGAGCACCCATCCCTCCACCACTTAATCACTTAATCACTTAACTTCCCGTTAGTCGTCGATTTGCTCGAGCGGGCGCCAGTAACGTCTCCATTTGTCCCTGTCGCGTGCTAGTGTAGCCCAATGGCATTCCTTCCCATCCCTCCACCAGTGCACATTTTCCACCACCAATGTTCCCAGTGTCCTTCTCGTCACCCCTACACTATCCGACCCCCTGCCTTTGTGGCAGGTTCCTTCCTTCTTACCATTGACTGATATCTTAACTTTGAAATAATCACTCATGCAGTGACAAAAATCTCTGGCACTAGTACTCAGGGGTTAGAGCAGAGGTCTTATGAAAATAAAAATATGCACGAGTCAAACTGTATTTAGCAAAGTCTCTAGTTTGTAGCAAAATAAATATAAATTCAAAGCTGTTGTTTTGGAACTAGCATATATATGACCCCACAGGACTGCAATCATTTTGGATTTTCTCCCCACTTCATAAAGCTGACTAAAGGGAGGTCCCTAAGTGTGACAGCTGTTAGTTCTGGGTGGTGGCTGCTCACTGTTATACTGAGCTTTTTGCCTTCCATCTATTTTGAGTGAGCTGTGGTTCTTTAAGTCAAGTCAGCTCTGAGATGCCTTGTGCATGGATCTATGAACATTTGGGGCTGCTGTTTTCGTTCTCAGTGAGCTACAAATGGCATCCTTCTCTGCCCTCAGATGAAGGTAGAATTCTTCAACTGGGCCAATGGCACAGGCCCTGAAGCAGATTTGCTCCTCAGTGACAAGGACTCTGTGGTCCAGAGGAGACTGCTCTTTGCAAACAGTTCAGTTACCTCTGGCAAACTCTTCCAATGCAGAAGATGTGCTGCCTTCTTTCATAATCTTTTGTAGCAAAAAAAAAAAAAATCAAACAAAGGGTACATTCTAGCTGTAGAAAACAAATTATTTTACAATGCCTTTTCAGCATGTCTGATTTGGGGGTGTAAACTCTAAATAATAAGGGTGCATCTTTTGTCGAAATAATGAATCGAGTCAAAATAGATAGAGTGTTAACTAGAATTCATCTGCCTCACAGGCATTGGGATGGTTGTGGGGGGGGTTATTGGGGTTCTTCGTGGTGAAAAATAAGTATTGGTAAAAGGAAATGTGTTTGATATTTGCATGACTGAGACCTAAACCTGAAAGCTTTGTAACTTTTCCCACAGTGATTCAATAAATAAATTTTTTTTAAAAAGGGTACATTCTGTCATAACTTTTATTTCATTCAGGATATCCAACATTCTAAAATTCTTTAATAACAATTAGCAATTAGCCTAATGGCTGGATAAAAAGGAAGTGTGTCAGGAAGTTTGTAACTTTTATGTAGTTTCTCCTTTGCTAATAATCTATCTTCTAGGAAGGAACACATGGGTCTTTATAGTGGTTTGATTAGGAGCACGACAACAGTCTTTAATTCAAATTTTTCTGATAATTAATTAACAAAAGTAGTATGTAATTATTTTATAGAACCCAAAACTACATAGTACTTTGCCAAGGGTCTCTTATAAAAGTGAGGATTACTTGGCTTTTGTTTGTCTTTAAAAGAATGTAGTTAGTTCATATCCCAAAAACAGTCGATATGTCAAGAGTTCCAAGTTGAGTATTCCAACTTAATGATCTATTATAAAAGCAAAACCACTATTGTAACTTCAAGTAGGCATTTTGAATTAAGTGAAAATAATTGTAAAACTTCAGTGACTAGTATTGAGTTCTTCTTTGTGGGAATAACACACTGTCTGCAGCCCTTTGTCTATTGCGCCCAAAAGTTAGAATACTTTATAACTTAAGAATTAAATTCATTTCTCAACTTTGGATTTTAGACTACAGCTGCATACCTGAATCTGAAAATAAAGTCCAACCACAATCAGCATTAAAAGTGAGTATACTGGGCTAAGAGCTTGTATGGTGGGCATGTACTTGCCCTATATATTGCCAACCTTACTTCAATCCCCCAAATCCATATGTAGTCCCCTGAGCATGGGCATGAAGGACCCCTGAGCAGAGCCAGGAGTAAGCCCTGATAACAGGCAGGTGTATCCCAACCCCTGACCCCCGTACACAAACACATAGAAAAATTGAGAACATACTACTTTTAATTTTTATTGAATCATAATGAGATACTCAAAATTATTCATTTCCTCCTGCGCAACTCAGGTTTCAGGTCATTTGTCATGTTGACTTCTCAACCTAGGTACACATAACTGTTGCATTCAGAGATGTTTGTGCCATTGAAAATGAATGGAACGTCAGGAACGAGACCCTTTCTCATAAACACTATCTTTGTGAGATTCAGCTGTAGTCCGACCCTTCCACGCTCACAGTCGAAGTCGGCTAGCATTTGTGCCGCTTGGTTGATGTTTGGTGTTATAAGAACGATGTCATCAGCGAAACGGAGGTGGTGTAGTTGCCGACCGTCTATCTTCACTCCCAAACCTTCCCATTCCAGTCGTCGCATGACATTCTCGAGGGTGGCACTGAAGAGTTTCGGTGAAATAGTATCACCCTGCCGAACCCTCTCTTGACATCAATGATCACCTCCCTATAGAATGGTGAGATCCTGGTAGTGAATCCTCAATACAGCTCACGAAGGATCCTGATGTATTGACTTTGAACGCCCTGTTTGGCTAGAGCCTCAATGACCGGCTCCGGGCACGTCTCTTCGATTCCACTGTTCTTCCTGCATTAACATATGCCTCAGAGACCTGGGCCCTAAGAAAACAGGATAAGAACACTATTCAGGTCTCCCAAAGAGGAATTGAAAGAGCTATGCTTGGAGTATCACGCTTCACTCAAATGAGAGAAAGAATCCGAAGTTCCGACCTTCGTCGATGGTCAAGAATCAGGGACACTGTCTCATTTGCCAAGGCGTCGAAAATCAGATGGGCTGGACATGTAATGAGATTTGGAGATGACCACTGGACTAGAGCCATTACCGACTGGATTCCATGGGACGTCAAAAGATCGCGTGGCTGCCCACCTATGAGATGGTCAGACTTCTTCGTCAAGACCCTGAGTGATTGATTTGAGGCTCTTCGTGTTCCTTGCCACTGGGCTACGTTAGCATGCGACAGGGATGAATGGAGACGTTACTGGCACCCGCTTGAGCGAATCGATGAATAACGGGATGTCAGGTTATCAAGTGAATGTTCCATCACCCATCTCTTCAGCAGTGTACATTTCCCACCACCAATGTCCCCAGTTTCCCTCCTGCACCCCTGCCTGCTTCTGTGGCAGACACTTTGCTTCTTTCTCTCTTCTGAATATTCTATTTCATGGTCCCTAAACACCTGCATAAAGGCTGATCTTCTCTGCAAAAGAAATGCTTCCTAAAAGAAATGCTTTCTAAATGTGTATGGGTTTTCCACAGAAATTTTCACGAAAGTGAATGAGTCAGCAATAATAACCATCCAACAATCTTGTGATCCTTTCTTGTGATAAGAAATCACACCTGGAATATTAAAAAAATAATAACAATATAGCACAGCGGGTAGGGCATTCGCCTCACAAGCGGCCAACATGGCCGACCCGAGTTCGATTCCTCCGCCCCTCTCGGAGAGCCCGGCAAGCTACCGAGAGTATTCGATATGCCAGACACAGTAACAACAAAGTCTCCAATGGAGACGTTACTGGGCCCGCTCGAGCAAATCGATGATCGAGCAAATATATGTTCACCTACCTAAAAATACTCCATTTCATAGCTTGCTTAACTTTATTATAGGTCCTCCAGCATCAGCTAGAATCATTTCAAGCTCTCCGAATACAGACTTTGCAGAACGTTAGCTTGGTATGTTGCTTATGCTCTATTTGTAAAAAAATAACCAAATTTAAGGTCTGATCCACATTTCTAAGGTGATAATCACTAAATGCTTGACTAATACAAAGTATAAGAAAAATAGAAACTACACTTACTCTAGCCTCAAAATTTGTTTGGAGAAAACTAAATTCTATTCATATTTTGCTGAGCAAAAATGATTACTCACTGATCTTATTTTAAATAAATGTTGAAAGTAGGGACATGCTTCAGGAGGACACAAATAAGGACAGTCATTAGAAGTGACATAAAATGCAATTCAAACCTGGGGGATGTGGAGTAGACTTTATAATGTTCTCACAGAAAATCCTTGGAACAATCCTCTTGGGATGGCTTAGTCCTGTGATCAGAAACAATACATCTGGAGTCTGTGCCCCCATGAAATAGACTATCAGAGTAGGTGGTAAGAGTTGCAGTTATAGGCCTTTATCCTTCCAGAATGCAGTGAAAGGAGAGAGCACACTTTCTTCTGTCATCACTTTGTACTGCGGTTCTGATTCAAGTGTACCAAGTTGGGTCACATGCATTGCTTTAACTAGTCACTGTCCAGGGGAAGGTACTGTTCTATCTGTTTAACTCAGAACACGCTCCCTGGAGCTCGTGGAGGAGAGGGAGACTGTATCCAGGGGAAACAAGTATGAACAGAAGGGTCGGGGATGGATATTAGGATACACAATACAACACATTCGCTAAAGACCCAAAGTAAACTTCATCCCAATATTCTGATACTAAAAACAGTTGTAGGCAAGTAGAAAGAGGAGATAAATTCCTCCCCAGGGTGACAGGGTGACATCATTCTGATGACAAAGATCAAAGGTCTCTGATTTATCCAACACAGTAAGACAGGATATCTAAAATTATTTGACTATAGTTCACAAAATCTCATTTTATTATATTTCTTTGATTCTATAATGTACTAAGGTGTACTTTTCTGGAATTCCTTTAATGGCATAAATTATAATAGATTTAATTGACTTTACATTCATGTGATAGAAATTTTATGTGCAAGAAATTTAGAGGTATATCTAATTATCATTTCTCTTATACATACCTATACAGTCGTAAGTATACATATAAATAATCATTCTAATGTTCATCATTTCTTTTCAAGGTACAGTCTGAAATCAGTGAAATATTGAACAAAAGTATTATGGAAGTAGAAAATCCACAGTTTAGCTCAGAAAAAAATATAGAAGTCAACACACACATTGATAAAGTTTTGGTATGTTATTCTTTATAAACTCATTGCTCTATCTAGGCATGTCAAAAATATTACTATAACCTGCTCATCTTCACCTTAACATTCACCCCTTCTTCACAGGACCATAAGAGGTGGAAAAAAGGAAATTCTTGTCCTAAAAATTCAAAGGTTTTATACTTGCCTCTACTTCTCTTATTTTCCTTTGTTTCTAGGGAGAGTAAGGTACATTTGAATTAGTCCAGATACCTAAATTATCAAATTTATTTATATAGTTTCTTTGTAACTTGTCTGCCCTCTTATGGCTCTATTTCAAGGATTGAACTAGACCTGAAGTGAATCTCCCTGGACAGATCCAAATTACAGTAACTGGATAGAACTCCCATTTCTAGAAAAGTCAGAGTTTTTGCTGCAGGCCTTTAGCCTTAGATGAATACACTGGGAATGCCAGCTAAAGTTTCTAATAGCCTACATGTGAAAATACTCATTTTCATTCATCTTTTATTTGACCTATTACTTGTCTTTTCTGCGTTTGATGATCTCCTAAATTTCTATTCCTGAAAAAAAAAAAGTTTGGCCCACATATATTCCTCTCTAGGGATAAGTAAAATTTCTAAGGGCATTGTGAAGTCCAAAGTTACTGTGAAATTCTCTGGGAAACACAAATTCTATTTGTTAGGCAAGGTTATTTATTTGTCTTTTTTCTGTAGGAATGGATAACATATTAGCTTCAGATTGTAAATATAAATCTAACACAATATACCTAAAGTTGTTGGGCATATAACAAGTATCTTTACAAATTTATATTATGTATAGTGTACGACAAATACTATACATATTTATTGTGTGCTTTTTATTGTTACCAGCCTGTAAAGAATCAAGAAAAGATCCTTTCTATGGATAAAATTCATCATTTTGAAGATTCTAAGACTCTTCATCCAATGGAAGAAAAATACAGTAGCAGTAATATTAACAGTGTCACTCCAGATATAGATATTCCCTCCAAGATTGATTTTAACAACATATTAAGTCTAAGAACTTCAACAGATAACTCAGCTTCTAACACAATTATGTTTCCTTCCAAAAATTCTGACATGTTGAATAACTGCAATGACCTTTATAGTTTTCCACTTAATGAACCTCAAACTGTGATGTCTCAAGCTGATACAGTACTTTTAGATCAATCCAAAATCACTGTTCCTTTCCTGAAGCATGGATTTTGTGAAAATTTGGATGATATTTGTCATTCAATCAAACAAATGAAGGAAGAGCTTCAAAAGTCGCATGACAGGGAACTAGCACTTGCAAATGAACTTCAAATTTTAAAAGCTGATAAAAATGTTCAAAGTAATGGTAAATATGACCCCATTGACAAGGAAAAAATTAACTTTATTAATGAAGAAAATACAGAAAATAACTTAAGTGAAGATATAAGATCAAGGAGAATTTTAGAATTAGAGGAACTAGTACACAAATTACTCCCACTCAGGGAAACAGTGTCAAAATTTCATGTGAATTTTTGTAAGAAATGTAAAAAGTTATCTAAAAATGAAATACAGTGGGGAAAGAAGAATGAGAAGAACAAAGAAATTCCTCTCACCAGCAAGAATATTACAGATTTAAAGCTTCATTCCAGCGTTCCAAAACATACTCTGTCTTTCTTTGAGCCAACAAAATGTGAAGTACAAAACAAAGAAATGCAACCATTTGCTTTAAAACGAGAATCAATACTTGAAAATGAGAAAACATCTAAAGTTAATTCTGTTACTGATCAGTGTGTCGCAAAACTTCAGTACTTACAGAATTACCTAAAAGAATCTATGCAGATACAAAAAAAGGTAACACAACTGGAGAATGAAAATCTAAACCTTAAAGCCAAAATAAAACCTCTTGTCTCTACCACACAAGCTTTGATACAGAAAATTGAAACATATGAAAAGCAGCTTAAGGATTTGGTTGAAGAAAAACACACTATTCTATCCAAGTTGGCTAAAACAGAAGACGATAGCAAGGAATGTCTGAAAGAATTGAAAAAAATCATAAGTAAATATAATGTTCTTCAAGAACAAAATAAAATTCTAGAGGAAAAAAATAGTCAATTTTCTTTGGAGAAGGCGCAAATGACAGAAACACTAGATTATCTGAAAAATAAGGAACAAAAAACCCAAAATGACATGGCCATTGTCAACAATGAAAATAATCTAATGAGTATAGAAATAGAATCAATGAAAAGCAATATTCTGTTGATTCAAGATGAAAATGGCGAGCTAGAGAAGAAAACACACCAGCTTCTACAGGAAAAGGATTCTCTTGAAAACGACCTTAAAGAATATCAGCTAGAGATAATGCAGCTGAAAGAAAAAGAAAGATTGGCAAAAACGGAACAAGAAGCACTCCTCGAAATAATAAACACAATTAAAAATGAAAAACTTGCTCTTGAAGAAACACTGCACGATTCTACTGTTGCTAGACAAATAATAGAAAGACAAATCGAGACGATTCAGACTTACAATTCTACTGCAAAAGAGAATTTTCTGAAAGAGATTAAGAATGCAAAATCGGAAGCAAATTCTTATAAGAATAGTTTGTCCAAAATGGAAAATGAATGTGAAATGTTATCAAAACTGGTCGTGGAAATTAAAGCAGATAATCAGATTCTAAAAGAAGAACTAAAAATGCATAGTCAAGAAAGTATAAAATTTGAAAACAGCATTAGCAGACTTGAAGAAGACAAAATACTATTGGAAAACTATGTGAGACGTATAGAAAATGAAAGAAATACCTTGGAATTTGAGATGAAGAGTCTTAAAAGAGAGTACTTAAATCTCAGTGAAAAAATGTGTGGTCAGCATAATGATGTCTCAAAAATGGATTATATTTCAAGAAGAGAAAAAATCCATTTTGACATCTATGATACTTATGAAGATACCTCTGATCTTAGGAATAAGCCTTTAGCTCCTGATTTGAAAGGTAATTATATTTTTGGTGGGTAGGTAGAGATGTTTTAAGATTCTTTTAGCCTTTGGGGCACTACCTGAAGTATCTTAATGTGAAGGAAACTTTTTAAATGAATGTTATGTGGTTTTGTAAGATTTGTGTATACTTCACTCTGTAGTGTGACTATTTAGGAATTTTGCCATTATAAAGAATCATAATGTAATTTATATTACTTTCTTCATAGTAAATGCACAAAACAACTTTAGCAGCAAGAAAGGAGTTTGTATTACTGTTTTTCTCAAGTGTAATTGGTATACTCAAGTATACCCCTACCTTAAAAAATTATTATTTTTTTTCCAGGAATTCCAAGTAAATGCCATCAGTTGCTTTCACCCAAGATATGTAAATAAATTTCTAAAATCATGTGTTTCAAAATCCTTTGTCCAAGAACTTTTTCCCCTATAAATTACTGTAAAATAATTTTTATATTAATAAGAAAATAGTTATTATATCTCAAGGCAACTTATTTTTTGTGGTTTTTTTTTATTTTATTAGTGAAACACCATGAGGTACAGTTATAGACTTATAAATTTTTGTGCTTGGGTTTCAGTTATACAATGATCAAGTACCCATCCCTCCACCAGTGCCCATCCTCCACCACGGGTCCCAGCATCCCTCCCACCCTCCATCCCCCCGTCCCACCCTGCCTCTGTGGCAGGGCATTCCCCCTTGTTCTCTCTCACTTCTTTTGGGTACTGTGTTTTGCAAGAGAGGCATTGAGTGGCAATCATGTTTGGTCTATAGACTACTTTTAGCATGCTTCTCCCACCCTGGGAGGGTCCTCACAACACCCTTTATTTGGTGCTCTCTTCTCTGTCTGAGCTTCCTTTTCACCTAGCACGTGTGACTGGCTCAAGGCAACTAATTTAATTAGTATTCAGTTTCATAGTTTAATGTCTTATAAATATTTTGAAAATAATACATTGTACTATTCTCTCATCACAAAGAAATGAGAGTGAAATACATACACTGAAAGTAAGCATACCTTCCCCACCACTGCTCTTCAACTAAATTCCACTTTCCTGAAATAGTCACATGGTTCTTCATTTCTTTTGAAATTGACAGTGATTTTAAATCATATGATTTTCTTGATCTATCAAAGTTAAACTATAAGCAGTTATTTATATGTTGGGGAAAATAACTTGAACTAATTATTACCTTCCCGTTTTTATTTCCTAACTGTACATTACTATTTTTAGTGTTTCTGAACATTGTTCTTTAGAACCATAATTTTTGTTTAATTTTGTTTGGGCCATATCTGGCTTACACAAAGAACCGTGTGGTTGTGGGAATAATTAAACTTGGGGATCCCACATGCAAGGCAGGTACCCGAGGCTTTGACTTCTTTGCCCAGCACGGGAAATGTATTTTTTAAAATTAGCGTGTCATTTTTTGGCATTTATTAGAAAATTACACAGTGGGAAGGGTTGGATCTCCAATGTCCCATATGGTCCGTGAGTACCACCAGGAGTGATCCTTGAGTGGTGAGCCAGGAGTTAACTCTGAGCATTGTGGGCGTGGTACAATCCCCCACACACACCCCAAAATGACTGATTTAGGGTTGGAAAGTTAATACAGTGGGTAAGGTACTTGCCTTAAGGTAGCCAACCATTCCCCAGCCCCTCATCTCATCCCTTTGACCCTCTCAGGAGTGATTCCTGAGTTCAGGCAGGTGTGGTTTAAAGACCACCTACCCTCAGAGTAAAAAAAGGGGGAAAAGAAAGAAATTACATTTATACTATAATAGTTGCCAAACTGAACTGTTTACTTTTTAAGATTTTTATGTTTACCACAGTGTTTAACTTTATAGTATTGATTTACAAAATTATCATAGGCCACCACTACCACCAAAGAGCCCAGGACCCTCCACCACTGTCCTTATGTCACCTCTCATTTGACAGAACTGCATTTTGATTGATAAATTTACATAGCATCCATTAACTCTACATGCAGGTGAAAGTTTTACTAAACTTCCACCTCTACACTCATTGTTATCTCATATTTTATTATGATTTAGCCATATTTTTCTGGTTGTTAACACATTTTCCAAATGTTTAATGAATAAAATTTAATATAAAATCTGTGTCAGAAAATAAGAGTAGCATTAAAGAGAAAGGGGCCTGGAGAGGCAGTTATAAGTGAGTCTGTGTAATGTTTAGGACTTTCGAATTTTTCTTGAAAGCAATTGCAGCCTTTTAGCGGGGGGACTGGAATGACTAAATTTTGGGGAAAAAAAAATCACTCTGGCTGCAAAGAGAAGAACACGCCAGGAATAAAGTGGGTGTCAGGACACAAGTTACACTATCAGTGTCCAGGTGACATATGATGATTGCCTAAACCGGTGTGGTCACATCAAAAGTGAGAAGTTAAGAAAAAACGTTGAAGATGTTCTGAGCTTTCTGACTAATGGTTTAAAAGGATGGGGTGCCACATACCATCAGGGAACAGTATCAGATGACAAAGTTTCTGGGAGTTTTATGGGTTTTTTCCTTTTACTTTTTTATTAAATGACTGTGAGATAGACCCTTTCAAAGCCGTTCATGATTGGATTTCAATCATACGGTGTTCCAACACCCATCCCTCCACCAGTGTACATTTCCCAGCACCCAGCGTTCCCAGGTCCCTCCTGTAAAAACTCTCTTGGGCTGACAGCCCCTCTCCGCCTGGGAGCTGTGTAAACTCCTTTGCTCGGGGATTACACATTAAAGGACATCTGTGGGCTATCCGGGCAGCTCTCTCTCGCTGCCCGCGTTTGCTGCTCCCAAACCACTTTCTCACCTGGGACAGCTGTTGCCTTGGATAGACGAAGGAAGAACGAGGGCCAACCTGATTGCTGATTAGTTGCCCATTATTCAATCTCATCGCTCCCAGTTCTCCACAACCTTCTTCCTGGGTCTCCCACAACCTCCCGTCCTCTTCTGTCTCTGTCTCAGCCTTCTGTCTGACTCCTCCAATCTACTTCTCCCTCTGTCACCATCTCTCTCACTCTCTCCCCCTTTCTCCCCACAGCCACTCTTTTTCTTCTCTCTCCACACCTCCCCAAGGGAAGCGCAACCAACGTGTTTTTTCAGTCTTCCCAACCACCTGCAATCCACAAGGGCAAAAACAACTCTTAAGGTGTGTTTCTCCTCTCCTTAGACCTGCAACTTGATTAACATCTTTAATTCTCCTTCCTAATATTTACCTTTCTGTATGGACACAGTAATAGACACTTTTAGGCTTGTACGGTGAATCTCCTGGGGACATCTTGCTACAGACTCAGACTACAGTGCTCAGGTAGGATTAATCATTCCTAATCCCAGCAAGATCCAAATCTAGTTATTACTTTTGGATCGTGATGTAATTTGTCCATGACCAAGGTCTTAACTTATAGTTAAGCATTATGGCTCTTTGGCCAGGCCCATTTTGATGCCAGAGTAGCTAGCTCACTGCTTGCCCTGGGTCCATCCAGTCCTTCGTCGGGACCCTGCTATTAGGAATCTAGGAAGTAAGGGCAACTGAGGTTTAAGTCAAGACAGCAGATGTCCAGGAGGCAATATTATCTGGAGTCAATCAACTCCCCAAGCCACAGGCTTGTCTTTTTAACTATCTTCCTGTATCCATACAAAAAACACTTGCTCTGAAATAACTAACCACGCAAAGGGCAGCAGGAGAAGAGAAAGACAATATTTACAAGGCAGAGACTGATGAGGAGACAAAGGTAATTGACAGGTTGGGGGGCAATCAACAAACACAAACTCCCAGCGGCCAGGGAGCAAGGGCAAACCAATATTATCCTACACACTCCCATCACTCTCCGTCCTCCCCCACCTCCTCTCTCTCCCCCTTCCTCCTCTGGGCATTGTGGTTTGCAGTACTGATACTGAAAGGTTATCGAGAATATCCCCTTACCTACTTTTAACACTCAGTTCTTGTCCAGTGTGATAAATCCCAGCTATTATCGTCATTCTGGTCTCTATCTTATCTACCCTACTAGCCCCTGTTTTCCCTGGCCATGGATATCAGTCTTCTACTATAGATTTTATACAAATATAATTTTTTATATTTTATAATCACAGATGTATACAGTCTTTCTATATCTGTCCCTCTCCTTCTGACCTAGTTCACTCAGCATGATACTCTCCATGTCCTTCCATTTATCAACACATTTCATGACTTAATTTTTCCTAACAGCTGCATAGTATTCCATTATGTAGATGGGCCATAGTTTCTTTATCCATTTGTCTGTTCTTGGGCACTACAGTGGTTTACAGATTCTGGCTTCTCGAATGAACTGGCAAGAAGTTGTTAATAACACTCCTTAATATCCTTTAAATGTTCAAAGGATCTGTTGTAACACCTTACTTTTGGCTTCTGACACTGATCATTTAAAGTTAACTCTTTTTCATTCACAATCTTGCTAAGCTCAGTCCCTAGCATTGAGCCACACCCAGAGTGGTCCCGAAGCACAGAGCCAGGAATAAGGCCTGAGCACCAAGTTATGAATGAATTGTTGATTTTCTTCTCTGCTCTCAGCCACAACCTCCACCCCTACTTTCAAAACCTATTTTTTTCTAAAATAAGACAAACAGGTCTCAATTGATTCGCTATAGTTTAATATTTTATAAAATATTCTAAACATATCTTAGAAATGTGTATCTAGACACAGGGAGCAATTATGTTACATTATTGAAAAATGATAGTCTTTAGGTAATATAACTGAAACAAGAAAGAATATTAGAAACGCGAGCTTAAGTTTCTTTTTAAATACTTCATCTACTGTTTTACATCTTATATATTTTCAAATGATTATCATTTGACAGGGAGTACTTTTCTCTTCCAGACATTAATAAGATTGTACCGTAGCATACTTGTAGTTCTTCTTATTTATCGTCCTAAAATTAAATATAAGTAAAATATCAGTATATTCTTGCAAAAATATTTTCAACTACTTACAACATAGTCCAAAACAAAGTAGTTTACATAGCTAAAAATTTTGCTTTACATGAGTCAGATACACTTTGAAAGTGGAATTTAAGGTTGTTCTATGGAACCAATTTAAAATACACCATTCAGAGGTTTACTATTTTAAAAATTAGGATAAAATAAGCTAAGATTTGATTCAAGATAAAACTTAGATAATTTAAGAAGAATCTGAATAAGCTGGAAAATTTCTGGACAAAGATAATGATTTTTTAGGAGATCAATCAGCTACTCTTTTATCCAAATATATGTTAATGTGTCATAAAACATTCTCAGTTCCATTCTATAGATTGAAAAGAACACAAGAAAAGCTGGAAGTGCCCACTTCCACACAAAACATGTGTGTTAATAATATTTTAATTTTACTTTCTATTCTATTTTACTATGTGAAATTGGGCATGATACTGATAGATAACTCACTAAAGGATAAAGGTCAACGAACATGGAAAAAATAGTCTTTATGTTCCTATTTGTAAGTTCAATATGCTACCAACTCAGAAGTTATTCTTGAAGCAATAAATTAGGAAAATAATGAATAGCAAACTTATATTTGTAATATAACAATATAATAATACTGATATTAAATCACTTCCTACAAGTGATATAAATGAACCACCATTTTTATCAGAGAAAATCATGTGAATTTGGTATTCCTTGTCTGATCCAATGGATGATTAAATTGAAATCAAGTATACATGAATAGCTTAATTGGCAATATAACTTGTTCAACAAATAAGCAAGCAAATGAATTCTTATTAAGATCTTATACACACAAGGGACTGGAGCCATAGCACAGCGCCCTGCACGTGCCGACCCGGGTTCGATTCCCAGCATCCCATATGGTCCCCTGAGCACAGCCAGGGATAATTCCTGAGTGCAGAGCCAGGAGTATTCCCTGTGCAATCGCTGGGTGTGACCCAAAAAAAGCAAAAAAAAAAAAATCAAAGTATATATAAATAATACATAAATAGTAAATAAAAATTCTAAAGGTCAAAGTATATAAATGTTAAATAAAAATTCTAAAGATTAGATTTTTGAAGATATCTGAGATCATTTTTAGGGGGTCATGGTCTAAATTTAAAATATTCTTACTTTCTGATATGCATGGTCATTATACTTTCAACAGGCCTGCGTTTTGGTACACCTGGTGGGTGGAAAACTTTAGGTGGTTTGGAAGCTGTGGCTTCTGGTTTCACACTGTAAGGATCACTGGAATGGGAAGGGTATGGGTCAAACGTCCCTGCCTTCATTCCACCAGCCTACAAATAAAAAAGGAATAAATCAGTGTTGTTTTATAAAATACTTCTAACAAATTTATGTTCTGAAGAAATGCATAAAACATTTGTGTGTTTTCTTTGGAGTTGGTTTAAAGTTAAAGAGAACTGTCGAAAAACAACAACAACAAAATTTAGGTTGTCCACAGTTTAATTCAAATATCAGCAACAACTTCTCTACCACCAATTTTATGGTGTTAGAACACTAGGATTTCAAAAATTCTCTCTTCAAATTTAAGTGCTTTGGGGATGGCAACATTCTTAGTTACTACCAAGTATTAATATTAAAGTGAGATTTATCAGATCAAGCTATCATACAGTTAGAGGGAACACCTGCTACTGAGGGTTAGGGCATAATTTTCAGCACCAGAGAGTGAAAGAAGGGACCAACGATCAGGTTCACATAAAAGAGAGGCTGGCATAACAATAGTTTAACTAAACATCAGTCAATAAGAAAGAACACTAAAAAGAAAAAAAGTAACAAAATGTAGGTGGAAAATGTAAATTACTTTAAACTTTTCTTGTTGTCTATTAAAGTAAGATAAAAAGTTTTCACATAGCTATACATAAAAGAAATAACTGCTTTGATCTTTTGAAGTGATGTAATTTTTATATTTATATTATAATCCCTCCAAAAAAACTATAGAATCATAATTCAGCTTAGTCAGATCTGCTTTCTCTTTCTCTAAACAATGTATACACAAAAATTTAATTTCTTTGAAAGATATGGTTGCAATTCTTCAAGTGTTCCACATTTTGCACACATTAAGAGGAACAGAAATGTAAAATTAATGTAGAAGGTAATTAATAAGTGAATTAAAATACGGAAAAAAATGTATGTGACAAATAAGCTACACCACCATGATGCCTAAAAAGATAAAAATCTATCATTATTAAGAATTACAAAGGAGCAAAGGATACCCACAACATATATAAACATAAAAAAAAATTACAGAATTTTTGTAAATCATTTGTAAACTTCTGGTCCCAAAAGTGAGACAGAAATAAAGTAATCAAAGTTAACTTTTTCTAGATAAACAAGCATAAATAATATAACAAACTACAGTTCCCTGGGGCTGGAGCGACAGCACAGCGGTAGGGCATCTGCCTTGCACCCGGCCGGCCCAGCAGAGACAGCTTTGATTCCTCCGCCCCTCTCGGGGAGCCCGGCAATCTACCGAGAGTATCGTGCCCACACGGCAGAGCCTGGCAAGCTCCCCGTGACATATTCAATATGCCAAACACAGTAAACAACAAGTTTCACTATGGAGACGCTACTGGGCCCGCTGGAGCAAACTGATGAACGGGACGACAGTGCGACAGTGCTACAGCTCAGTGCTTAAACAGAAATAAATATAAAATCTATAAGCTTATGTGAAATAAAAGATAAAATTCTAAAAGGGAACTAAAAGTTTTTACAAGTACCCTATTGTTAGATCAGAGATTTCAAATTATACTATCCTAACACACCCATAATTCTAAAGATTTAAATTTTGTTTAATTTTTGGGTTGCACCTGGGCTTATTCAGGGCTCACTCCCGGCAGGCTCAGGGGACCAGATAGGGTGCTGGGGATAGAACCTGAGTTGGCCACAGGGAAGGCAAGAACCTTTAATTTTAATTAAAGTTTTTAATTTTAATAGAAAAATTTTAGCCCATTAGAATGTCTACAAACTTCTAGGAAATAAATATAATAACCAATATAGACTTTTTAAAAAGATTAACACAGGGGCTGGAGCGATAGCACAGCGGGTAGGGTGTTTGCCTAGGACGCGGCCAACCCAGGTTCTATTCCCAGCATCCCATATGTTCCCCTGAGCACCGCCAGGAGTAATTCCTGAGTGCAAAGCCAGGAATAAACCCTGTGCATAGCCAGGTGTGACCCAAAAACAAACAAACAAAAAATTAATACATAAAATTTAGTATATAGGAAATAGTTTGTTCCATTCACCACTTTAGAAGTTAAAAAATAGTGGGCCTGAATTATAGTACAGTTGGTAGGGAACTTGCCTTGCATGCAGTCAACCTGGGTTGGATCTGTGGTACCACATATGGTCCCCGGAGCCCTACCAGGTGTGATTCCTGAGTGCAGAGCCAGGAATAATCCCTGTGCACCGCCAGGTGTGTCCCCAAAACAAAAACCAAAAACAGTTTAAAAATGGTTTGAACTCTTATGTTTTTGAGAAACATTATAGTTATGGTCTAGAGAAGTACTTAAATCCACAGTAGATTAAATATACCAATGCAATTAATAATTACTACTGATGCAACTAATAATTACTTCAAGAACATGTAAAGAGTCTCATTTCTATTCCAACCATGGTTGCAGCATGCCTCATAAAAGTAGGTTGGATCATCCTTAGCAAAAATAAAAACAAAAGTTTTACACGTGTAATAAAATAACTTGAACGTAATTTCTTTTTTAATGCTTAAGGCTTTTTTTCCTCAAAATTATAACTTATTCTTTGATATCCTAAAACCTTGGATTAAACAGACTGTGCACTGTGCATCTATAAAGTAAAAGGCAATGAAATTAAATAAGATCTTAACTTACCTTTTTCCCAGGAGAAGGAGGCTTAAAATGGCTTTCAGTTATTTTTTTCTGTTCTTCTTTTTTAATTGGTGGTAAAGTTACATCAGAATAGTAGGGATTGCTATCAAAATAATCTCTGGGGTAAAGATTTAACTTGAAGGGAGCCCCTTTCAGTAAACGATGGTGTTCTTCCATCTCTTTCTGTAAATTAGTTATATAGCATACATTACTCAAACTGGAACTAATACCATAGAGTCAAATCTTTAAATTTTAAAATAAGTTTATAACTTTTCAGATTATTCTACTGGGCTTACTTTTTAAAAAAATACTTGTTAAGCTATTTTTATGATACAAAAGATTTGCTTATGCAAGAAGCATAACTATATTTATTTTGTACATGAATTTTGAAGGTTATAAGTCCATTTATCACTGAATTATCTATATTAATCTGGTGTAGGGTGACATTGGTTTGTCCTTCCTCCCTTGCCACAAGGAGTTTAGGTTTATCAGGTTACACCCATTACAGAGCACTCCCGTTCCTTTGTTAATCTGTAATCACTTCTCTATGCTCTCTTCCCCAACCAGTTAATCAGCTTTTTCCCCTAGTCAGACTCTGTTAACTTGTAAGATCAGGTTCCTCAGAAATCTATGATTTTATATGTATGAGTGAAATATTGCCTTTCTCCTCTCTTTATGTCTTTTGAACAGTTTACTTTAAGGCAATGTCCTTTTTGTATAGATACAGGAAGACAGTTAATATTATGCTTTTGTAACTTAGGATTTAATTGGGTTTGAATATTATTCACTCCTGCTTTCTCGACTTAAGCCGCAGTTGCCCTTAGTTCCTAGCACCCCCAAAGCAGGGTCCTGAGGAGGGACAGAATGGACCCAGGGCAAGCTGTGAGCTACCCTGGCATTGAAAATGGCCAGGCCAAAGCGCCACGATTCTTAACTATAAGTCAAGAGCTTGATCATGAACAAATTCTCTCATGATCCAAAAGTAACAATGAGACGAGGACCCTGCTAGGGTTACGAAAGACTAATCTGGCCTGAGCACTATAGTCTGAGATCATGATGGCCATAGGAGAGCAATTCTATAAGCTTAGTGTATGTCTTATTGTGTCCATACAAAATGATTAATATCATGAATGTTCATAAGTTTGTTGGACAAGGAGAGGAGAAACATTCCCATAGCATTCCACTCTTGGGTGGGCTGTCCTGCTGAGAGAGTATCCCCTAGAGAAGTATCCCCTGAGGGAAAGAACTTTACCCCTATTGATTGTGACCACACCTATGTGTAAGCCCCAACCCTTCATGGTTTGGGGATTTTACTAGACTGTAAGAGTGGGCTGGGGGATCTAGACTCCAGAAGGAGGAGAAAGGGGATTCAGATTCCAGAGCCAGAAGGAGACTGAAGGGGGATGGAAGAGGAGAATGAAGAAGCATGGGGGAGGGAGAAGCAGAAGGAGAATCAGAGAGGAATGGAAATGGGAATGGAATCAACTGCAACTGACACCAACCAGCTTAGCCCTCGTTTCCTTCCTTCGCCTGCTCATCACCATCGACCTCCCCAGGGTGGGGGAAACGGCATGAAACTACCGAACACGGGTGGCAGGAGAGATAGACTAATGCTGCTGTCTTTTTGTGTTTACACAGACGGGGAGGGGTGAGGGTGCAGAGAAGTTTCTGTTCAAACTCTGACTCTCTCCTAGCTTTGTAGAATTTCTCTGGGACTCTAAGAAAGCTATCCATTTAAGTCCCACATTTTTTCAGCTATAACTGAAAAAATTAGATGCCTTATCGCAGTGGTAGCATCTAAATAAATGTTAGTTTTTACTTGTAAAATAAGGAATACTTACTTAAAGAACAGTTATATTATTTAAGTAAACATATATTACATATATTACAGTAGTACTAGTTGCTTCAGAGCACTGCACTGCACTGCACTGCCCTCTCGTTCATCTATTTACTCGAGCAGGCCCAGTACCATCTCCATTTTGAGACTTGTTGGTACTGTGTTTGGCATATCGAAAATGTCACAGCTAGCTTGCCAAGCCTTGCAGTGCAGGCGGGATACCCTTGATAGCTTGCTGGGCTCTCTGAGAGGGGCAAAGGAATCGAACCTGGGTTGACCTTTACCCAAAGTGCAACAAAACACAAGTATTTTCATCTTTTCTTACAGCAGAATAGTAGTCCATTGTGTTTGTATCACAATTTCTTTTTAGTGAGGTACATTGTTTACAATAGTATTGAAATAATACTTGCACTGCTTCTACACCAATGATGCCTGAAAAGATAGACCTTTCCCAGTAAGTCAAAGTCTCCAGGTGGACGGTTCCACAACGAAATAGAACACATCATATTCAATCAACGGTTTTGCCTGACCAATGTCGCTGTTGTCCCAAAATTCCAAATGGGATCGGACCACCATCTCCTTTGTTCAAAATTCTACTTCACAGAGCGGGGAGAAAGGGCTTCAAAGTTTAAGAAGAGAACTCCCAGAATGACCACCAACTGGGAGCTCTTTGGCACTATTGCTGCAACCTGGGAAGATGCTGTTGTTGACAACATTGATGAGGAATACGATCAACTGGTCCAGCACCTCCATGATTGTGCGAGGAATGCCAAGAGAGAGATAGCCACAAAAAAATGCCTGTCTTTGAAAACTCTTAAGCTTATTCACCAACGTGGTTTGGCACATGCCTCAGGCAACCGCAAGCAAATGTCCAAGCTCGCAAAGCAGTGCAGAGATGCGATCAAGGAAGACCTCAAAGAAAGAAGAGCAGAAGTGCTGGTAGATATGGCAGAAGCCGGGAAAAGCATTCATAATGCCCACCTGTCCTTCGCCAACTACAAGACCAAGATGACTGCCCTCCGACGTCCTGATGGATCTATCACATCTTCCAGAAGGCCAATGGAGAAGATTATCCATGACTTCTACTCAGATCTCTTCAATAACCATGTCCACCTGCCCACATACCAAATTCCACAGGATGGATATATCATTCCCAATGTTCTCCCTTCCGAAATCCGACATGCCATTTCATCGGTTAAGAAATGAACAGCACCCAGCCCTGACAAGATCAGACCTGAACATCTGAAGAACCTTCCGTCAGCACTCATCAATATGCTGGCTCAGCTCTTCACACGCTACCTGTTTGAATGCAAGTTTCCATTCCAATGGAAAACCAGCAGGACTGTACTACTATACAAGAAGGGAGACATCCACGACATTGGCAACTATCACCCAATCTGCCTATTGTCTGTCATTTACAAGCTGTTCACTCAAGTCATCCTGAATAGGATTGGCAGAACACTAGATGAAGGACAACTATGCGAGCAAGCAGGGTTCCGCAAAGGATTCAGCACCATCGACCATATCCACACAATAACCAATCTCATTGAGGTTTTTCGGGAGTTCAAGATGCCGCTCTGTCTAACGTTCATTGATTTAAAGAAGGCCTTTGATTCTGTTGAGACGGAAGCAGTCATTGAAGCCCGAGCCAATTGGCATTCAAACTCAATTCAAACATCAGGATCCTCCATGAGCTGTATTATGGATTCACTACCAGGATCTCGCCATTCTATAAAGAAGTAATCATTGATGTCAAGAGAGGGGTTCGGCAGGATGTTACCATTTCACTAAAACTCTTCAGTGCCACCCTCGAGAACATCATGCAATGACTGGAATGGGAAGGAATGAGAGTGAAGATAGATGGTCAGCAACTATACCACCTCTGCTTTGCTGATGACATTGTTCTAATAACACCAAACATTAGCCAAGCTACAGTTTTCCTTATCTATTTTACATTGTAAAATGAACTGTGATAATTCTGTTAACGTGGTCTGTTCCTAACTATGATCTATTCTAAAAAATCATAATCATATGGTAATCATAAAATAACAATATTCCCAGAACACTTGCTCATACCACACACAAAGTTAACACACTAAGTTTAACTCATTAAAAATGAGTTAACCCGCCCGCTCCTCTCTGGAAAGAAAGATGGCGGCCGCACGGGAGCCTTGTGGAAAGCAGGCTTGAGCCGGGCTCGGGGGAGCGGCGGGGACCTCATGGGAAGGGGGGCTTTGTGGGCCGTCCCCCACGCCCCACCGAGGTCGCCAGCTGCCCCCCACGAGCGGCTCTCCGGCACGGCCACGACTCCAGGGCACAGAAACCAATCTCTTAACTATCTAACTTTTAATAGAAATTCTTCCAGGGTCAATAAGTAAAATAGCAGAAATTCAAAACCGCGCGGCCGCGATAGCGGCTGCGCGACATCATTTTATTCTTAAACCACGTTGTAGAAAGCAAATCATTTCACAACGCTGTTTCAGCATGTCTGATTGGGGGGGGGGGGGGGTCGTAAACTCTAAACAATAATTGTGCATCTTCTATCGAAATAATCTATCTAGTCAAAGTAGATAGAGTATTAACTAGAACTCATCTGCCTCACAAGAATTGGGAGGGGTGGGAGGTGGGGGTCTATTGGGGTTCGGGGTTAAAAATGAGTATTGGTAAAGGGAAATGTGTTTGGTATCTACATGACTGAGACCTAAACCCGAAAGCTCTGTAACTTTTCCCACAGTGATTCAATAAATAAATAAATTATAAAAAAAAATAAAAAAAAATAAATAAAAATGAGTTAAACAATCTGAAGAGATAGCATAGGCTCTTGGCTTGTATGCACCTGCAGTGGCTGTGACTCTGGTGCTAATCCCTGGCACCACTAGAGGTCCTCGTGAGCCCAGACCTGGGAATATCTTCTGAGCACAGCTGGACGTGGCCTCGCCTGGGCCCCTCAAAATGAATTAGAGACTTTCATGGTGAGACTTGAATCCATAAAACATTGGCAGAACTCTCCATGGTACTGACTTTAGAAGTATTTTAAATGATTTGACTGTATTGGCAAATAAAGTGAAAATAAAAATAAAGGGAGTGCATCAAACGAAAAAGTTTCAACACTGAAAAATAAACAAGTGTGAAAATAAAGACACTCTCCTGAATGGATGAAAATATTTAATGTTTGTCCACCATCAGAGGACAATATCCAACATAAAGCATTCACAAGAAAATAAAATTTTCAATAAAACTGGGGACAGGGGACCAGAGAGGTTGTATAGTAGGTAAGGCGCTTGCCTCACGTAAAGGTTAATGGAAAATTAACTTAATACCTTGATATCAAACCCGTCTGAAAAATATACTGAAAACATAGACAATAGTCATGTACACAGAAAGATGTGTACATTTAATATCTAAAGTCAAAATTATCATAATCTATAAATATCAGTCTACTAGTGCCCTAATTAAATAGACAAAACAAAAAACTATGGCCAAATAATGTTATTTCTCTACATCAACCTAAATATGAGAAAGACTTAAAAAATATTATTTTACCTTAGAATTTTCTTTAGGTTGATCAAAAAGATCAGCAGAGTGTGAAGGATGTCTGCCTATGGTAATATTTGCATATCTAATGAAGGAAAATAAATAATGGTAACTTATAGATTCAGAAAAGTGTATTAAACTCAATATAACAAATCATATCACTGTCACACTGTATCACTGTCCTCCCGTTGTTCATCGATTTGCTCGAGCAGGCACCAGTAACGTTTCACAACAAATTGTGAGACTCGCTGTTACTGTGTTTGGCATATCAAATACGTCATAGGTAGACTGCCAGGCTTTGCCGTGCGGGCGAGATACTCTCGGTAGCTTGCCGGGCTCTAAATCATACTAAGATAAAATAAATGAATAAAATAACCTTACCCATATCCAGTTCCTTTCTTTCCTGGGGTTGTGTACAAATTCTTTCCAGGCGCCTTATACTTCTCTTTGGGTTTTAGCTCTGCACTGAAGAATGGGACTGGGCCACCAATTGTTCCATAGTAGCTTCCTAATCCAGAACTTAAATAAAATTGTTTTTTTTTTCAAATAGCAGATTGAAATGCCAAATAGTGTTACTTTATGAGTCGTTTATCAAAAATGAATGGAAAAGACACTACCAGCATGTAATGAGAATGACAGACCTACTTCAATTAAAATATTGTTAATTTTTACTCTAACTAAAGAGTAGAGTACTTTCCCCATTTTTTCAAAGTCACAAATTTTGAGATTAGCAGTTAATTTTCATTTTTGTACTTTATTAAAAAAAGGTTCCACGTAATAAAGTTCACAATCTCTAGAAAGATAGGATAGTTTCCATTATTTTCCTATAACAAATCTTTTGTGTTTTTAGCCAATTTCATGGCAAGTTAGCTTTTACGGAGTTAATTACTTCTATCTACTCACTGCAAACCATGCATTCTATACTCAGAAATTATACTTTGCTACTACTTATGAAAGTAACTCCCATGGAATTTTAGTTCTAACTTTCTTCTTTTGACTTATACTTATTCCTTTACTATAGAAAAATTTGTCAAATATTTTCTTCAATTTTAATGTTATATTTTCTGGGCTCACAATAAATAATCATTTGACTACTGGCAAGTATTTTAACAAATGTTTTCTTAAATTTTCACAATAAAAAAACACAAATAATTAGAACATGGGGATACAGCTCAGTGAAAAGCATATGCCTTGTGCCAGGCCCTAGGTTGAATCCTCAGACACACACACACACACACACACACACACACACACACACACTATATAATGATAACTAATATAAGTTTTTAATTTCAAAGGTATCATCAAACAAGTTTTCATAATCAAAAAACTGGTCAAGATACAAGTTATCAAAGCATGACACTGTTGATAGTGTTTGAACTTTAAATTTCAAAAACTAGAGACAACATTTATTACTTATTATCTTCAGCCTACAACAGATTCTATACTAGAATATTCTATATCAATTTTAATTAGAATTCTATATAAATTTTAATTGATATGTATGGCATATATGCTTGAATGAACATATAAAATTACAAAATACAGTAAGTAAAGCAATGAAATTATAGAGAAAAGAACAACTATGAATAAGTAGATTACAGGGTGTAACAGTATAAACATTAAAAGTTTCAAATTTAACAAATGTCTATGGTTCCATAATTTAGTGTTGAATATTATCAGTATATGGGCTTCATACACCATCTATATTTTGGGAAATATCTTCTATATCATCTATATCCCTCTGTAAAAAATCATAAATGCTTTTCAACATTTAGGACCTTTTAAATGATCTGTCACCTCTTCTTTGGCAACTAAATAAAAGCATATTACTAACTAGAGGGTGAACGCAGCAGTTCTCACAAAATTCACCATGAGAGAAGCAAACTATTAAGGGAAGTTAAGAAGTAAATACATGTTTTACCTGAGTAAAAGATGGAGCAACAAAAATTTACAGCCTTAAATTTATATCTGAGTAGAAAATGAAGACTCACAATAATTAGAATATATAATTAAAACCTATCCAAAATATGAAGTCAAAACATTAAACTATATCACTAGAAAAATTCCCTACTTTCCCCACGCTACAAAATTATACTTAGCAATTTTGACTTAATTTACCAGTTTACTAATCACAAGAAAATACTACAGATAAGCACAAAATTAGACTTAAAACAACCCTCAATTATCATTAAGTCTTAAATTGATAGTCAAAGTTATTGAATGTGAATTAACATCAGGTTTCAGAGATCAGCTATATGCAATATAACTTTGTAGTTTTACCTATTAAATTAATGAATAGAAGCTAAGGGGAAAGAATGAACCTTCATGGGGCGGAGACATAGTAAAGATGGAAAGGTATCTGCCTTGCATAAGACTCAGGTTTGATCCCTGGTACCACATGTGGTTGCCAGAGCACCACCAAGAGTGATGCCTGAGCACAGAGCCTGAAGTAATCCTTGAGCTTCAATGATTATGGCTCAAAAGCAAACCAAAACAAATGAACCTTCATGTTGACAATTATCACAACTAAAATATTGCCAAACCCCATGAATATAGCTTTACCAACTTTTAAATAATATAACCTTGAGAAATTTCTTCTTAATCAAAAATTTTTTAATTTCTCACAGGCATTGGGAAGGGTGGGAGGGGGGTTTATTGGGGTTCTCGGTGGTGAAAAATATGTACTGGTGAAGGGAAATGTGTTTGATCATTGCATGATCGAGACTTAAACCTGAAAGCTTTGTAACTTTTCCCACAGTGATTCAATAAATAAAAAATTCACGGTCACGGTCTTCCCGTTGTTCATCGATTTGCTCGAGCGGGCCCAGTAACTTCTCCATCGTGACATTGTTGTTACTGTGTCTGGCATATCGAATACGTCACGGGGAGCTTGCCAGGCTCTGCCGTGCGGGCGAGATACTCTCGGTAGCTTGCCGGGCTCTCGGAGAGGGGCGGAGGAATCGAACTCGGGTCGGCCATGTTTGCTGCTTGTAAGGCAAACGAAATAAAAAATTAAAAAAGAAAAAAGAAAAAAAGAAAAAAATTTAATTTGTATTTTAAAACACTCTTTAGGGGTCAGAGATATATCTCAAAGGGATTAGATATGCTTTGCACCAAGGAGATCCTGGTTTTGATATCTGGTACCACTTATTCAGTGCCCTGAGCCCTGCTCAGTGATCCCTTCCAGCAATATCCAAACACTACAAGGTGTGGTACAAAAGCCCAGAAAGACAAAACGAATTCTGTTAAAAAAAAAAAAAGGCATTTTAAACAGAAAAGGGAGTCAAGGGTTCAGCTATGATGACACAAAGTAATTTTTCCTAATCTGATTACTGCAAGTTTTTTAAAACAGAATTGCCATTAATTTGCTTATATTATATAAATTAACAGAGAATAGTAACACAAATTAGCACTTCTCAACCAGGGGTTATTTAACCTCCCCCCACCCAAGGGCCACCAAGATATTCCAAGGGGACCAAAGATAAAAATATTTATACGAGGACTCATGCAAGAGACTAGGGGGCCAACTGCTGGGGCAGGAGGACCAAGAAGAGGACAAGATCAGAAGGAGTCAGGGTCAGATGAAGGTCGAGAAACACTGACACAGAGGTGGGGGGTGGGGGGTGCCCTTAATGTGTGTTGATGAGAATCTTATTTAAGTGAAATTCACTGTCAGTCTAAACCATCCAATAAAACTATCTCTACTGAAGGCGAACTAAGAATCATATTTTAAATGAATCATTTATTAATAAAAGCTATGGAATAAAGAAAGAGCAGAAGGCAGGTGCAGGAGACATATTTAAGATTCCCCTCCCCCCAAAAAAAAACTTACGACTTTTTACTTCCATTAGAAGGGAGGAAGGCTTTGCCTATGTTTTTTTTGGCTTCTTCCATCATAAAATGTCTCCTCAATTGGTTTGCATTTGAATAGCTTTCACCTTCGAAAATCCTTCCAAAATGGGGTTCAAAATAACCGGCTTGGAGATCTGACATTTGTTTGGATCCCCCAGGTAGCATTTGCCTATTTTTGCCAGCAGCTTCATTAAAGGGTCCTTTAAAAACAAACGAGGAATGGTTTTGAACTCACTAGTAATTAGAGAACATGAAATATAACTTAGAAAAATTTCAAAGTGTCATTTGGACCAATGAATTTTGAACTCCAGAATAGTTTCGCTCAAAGCTGTGTTACAAGCTTATGCCAATAAGTTCTTCAAAGTTTTCAATTAAGACATAAGATATAAAAACAATCAATTGCTGGTTATAGATTCTAAATTTTAGAGCTTGAAGAGATCTGAAAAATCATATAGTGCAAATGCTTCCTCACTTATGTATTAGGAAATGCTGTCTGAGCTGACTGTTAGTATGTACTCATGGAAGCGAGAAAGCTTGTTGGGAAGGATGTTCTTTACTTAAATTTGAGTATAGTCTCAAAAAATGTGAGTGCCTATTTCCACTAAAAGACACGAACAAGGGGCTGGAGAGATAGCACAGCGGGTAGGGCGTTTGCCTTGCACGCAGCCGACCCGGGTTCAATTCCCAGCATCCCATATGGTCCCCTGAGCACCTCTAGGAGTAACTCCTGAGTGCAGAGCCAGGAGTAACCCCTGTGCATCGCCAGGTGTGACCCAAAAAGAAAAAATAAATAAATTGGTAGTTTAAAAAAAAAAAGACACGAACAAGGATGCTCACAGTAATTTCATTCATTGTAAATATGAAGAAATAACCCTAATGTCTATCAATAGGAAAAGTTCCATTGTAACGTGGAGCCGGAGACTCCATAGGTCCAGGACCTGTTTTGCACCCAAGATGCCCAGGCCTGATCCCTGACACAGCAGCTAATTATCCCCAATTCACTGTCAGGCATGACCTCCAAGAGCAGGGAGAGGAGGAAGAGCCCCTGCGACTGCCAGTGGATGATGCCCCCCACTCCAAAATTTATAATTTGGATCCTAGATTGCTCAATTTGTAAAGTCCTTTAATAAAGTGAGGCATTTTTGAAATGTGAACCTTAAATTCAACTGATTATTTAAATGTCAATTTTATCACTACCTCTTCTAACTTTTTGAAAAGAAAATGTATTCCCATGATTCTGAATTCAATATTGTATTTTTTAATGACTCTTTCTTCCAAATTGGCCAAGCAATGCCTCTCCTCCAAGTAACCATATTTTGTTTTCCAGAGACTAGTAAGGTTTCATTAAATATTTTCATATATACCCTTTTCCATTTTCAATCCTAAGCACCTTTTCTGCACCTTCATTTTTTTTTCTTTTTGGGTCACACCTAGTGATGCACAGGGATTACTCCTGGCTCATGCATGCAGGAATTACTCCTAACATGCTTGGGGGACCCTATAGCATGCTGTGAATCGAACCTGGGTTGGCTGCATGCAAAGCAAACACCCTACCCATTGTGCTATTGCTCCTGTACCTTGATGTTTATTTAATGAAAAATCTTGGAAAGATATCCATGTATTTTAATTGTTATATCTAACTGCTCCCCTTGGTTTGGGGATTACATGACTGGTTGTCAGGGGTGATCCTGTGATGCAAAGAATCTAATCTGGGTCTCTTACATCTACAGTATGAGCTTCAACATTTTGAAATATCTCCCCAGCCTGAACAGCCAAAAAACGTAACAAACATTTAAAATATGTATTTCCTTTAGTTTTTATTGAAATATTATTTCTAACCCCTAAACTATTTATGTATCATTCATTCCATCTTCCAAAAAAAAGTAATCATGGATTGCCTGCTTCAGTGTAAATGTAATTGTGATTTGCATAATAGAGATTCCCATATTTAAGGGGAGACAGATAAAAGCAAAATATTCTAGGAGAAAGTTGCCAAGTACCATTGGAATGAAGCAAAATTACCTCTGATGGCAATATGTGAGGGCAGAGTAACTAAATAAAAAGAGCTTCCTGCTTTTATAAAACTAGGTTCTCTCTTAACTACTGAAATGTCACAATTTTACACAACTTTTTAAAAAATTTTTATTAGTGAAACACCATGAGGTACAGTTGTAGATTTACAAATTTTTGTGCTTGGGTTTCAGTTATACAATGATCAATTACCCATCCCGCCACCAGTGCCCATTCTCCACCACCACAGGTCCCAGTATCCCTCCCACCCCCCCATCCCCCCTGTCCCACCCTGTCTCTGTGGCAGGGCACTCCCTTTTGTTCTCTCTCTCCTTTTGGGTGCTGCAGCTTGCAAAAGAGGCATTGAGTAGCAATCATGTTCGGTCTATAGTCTACTTTCAGCATGCATCTCCCGTCCTGGGAGGATCCTCCCAACACCCTTTATTTGGTGCTCCCTTCTCTATCTGAGTTTCCTTTACCCCTAGAGTGTGCAGCTGGCCTCCAAGCCATGGAGTAAACCTTCTGGTACTAATCTCGGCCATTCTTGGGTGTTAGTCTCCTATTTTGTTACTTTATGTTCCCCAGATGAATGCAATTTTTCTATGTCTGTCCCTCTCTTTTTTGACTCATTTCACTTAGCATGATACTTTCCATGTAGTACCACTTGTATGTAAATTTCATGACTTCATCCTTTCTAACAGCTACATAGTACTCCATTGTGTAGATGTACCAAAGTTTCTTTAACCAGTCATCTGTTCTCGGGCACTCAGGTTTTTTCCAGATTCTAGCTATTTTTTACACAACTTTAGAACTAATGCTTTGAAGTATGGACCATTAAGAGCTATCACTTAACTTGAATATTAAATCCAAAATTTCATAGAGACAGTATCCACTAGTAGACTATACAAAAAAAATATACTTACGATTATATAATGACACATATTTATCACCGATAGTAATATACTCCATCTCACTGAAGAGGCCAATCCGCTCCATGTCTGTTTTGGTTCCTCCTTCCATAGGCATGTTTGCTTCTTAGGGTGATCTCTGTATAAGCAACTCCAAAAGGTTCCTCAGGAAAACCTCTTTGATTCCAAAATCCTATTTTTCATTTAAAATTCAAGGGGAAATTCAGGGGTGGGGATGGAAGTAAAGTAATTACTAAATTTCTGAACAAACAATGCTTTCAGTCTTCAAGTTAACATTCACTCTGAAACAAGAGTCCAAAGCTAGGTAGGAAATGGATCTGCTCAGAGGAGTGTGAGAGACTACTGGGATTCATGAACCTGCCTCTGGACTCCTCAGGCAAAGTTCTCACTGATACTAAAGGAATGTCTGGCAGCGCCTGTTGAGGTGTCATTCATACTCTAAAGATAACAGCAGTATTACTTCACAGTACAGTATAATCCATCTTTTGCGAACTGGGCATGAAACCCAAGTCCTCGAGCTATATGAACATCCTCAGCCCTGAGGGTGGAGTCAGAACTCAGAAAGGCAGACATTTCTCAGTTTGGACCATTGGCTCTCCAGTTGAAAAATCACAGCTGATCATTTATGTGCACGACACATATGGGTGCTGCCCTATGGTTCTTGGTTCTTACTTTAATTTTTTTCAAGTTTAAATGCAAGAAAATGTGCCGCTGGGAAAAAAAATAGTTCACAAAGGAATGTCGAGAAGGTAGGGGCTGGGGGGTAAGCATCATTGAAATCAAGAACAAAAACCTAGAAATCGTTAAGAGCGCTTCTTTGATATCAACAGGTCAGCTGCACATCTCCTGGATCCCTGCTTGCTCCCCCCCAATCCCCACCCGCAGCTGACCTCTGCCAAGCTGGCCACAGGCTCAGCTCTGCTTCTCCTGAAAGGCACGGCTCTATTCATCAAATGTCACACTGCTCCCACTTACACTTCCTGTCAACGGGTGGAGACAGGCAGGGAAGGAAAAAGAGCGATTCCCAGCCTAACGCCTGGGAGGCTAGCTACAAATATGTACCCTCAGCACAGCAGGGGTGCACTGCAAACCTAAAGGGGAAGACACAGAAATCCCACCAGGTTCAGTGAGGGAAAACACACCCAAGGCTCAACTTTGACAAACTGGCAGGCTATCGAATGTAGCCTGCCCACACGGCAGAGTCTGGCAAACTCCCCGTGGTGTACCCAATATGCCAAATACCAGTAACAATGATGGGTCTCATTCTCCTAAAGAGCCTTGAATATAATCTCAGGGCTAGGATGAAGGAGACGTTCCTGGGGCCTGCTCGAGGCAATCGACGAATAACAGGATGATCTGTGATCTGTGACTCTGGTGAGAATATTTAAGAAGCAGCTGCACAGAGAATAAACAAAATACAAGAAAGGTTGAAAGCTGAAAAAAGAAAACTACAATTATAAATGACAAATGAAAACTGAGAGATATTTTCTTAAAAACTCAATAGAAGGTCTGAGCAGCAGAATAACTGCAACTAAGGAAAAGACCAAGGAGCTCCAAGATGAAATGCAGGAAATGTTTAGAAAACAACAGAATAAAGAAAGAGTCTAAACATCAATTTGGGTCCCTGCACAAGGCATGTGTCCCCTGACCAGAGTTATCTTCTTGGTTCCTCTAGTTACCTCTTTACGAAAATAAAAGCACACCATACTGTGTATTTGTTATATTTTACATACGCCTTTCTAATAAATTACTTTTACAACGTTAAAAAAATTGCATGGCAGAAGAAATAGTCCAGCAGGCAGGGTGCTTGCTTGCACCTGGCTGACCCAGGTTTGATTTCCAAGCAACCCGTTTAGTCCCTGAGAGCAAAGCCATGAGTAAGCCCTGAGTACTGCCAGATGTGGCCCCCAAACAAAACAGCAACAACAGAGTTCTTAAAGAGAAGACAGAAACTTTGAAATATCACATTAAACATATAGCTATTTAGTTATTATGTTTAAATTAGGTGGTGGCTGGTCCTGGAGGTCTTTGGCCAGCCACCACCATGCTGAGATCACTCTCCGCACACATGAAGGTACTGGCAGAGGGACAAAGTCACGCGGGTTCCGGGGCCGAGATCTCCAAGCCTACTCGGATTGGGGCTGGGCATCCTTCACCCAGATCCTTCAAACTACTGTAGGCGGGGGTCACACCCACCAGCTGGCCCCGTGTAATCCCATCAACGGCCAAGACCCAGAGACTATAAAACTCAGCTCCCGGAACCGTGGCGGCGGCGCGACATCTTATTATGACATCTTATTATCTCATTCCTACTTTGGACAAACTGGCAGGCTACTGAATGTAGCCTGCCCACAGGGCAGAGTCTGGCAAACTCCCCGTGGCGTACCCAATATGCCAAATACCAGTAACAATGATGGGTCTCATTCTCCTAAAGAGCCTTGAATATAATCTCAGGGCTAGGATGAAGGAGACGTTACTGGGGCCTGCTCGAGGCAATCGACGATTAACAGGATGATCTGTGATTTGTGATTGTGATTTAAATTAGGCATGTCCTGAAAGAGGATGACTAAAGACGCTAAGAGTAAGAATACTTGCCTCATTTCGTCCTAATAATTTTAAAGTATCAACTAGAACAAGCACGGTGGAGTTTGGAGGAAGAGCATATTAGCCTAACTGTGACCTTAAACATGAGTTTGGGGTTGCACAGATTATAACTCAAGGTAAGCGTATTAGTGACCTAATTATGATCTAAACCTATTTTGGGTTGCGCAGATTATAGACCAAGGGAAGGATTTCCGCCTCCACCCACCCCCCCCAAAAAAAATGTAAAGCAAGTTGTTTGAGTACCACTGAAACATTCGCTCAATCACCACCTCTTCAAGTTTCATAGCCCCATCCTCCTTCCAGGACCTAATCTAAGAAGCGATCTAGCAGTTACCACCTTGCAGCTTCCACTTAGGGAACCTTTCCTGCACAGCGAGTGGGTCGCACACGCACCCACCTCTCAACCCCCAAGGAAGCAGGGGCCCCTGGGTGAGGCTGACGTAGCATCCCCAGGTTTTGCAAAAACAGCCGAGGGGAGCAAGGGAAGGCTGCGGGACAGATGCGCTCTCCTGGAACTTCATCCCTTAACTCTTCTTGGGCGACCTTGACAGGGTCAGCACCTTTATTTAAGACCCTTCACCAACTCGGAACCAGAAACGCCGAGAGAGTGGACCACGCAGGCACGCTGCCCTGGCTAACGGGCGATGCGGAGGTGAAGAAGGGGCAGAAAACTTCCTGCCAGAGAGGAGGAACTGTGCCTTTTAGGAACGCGCAGACTGGGCGCGAGCAGGTGCTGGAAAAGGGCGACACCCGGGGCCTCAGGAACAAGTCACCTCTCGGAGGGGCCGGCCCAACCCGACATCCAATCTGGGTCCCCGCAGTTCCCGCGCGGGTTCGTTCATTCAGCAGCCAGAGCCTGCGGGAGGGCGCGGAAACGCTCAGCGCTCGAGCTCCCCGTGCAAGGACCCCGTCCCCGCTCGGCTCACGGCGGGATGCTGGCTGGGATGCGTTGCCTAGAAACCGGATCGTCCCTTCCGGGTCCGCCCCCTCAGCCAGATCACGCGGACGAGGCGCATTCTCTTCCGGGTTCCGGGCGACCGCGAGCGTCCCAGCCAATCAAATTGACCGCCGCCGGCGACTGCCCGCCCTGCGCTCCGTCCGCGAGGAAGTATCGCGGTTCGTCCAGGAGGTTTGCCGCCGAGCATGCTGGGAGTTGTAGTTCGGCCAGCCCCTGGTTCCCCCCCCGCCCCGGTGACGTCACTTCCGGCGGGCCTCCCGGGTAGGTGTCCTTGCTGGTTAGGGCCACGTCGCAGACCATGGTGAGTATCTCTGCTCGCCACCCGCCCTTGCTTTGCCCCTTGAGGCGCCTTTGGCCTTCTGACTTCGGCTCCGTGGCTCCTGAAAGCAGTTGGCCCTTGCCGGGCCCCCGTGGTGGCAGCTGAAAACGCCCCAAACAAACTGGGTCTCCCTCTCCCGGCTGGGGAGGGAGGACGCCGTCCTGCACCTTCTCGCACCCAGCCAGCTCAACTGTGTCTGGACACGTGTTCCCTGTGACTTACCTTTGTGAATGCATTTATGAGAACTAAAGGGAATGAGTTTTTGGAGATTTTGGAGATTTCCAAGAAGCACGCACCTTCAAGGAAGAAAACCAGGAGTCACTGCCTTCAAATCGCCCGGTTCCTTGAGCTCCTGTCGTTTCAGGCCTCGCCTTCCTCAATGCCCAGCCTGGTCCTCCTGGGCTCTAGGAACACTTTTCTTGAAAGACGGACCGGACGCTCTCTCCCAAATTTGTGTCTGCACCTTAGGCCTTGCTTCTGAGCTTCAGAGTCACAGATCGACCCATCTCTGTATGGTCCTGTCGTTGCGCCTATATTCTGAGCTCAGCAAGATCAAAGGTGCCTCATCATTTCCACCCCACTCATCATCCATCCTCCTCACCCCACGGCCTGCTTTTCCTCCAGCGATCCCCATCTCAGGAAATGACAGCTCGTCCGTTGGGTCATGCCTGCCATTATCCTGGAAATTGTTCTTGATGTCTCCTTCTTCTTTTTTATTTTTCTTTTTTTGCTATTTGGGGTCACACCCAGCAATGCACAGGAGTTACTCCTGGTTCCTGCACTCAGGAATTACTCCTGGGGGTGCTCGGGGGACCATATGGGTTGCTGGGAATTGAACCTGGGTCGGCTGCGTGCAAGGCAAACGCCCTACCCGCTGTGCTATTGCTCCAGCCCCTGTCTCCTTCTTCTAAACATCTGGTAAATAAGCCCAGTGAGTCCTGCTTGGCATTTGCTCCGTTTTGTCACTCTGTGCTCTTGCGATCCTTGTCTTTCCATCCGCAGGCGATACCATCCTCGGCAGTCGCCCAAGTGGCCTTCTAAGATATCTCTAATCCAACACCCCTTCCCTCTTCTTCCTCCACCCCCTCCTTTCCTTTGGAGTTGTTCATGCACATGCCTTCTTACTCTTCAGATATCAGTTGGAATATTACTTCTCCAGAGAAGGGCTCAGTTTAGAAGTCTAGTTTCTCACAAGACTTCTTATAGAACCTTTACAGGAATTCAGGGACGTGGTATGTTTCCTCCAATTTTATGGAAATCAGAATAGACGTTAGGGATTAAATTCTTTCAGAAGCCTAAGTGGTAGGGTAAGTAGCGTTAAAGGTTTGGCATTTTAAACTGTTACCTTCAGTGTCTTTCAGTGTCATTCAGGATTCTGTTAATAAGCATGGAGTATTTTGTATGGTAGAATTGTTCGTTTTTAACCAATTTACTGATCTTTAAGGAGAGGTTCTTTGCTCTTATTCTTTGTGAATAACAGCATCAGTGGAACATAGAAAACATAAACAGCTAATTTGCCCTCTTCGTTGTTTCCTCAGTATAAATTACCAAAAGTAGAACTGAGGTAAAAGCTATGAATTTTAATTAAATTGCAAATTATGGAATAACTAAAGGCAGTCAGCCTTTGAAGGAGAAAATAAAGTGATAAGGGATCTATAAGTCAGAATAAAGTACACTGAGCTCATTAATTCAAAAAGTTCTTACTCTGTAGCCTGTTCAGTGTAACTTTTAAGAATCTGATGATATCTTCTAAACCACTTTCCAAAAAAAAAAAAAAACTCTTTCCCTTTTTTCTTCTCACTGACCCCCACCTAAAATTAAGTATTAGTCATGCCGTCATCATCTACCTGACTTGCTTAGAAATCCAGATTAAGATCAAATGATAGATTTCATTTTACAAGTTCTCTCTTTCCTTCATAAGTTGAAGTGTTCTTTGATTAAATATTCTTTGGTTCTGGGCTGGAGGTACACACAGCAGCTAAGGCACTTGCCTTGCTCACAGCTGACCTGGGCTAGAACCCCTGTACTGCATATGGTCCCTCAAGCCTTACCAGGAGTGATCTCTGAGTACAGAGCTGGGAGTAAGCCCTGAGCACCCCTGGTTGTGGCCCCAAAGTGTGTGTATATATATATATATGTGATTTTCCATGACTATTTAATAATCACAATTTTTTACCATATCACTTAATGACATTTAGGTTAACATCTTTATGAATCTTTGGAAGGATTTTTGGTTTTGTCTTTTGCAGATTTCCTTAGACTAAATTTTTAAATGTTATTTCTAAATTTCTTGGTTTAGAACCACTGAATCAAGAATGTGAATGTAGGGACCAGAGCAGTTGTATAGTGGGTAGGGCATATGCCTTATATGTGGCCAACTGGGGTGCAATCCATGGCATCCTATACCACCCCCCAAACAAAGCCAGCAGTGATTCCTGAGTGCAGAGCTAGGAGTAATCCCTGAACATCTCGGGGTGTAACTGCAAAATTCCTCCTCCCCCAAAAAAGAATGAGAGAATGTGAACGGGAGTGCAAAAGCTTTAGAAGATGCCTCTGTCAAGGTTCAACATAGATCAACTAATCAGAATCTCAGACAATGTAGACCAATTATCTGTACTTCTAAGTTCCTCATACAATTTTATGTTGGAACAAATATTGAGAACCCCTGATTTAAAGTTCAGGGTGTTTACTCAATAAAGGGAATTAATTCATGAATTAATTTAAATAGAGAAAGTTAACCTGAATTTAATATAAACTTAGGTGGATTCTAAATTTACATGGGGTGAGGTTGTTTTACGCGGAAATTTTGTTTTGTTTCAGGTGATTTCAGACTCTGCTGATATACTCTTCAGAATTCGAGGAGGTCTTGATCTAGCTTTTCAGCTAGCTACTCCTAACGGTAGGTCTGTCAAAACAGCTTTTTTTAAAAAAAAAAAATTTTTAGGCACTTTGATTTACAGTATTGATAAAGGCAGTCGTTTCATGCATGAAACGTTCCAACAAGAACACTCCTTTTGTGACAATAAGACATATGACAAAAGATACTGAGATTCTCTGCACTTTGAAAATAAAACAGAGAGGGGATGAGTATCTAGGATCACTTAATAAATGATACAGATCAGATTTGAACTTGAAAGTTGCCTACCAGCATCATCACTAGTCCCTGGAGTGGTTCTAAACAAATTAGAGGAAAGATTCTCTTCTCTCCTTTAAGAAAATCTGCTGCCCTCTTGCAGAAAAGTGTCGTGATAAATGTGAATATCCACAATGAGCACAGTGTCAATGAGACACTTAGATTTATATGTTGCATGTTTTCAGCTGTATAGATCCCTGTGTCTCCAGAAATACATAACCCTCCACTCTCTTCAGTGTTCTGTTGGGATAATTCTAGACTGCCGTAGGAGTTGGGGGGGTGGGGGGAGCATGGTGGGAGGGGGAGTCAGCAGGGGGTTATATAAATCAGATTCTGGTTTCTATAAACTAGATAAAATTTTAGGTTTTCCATAAAATTCTAGAATCATATAAAATTCTGACCTTCCTGTTTTTGACTTGGATGCCTGTCACAAATAAGAGTGTCAAAGGAAGAAAGCAAGGCATTGTTTGAGAGTTGCATGCTTTGGGGATACTGAAGTATATCAGGTTCAAGTTCCCAACAGACATTTGGTCATGTACATCTGAAACTTACGGCAGAGGAGTAGGAGTGGAGATGGAGAAGTTAAAGTCTATGAAGGATATAACCAACTCCTTGTTTGTAATTAAAATACCTCGTGAATAGTATAGTCAGTAGTTTCAAAAGCTGTAGAGAAGCCCAGAGAGAAGGTAGGGACAGGGTCCAAGTTCCTGGATCACGTTTCCAGCTGGCCTTTGCTTACTGATGCTGTGAAAAATGAAAAGGGCTAGATGCAGAATATTCTTTTTTTTAATGTGGAGTACTGCTATTTATTCAGCCACTGATTAGCTGATTGAATAGTGCATGAACTCCACCTTACTTTTTTTTTTTTCATTTTTTATAATTTTATTTATTGGAGCGATAGCACAGCAGTAGGGCGTTTGCCTTGCACGCAGCCAACATGGCCGACCCGAGTTCGATTCCTCCGCCCCTCTCGGAGAGCCCGGCAAGCTACCAGTGACGCGTTCGATATGCCAAACACAGTAACAACAAGTCTCATGGAGACGTTACTGGGCCCACTCGAGCAAATCGATGAACAACGGGAGGACCCATGGTGGTGCATTGAATCACCAAGAGAGCAATTTACAAAGCTTTTGGGTCTAAGTCTCGGTCACACAATGAAACACCCGTACCTTCACCAGTGCCCATTCTCCACCACCAAAAACCCCAATGTACCCCCATCCCACACCCTCCCCCCACCTGTGGGGCAGATGATTTCCACATTACTCTCTCTCTACTTTGATCACATTCAATATTTTGACACCAGACCCACCATTATTATTTGAGATTTTACCCCAACACTCAGATCTGCTGAAAAGTCAACAGTAGACAATTTGTGTTCTATTGCTGGTTATGAATAACATATGATGTCGCGTGTCTGCAGTAGGGCCATGTGATTTTGAAATTCTGAAATTTTAACACTTAAATCTCGAGGGATTTCTACCAAATCCCTGGGTTTTAAGATTTGCTCCTGAGTCTCTGGGATCATGGCCATTGAGCAGCTTGATCAGAAGCCAGAGAGGCCGTTTGTGGGCAATGACTTGGGGTCTCATTGGGGTGGGGAGGACAGGCCTGGCTCTACCCCCATCCTGTGAGGCCCAAAATGTCTCGTCACTGCGGGCCCAGACCTGATTGTCCAATGGTCTCTGGAGGATGACAGCCACTGAGCCACCAAGGGGGAGCAGGCAGAGGGACAACACCCTTTCCCCCCTGGGGTGGCCTGGCGACAGTAACCTACTGCAGTGTAGGGACGCATTTCTGCCAAAAGCCGGTTTCGAGATTTGTTTCTGAGTCTCTGGGATCAAGGCCATTAAGCAGCTTGATCAGGAGCCAGAGAGGCTGTTTGTGGGCAATGACTTGGAGAAGCCCGGCTCTATCCCCATCCTGTGAGGCCCAACAAGTTTCATCGCTGCGGGCCCAAGCCTGACTGTCCAATGGCCTCTGGAGGATGACGGCCACTGAGCCGCCAAGGGGGAGCAGGTGGAGGGACAACACCCTTTCCTCCCTGGGGTGGCCCAGCGACAGTAACCAACTGTGGGGTTTGGACGCATTTCTGCCAAAAGCCACTGGGTTTTGAGATTTGTTTCTGAGTCTCTGGGATCATGGCCGTTAAGCAGCTTGATCAGGAGCCAGAGAGGCTGTTCGTGGGCGATGACTTGGGGTCTCACTGGGGTGGGGAGGACAGGACCGGCTCCACCCCTGTCCCTTGAGGCCCTGTGTGTCTCGTCACTGAGGGCCCAAACCTGACTGTCCAGTGGCCTCTGAAGGATGGCAGCCACTGGGCCGCCGGGGGGAACAGGCCAAGGCACAACACCTGTTTCCACCTGGGTTGGCCCAGCACCGGTAACCTACTGCAGGGACCAGACACATTTCTGCCAAAAGCCGCTGGGTTTCGAGATTTGTTTCCGAGTCTCTGGATTCATGGCCGTTAAGCAGTTCAATCAGGAACCAGAGAGGCCATGCCTCCAATTATATAGCTGAGCCAGAGGTGGTTTGTGGGTGTGTTTCCCACATGCCTAACTTTTGGCCGTTTACTTTCTTGGTAAACTTTGCCCCAAGTTTTTGGGGTCTGGCCAAAGGCTCAGCAGCAATTTTGGGGTATCTGGAAGTCTGAAAGCACCATCAGGCTCTGATGCACTCACCTCACAGGTACAGACTGACCTGCTGGCGGCACCATACCTGATGCAGAATATTCTTTCTCATTCATCTCTTAGACCAAAAATTTGTGCTTAATCTTTACCGCATATTGGAATACCTACCCCCAGGCCAGTTAAAGCAAGTGTGTCTGGGTCAGAGTTCCAAGCAATTTGAGAATAGTTTGAAAGGGTCTAAATCAAACTCATTTTCAGACTTATCTTAATAAATTGTACCCTAGTAGACTATTTGTATGAATGAAACATTAGATTTCAAAACCAGATATAAATTGAAGATATCCTTTTGTTTGAATTTATTGCAAATGATTAGTTGATAGATAAAACAGTAATTTCATATGTAAGCAAGGACTGCAGATTTTTTTTACATTGCAACTCATACATTGGACTTCTGACTTGTATGTATTCTGACTTGTATGTATTCCTTCTTATATCAGATAATCATATAAGGAGGTCATTAACAAAAAGTTATAGAGGAAAGAGTTTTTTTAGTTTAGAGACCCTAGTTAAAATAGTTACCTAAAGTTATGTTTATTTTTTGTAGTATAGCTAAACAGTCTCTCAGCATCTGAAATATTTCAAGTATCTTCAAAATATTTTGTGAGGCCAGAGAGAAAGAGTACAGAAGTTAAGGGACTTAACTTTCACAAAGTAGACCCCCAGTTCAATCCCCAGTATCACATATTGTTTTAGGAACACTAGGAATGATCCCTGAATGCAGAAGCAGAAGTAAACCTGAGCACCTCTTTGACCCAAGAAAGTTATTTTAATATCTGACTAAAAAGTAGTCTCTTGTCTGCTATAACGCCAAGGTAGTTTTTTTACTAAGACATCTATGGCAGTTGCAAAATTATTTTAACCACAGAATTAAATTGGTTTAGAATTAAGGAGTATGAAGCTAGGATGAGTTTTAATTATCTTCAACATTTTTGTACAATTTGATTGGAATCATAAAAATTTCACATAATTTAAGAATTCTATTAAACTTAAAGTAAATCACTGAAAATGAAGCCAAAGAACTGTGAGTTTGATGCGGTAGCAAAGAGAAAGAAATTTCTGTCTTTAGAATACATAGAATACATTACTATGTACAGTCTTAGTGAGATATAGTCCCTGAGATAGTGAGATATATAGTCCATGAGATATGCTCCGTGAAAGAAAAAACTATGAAGAAATTCTATCATCAGTTTTATAGCTATCAGTATTTTGAAAGTAATTGGAATCCTCAAACCTTGCTTGTGTGAATATAAAATAACTCAGCTGCTTTGAAAACAGATTGGCAGTTGCTCAAAAAGTTAAGCCCAAAATTACCATATGACCTAATAATTGTCCTAGGTGACTACCCAAGGGAGTTGTTTTGGGCTGGAGCGATAGCACAGCGGTAGGGCGTTTGCCTTGCACGCAGCCAACAGGGCCGACCCGAGTTCTATTCCTCTGCCCCTCTCGGAGAGCCCAGCAAGCTACTGAGAGTATCGCGCCCGCACGGCAAAGCCTGGCAAGCTCCCCGTGACGTATTCAATATGCCAGACACAGTAACAACAAAGTCTCCAATGGAGACGTTACTGGGCCCGCTCGAGCAAATCGACGAACAACGGGAGGGCCTTTTATTGAAGGAATGAGTTTTGTAGTCTGTGACTTGTATATCATTTTTTTCAAGAAGGCGAAAAAAGAAATAAGATCATTGATGCTAGAGAAATTCTTAGGGTTAGTTTCACTATGCTCTGTCTGTTTGGAAGCATTCATGTTGACAAGATCATTTTTTTTATACCTTCAATTCTTTTCCTTTAGAAATTTTTACCAAGAAAGCACTCAAGCATGTGTTAAGTGACTTGTCAGCCAAGCTTTCTTCAAATGCTCTTGTGTTCAGAATTTGCCATAGTTCCGTGTATATCTGGCCTAACAGTGACCTGAGCACCAACCCTGGAGAACTGACTGATGGCTCTGCTTGTAAGAACATTATGCGCTTGATTCAGTGAGTATGTTTGAAAACTGCTTGAAATCTTTTCAAACCATCATCTCATAGTATAAACATCTTTGTGTGTACCATTTAGATTTGAACAGGAAGAAGATACAAAACGAAAATTCATGAGAAAGAAAGACAAAAAGCTGTCAGACATGGTACGCAAATCATCTGTCTTCGTGGTAAAACTTTTATATCTGTGAATTTAGAGGTGCCTGAGATGATAGAGATCATTTTATCCAAGCCTTTTATATCATCAGATCAGATCATTGATGTCAGTAATTGAATATCGAATGAGGTGCCAGAGGTTACATCTCATGTCATGTCTAGGCTTTGTCCTGTTATAATATATGCCTTTAAGGGTTTTTATAAATGTGTTCATTGTTTCCACAAAAATAAAATGTCTCTGGGGACTGGAACAATAGTACAGCAGGTAGGGCACTTGCCTTTCAAGTCCAGGTCCAATTCCCAGCATCCCATATGGTCCCCTGAACATTTCCAGGAGTAATAGTACAGAGCCAGAGGTAACCCCTGAACTTTCCTGGGTATGGCCCCCAAACCAAAAACAAATTAAAAAGTTTTAAAGCAGCTTGATTATGTTTACAAATTTAACGGTAAATAAAAAGTTGTTCCGCAATATGACAGGTGTTATGCTGTGAGATAAATGACAAGTTATTTCCTTTTTGCATATTGACTTTAGGTTTTGTTGCATTTTGAACCGGTGCTGTGGAGCACCTGCCCCAGGTCACAAACTTTGCCAGATATTGTGGATAAAAATGAAGGTGCTACTTCTGCGCAGGAAGTTGTATGAAGTTAATATAGCAATTGTGTTTTTCCAGATGGGTAGGGAGAGTTAGCGTGGACATGAGGTTGCAGTGTGGGAGAAGGGGTGCTATCCCAGCAGCTAAGGTAGCGGAGAAGAGGGAATGAATGACGCTGAGCTATTAGAGGATAAAATAGCTTCCACTTAGAAAATAAGTGGCTATGGAGTCACTTGCTTGGGTACTGATATAAAGTGACAAAGACATGAAGTTAGTGTGGTTCATGTAATGTTTGATAAACCAGACACTTACCCAAATTTGCTGGCAGATTTTCAATCTGGAGTGAAAAGAAAAAAATGGGGTTATAATGATCTGAGAGTTTTGGTAGCTGTGAGGCATGAGGGTCATTTCTTTGGAAGATGGTTTCACGAGGAAGCTCGTTGCAGTGCCCAGCTGAAGCACATTTGCCTAGAGATCTGAGCCCTGGCAGGCTAACAGCATTTTTATTTCTCTTCAGATTATTTTGAAGCAGAGAATCTTTCTGAGCTGTGATTTATCTTTTTAAGCAATTTGACATAGCTTTCTATGGCCCTTAAAATAATCTGTTCATTTACTCTCTATATTCAGAGTTCAGTGTACTAAAAATTGACTCTTAATGTTTATCTGTATAGCATCAGATAGTCAACATAGATCTTATGCTGGAAATGTCAACCTCTCTGGCAGCCATGACGCCCATCATTGAAAGAGAAAGTGGAGAGCACCACTATGTCAGTATGACTTTGCCTGTCGACGCAGTTATAGCTGTTGCACCTGAAGAAACCTGGGGAAAGTAAGTTTTTTGTTTTGTTTTATTTTGTTTGGGGGTTACATCTGGCAGGGATCACTCCTGGCAGGGTTCAGAACTATAATAGGTGCCAGGGATAGAACCTGGGTTAGCCGTGTGCAAGACAAGCTCCTTACCCACTATACAATCTCTCCAGCCCTGAAAGTAAATATTTTATAGTGCTTCTGCCACAGTTAAAGGAGAACCCTTCCCCCAGAATTATCAAGGCTTGGTTATAAATAAGCATATCTATAATTATTACTCCTTATAATGATGTGCTCCTTATTTTTAAAGTAATGTCACCCGATGATTGTTTATTTGGAGGAAGTTAAGTAGAATGCTAAAACTGTAGCATTTTCCTATTTCTACAATGAGGAAATAGATATTTTACTTAACTTTGTAAAATTTAGACTGACTTTTATAAAGCTGGTCCAGTTCTTATTTGGGCTGGTTGTCTTGCTTTTTTTTTCCTTTTTAATTATATTCAGAATATATTGACTCCACTTTATCACCACTTTAACTTACTAGTTATATGTTTTCCACCCCTCCAGAGTTCGGAAACTTCTAGTTGATGCAATTCATAATCAACTAACTGATATGGAAAAGTGTATTTTGAAATATATGAAAGGAACATCTATTGTGGTCCCTGAACCATTGCACTTTTTATTACCTGGGAGAAAAAATCTTGTAACAATTTCGTATCCGTCAGGAATTCCAGATGGTCAGCTGCAGGCCTACAGAAAGGTAAAACCTAGTCCAAGAAGAAAAACAGATACTTTCAGCCACGTGATGCTTAACTCTCTAGTTCTGATAAATGGAAATTATGATGTGATTTAACATAGTATGTGGAAGCAGAATGTTTGACTTTTTACTTCATTCAGTTCTTATGGAGCTGGAGCGATAGCACAGCAGTAGGGCGTTTGCCTTGCACGCAGCTAACCTGGCCAAACCGGGTTCAATTCCTCTGCCCCTCACGGAGAGCCCGGCAAGCTACCGAGAGGACCTCACCCGCACGGCAAAGCCTGGCAAGCTACCTGTGATGTATTCAATATGCCAAACACAGTAACAAGTTTCAAAAAATGGAGATGTTACTGGGCCCGCTCGAGCAAATTGATGAACAGCAGGAGGACAGTGACAGTGACAGTTTTGATGAAACTTGCCTTTTGATCTATCCATGGAAAAATAAACAATATGGGGAACTAAGAGAGGGTTCAAAGGACTGGAGGAGCACATATCTGTCGTGCAGGAAACCCCGAGATTGATTCCAAGCATTGCATGGTTCCCTGATGCTCCCCAGTATGGCTGTGGTGGGCCTTAGCGCCACTAAGCCTGAGCACTGCTTAATTCAGTTCCCACCACCACCCCCAAAATAAAAGACCCCAACATTTTAATTTTATTTATATAATGTGGTTCACGTCTTCTCAAATAACCTTCATTTTCCCTTAATAAAATTTAAATGCCCCTGAACAGCTGTTGAGTGTAACAGATTCTTAACTCTATCCCTGCCACTTTATGAAGAGAAACAAGATTTCAGCTAGGAAAGGAAAATTGGGGTTTTGTTCATTCTGTTTATAGTCATAGTAATAACACTACTCCCTGCCTCCTGGGGCTGTGTGCATTTAACTGAGACATTTTGAAGAAAATGTTATCAGTGTTCAAAGAAATAAGATTTGCTAGCTACATGACTGGTGTAGGTACATACTTTGATAGGAGCCCTTCCTGGCATCCATCAAATGATGCCATGGGAACGTGGTCCTAATGTCTGCTGCAGAGAAAAGGGATAATGCTATAAGCCACTGTACCTTCTCTTAAGTGCCAGGTAAACTAATTTGTAGAGGCAGTGGCCACACAAGCTGCTGAAACATTCAAAATATTGGAATACACAGGAGACATGAGAGAGGAAATGTCAGAATTTTCCAAGTAACTATTACATATTTTCTGCCATTGAGGAAATAGTACATTTTAAATGTATTTTGATTATAATGTAAGACCAGTTAGTATAAATTACCAAATTCTACTCTGTAATCCCTTATACTTTTTACGTATTCTAAACATGATTTTTCAGGGTATTGATACTTATATAATGATCTCAGTTCTAATGAATTGGTTGGTTTTTTTTTTTACATATCGTTCCAATTTATTTTTATATCCATAGATCACACAAAAATTTGATTTGACCTTAGTTTAAATTGTACCTCTTTGATCTTAGTGAAGTTAGATAAATAAATGTGTCTGATACTGAAAATCTATATAGGATTAGGTTTTATTTTATATCTTTATTGACTGTCAGTCAAAATATTTTTTTCTCTTCTATCTGTTTTGATTTAATTTAGGAGTTACATGATCTCTTCGATCTGCCTCATAACAGACCATATTTTAAAAGGTCCAATGCTTATCACTTTCCAGATGAACCATACAAAGATGGATACCTTAGAAATCCACATACTTACCTCAATCCACCTAACATAGAGACTGGTGTGGTGAGTTTTAACTAGTTCTTTGTGCTAACCGTTGATAATTTATGTTGTTAGTTATTCCTCAATTTTGTATCTAGTAGAAGATATTGTGAAAATGTGTGTGTCATATTTAAAGGATAATTTACCATCTATTTCAGTGTACCCAGAAGGTACTGATTTTGACAAAGATTAGAGTCATCCATTTTACAAAAATAATATTTGATATGTGCCTATTACAGATATGTAACTTATAAAGAGCTCTGTTTATTTAAGGACATTGCCAATCTGTTTTCTTACTTATTCCTCTGCCTACCCCACAACCAAGAGGAAGAATTATACTGATCTCATTATTTTGTAGTCATTGTTTATTTCCTCAGTTTTATACGTTTTCTCCATACATGTATTTATTATCAACGACTTCGTTTTTTAAAATTTTGCTTGACACTCCTGGGAATATATCCCAGAGAGGCAAAAAGGTATAGTCGAAGTGACATCTGCAATTGTTTGTTCATTGCAGCACTCTTTACAATAGCCAGAATCTGGAAAAAACCTGAGTGCCTGAGAACAGATGACTGGTTAAAGAAACTTTGGTACATTTACACAATGGAGTACTATGTAGCTGTTAGAAAAGATGAAGTTATGAAATTTACATACAAGTGGTACTACATGGAAAGTATCATGTTAAGCGAAATGAGTCAGAAAGAGCAGGATAGACACAGAAAGATTGCATTCATCTGGGGAACATAAAGCAACAAAAAGGGAGAGTAACACCCAAGAATGGCTGAGATTAGTACCAGGAATTTTTCTCCATGAATGGGAGGCCAGCCACACGTTCTAGGTGAAAAGGAAGCTCAGATAGAGAAGAGAGCACCGAATAAAGGGTGTTGTGAGACCCTCCCAGGGTGGGAGAAGCATGCTAAAAGTAGTCTATAGACCAAACATGATTACCACTCAAAGCCTCTCTTGCAAAACACAGTACCCAAAAGAAGAGAGAACAAGGGGGAATACCCTGCCACAGAGGCAGGATGGGACGGGGGGATGGGGGGTAGGGGGGATGCTGGGACCCGTGGTGATGGATGACGGGCACTGGTGGAGGGATGGGCACTTGATCATTGTATAACTGAAACCCAAGCACAAAATTCGTAAGCCTATAACTGTACCTCATGGTTTTTCACTAATAAAAAAAGAAAAAAAAATAAAATTTTGCTTGATTTTGAGGTGTATAAAAGTTATAGTTCCATGTGTAGTCCACTACTGCTTGCCTTTTCATCAATATTATGTACCTACGATTTTATCCATGGTATATGCCCTTCATTTATCTTGATTGCTTTATATTGTACCTCAGTGTGATTTCCTGTTAGTTTTTTTTTCTTTTTTTATGCTATTTAGATAAGCATGCTATAAACATTCCTGTTTGTTTTTTATATGTGCAACAGTTGTCAACATTATGCTACATTTGCTTCATTTCTCTTCATTTTCTCCCTTGAGGAGATTCAAACAAACAAAAATTACAGGCATCGTGTCATTTATTCCAAATATTTTAGCATAAATTCTAAATATTTCAGCATAAATTTACAAATAATAATTGATTTTCTTTTATGGGATAAAACTTTCAGTTATGATTATTTGGAATTCTCAGCTGGATTTATGTTGCAAGTATTTTGTTAAGTTTGTGCATTTCTGTTCACAAAGTATATTATCATAATTTTCTTTTGTCACCATTATTTGGCATTTCTATCAGTAATATACTGGCTCATTGAAAAATTTGGGGGATGTTCACTCTTAAAAATGTTCTAGGGGGCTGGAGCAATAGCACAGCGGGTAGGGCGTTTGCCTTGCACGCGGCAGACCTGGGTTCAATTCCCAGCATCCCATATGGTCCCCTGAGCACCGCCAGGGGTAATTCCTGAGTGCAGAGCCAGGAGTAACCCCTGTGCATTGCCGGGTGTGACCCAAAAAGCAAAAAAAAAAAAAAAGTTCTAAAGATAAAAGAAATAAATAAAAATAAATAAAAAATAAAAATGTTCTAAAGAAATTTGTATTAGATTGGCATGATCTTTCCTGGTTCATTTAGTAAAACTCAACTGTTAAACTAATCTCGCTAATAATTTCTTCACAGAAAAAAAATATTAATACAGCTTTGTTAATTGTGAAAATTACTTGAGTAATTTTCTGGGTTTTTCTCTCAGCTGTAGTTGCATTAATGTTTCCTTTTCATTCTTCCCATCATTTTAAAGTTTTTTTTTAAGTTCTGTGTTCTAGTTCCTTAATTTTTGTTCTTTACGTTTTTTGAGTTATTCCCAGGCCAGGTGGACTCAAAAGGGTGGAGCTGTTGCCCCAGACTTGGTGCCCACTGAGTGTAACCATGGTGGCCCGCAAGCACTGGCCGATTAGACATTCGCCACTGAACTGAGTCTCTTTGGAAGTGGCCATCAGGGCCTGTGCTGAGCTGGTTATGCCCCTATTTAAAAACAAACAAACAAAAACTGTATTCTCACAATACTGGAGGTCAGAAGTGAGAATCGGTTATCACTGGGCTAAATTTGCTGTGTCTGCAGAACTATGCTCTCCCCACAGTCTCGTGGGAAGCCCGTTCCTTACCTCTTCCAGAGTCTGGTGGCTGCCAGCATTCCCTCATTTGTGGCCACATCCCACCATTCTCGCTTCTGGGAGAACATTGCCTGTTCTTCTCCTTCGTATTGGTATGCGGGCTTTACCTCTCTTGAAACTTTGTTTGCACTTTGGTCCTGCCTGGATAGTTCAGGAATGGTTTCCTGTCTTAAGATCTTTAAAGATCTTTGGGTACAAAGACAACCCCCCCTCTCTTTTTTTTCCATATAAAGTAGCATCCCAAACTCCCACAGAATTTATAGAGAGAGAACACATTTTTCAGCCTACCACACCATTCTAGTTATAAATTACACGTGTGCTTGAGAACTTTTTCTTTTCTCTTTTTTTGTTTTTGTTTTTGCTTTTTGGGTCACACCCGGCAATGCACAGGGGTCACTCCTGGCTCTGCGCTCAGGAATTACCTCTGTCGGTGCTCAGGGGACCATATGGGATGCTGGGAATCGAACCCGGGTCGGCCGCGTGCAAGGCAATCGCCCTACCCGCTGTGCTATCGCTCTAGCCCCGAGAACTTTTTCTAATGATTACTCACAGCTCTACATTTGCTGATGACTCTTTTTAACTAACTTTTTTCTAAACGCCAGTTTGTTGGGGCTGAAGGGATAGCAGAGCAGGTAAGGCACTTGCCTTGCTTGTAGCTGACCTGAGTTAAATCCCCAGCCCTAGAACACTTCGCAGGGGTGATTTTGGAGCATAGAGCTAGGAGTCCAGCTGGATGTGGCTCCAAAACCAACCAAACAGAAACAACAAAGATGCACATTCTTAGAATCATTGTACAAGAAATAACTTACGAGATATTGATTTAATCTTACGTATTAATCTTTATGTATTAATACTAAACTAATCTTTAGCATTGTATTATATATTACTGCTAAATTAGTCTTTAGCATGTCTGGACTGCAATTACTAAGTTACAGAAATAGTCTTCATTATATCTCGTTATTTGGACCCTGCAGGTGTCTGTTGCTTTTATTCTTTTTTTGGTCCACTCATTTATTCAACAAACATTCATTGACTTTTTTAGGCACGCTGCAGAAGCTTGAGCCCAGAAATAAATAATAAGTGCAGCATGCACATACATATTGAATTGACTCATTGTTACGGATAGGCAGGGTTTTGGAGTTAATCAGTGATACATCAACTAGTGTAATGGCCTCGAAAACTGAACAAGTAGAGCAGGATAGAGAATGGCCGCCAGGACGGGGTGGGTGCTGAGGGTATGAGCATGCCCTCTGTAGGCTGAACGTCAAAGAGGCCCCAGACATTTGAACAGAGGCCTGAGGGAAGTAAGGGTGCAATCTGTAAAATTATCTGGGAGAAGGGTGTTCGGGCAGACCTCTGAGACTAGATGGTCCTTGGCCTATCTGAAGGAAATGACCAGAGAGCAACCATGGTAGCTAACGTCAGAGACGAGCACAAGGCAGGCCTTACCAGACCTCACAGCTTTGAGAAGGACTTTGGACATTTAGTTAAAGCCAAGGGGATATGATGCTAGGTTGGAGTTTTGTGGGCGTTTTTCCTAAGGCCTGTGAGGACAGTGAACCTGACCCAGGTGTATGCGTAAATAGGTACATGCGCTTAATGTGTAATTCTTCGTTCCCGTAGGTTCACGTAGTCCAGGGCATCTATGGTTACCATCATTACATGCAAGATCGGATAGATGACAATGGCTGGGGCTGTGCCTATCGGTCTCTGCAGACCATCTGCTCCTGGTTCAAACATCAGGGCTACACGGAGAGAGCCATTCCCACGCACAGGGAAATTCAGCAGGTACAAGCACGTTATCTTCGAATATATCTGACGGCCATTTTGTCTTTAGTATGCCATTAGGAATGATTACCTTATGGCAAACACTTATTTCTCTTTTGAAGGAAAAATGCTGAGAATTAGAAAAAAATCCTAACTGTAACTGATAAGCTGTCTTACATATGAATTCCCCCCACCCCCTATTTTTAAATCCACAAAGGCTCTAGTGGATGCTGGGGACAAACCCGCAACATTTGTCGGATCACGCCAATGGATCGGATCTATTGAAGTACAGCTGGTACTAAACCAGTTGATTGGCGTTACCTCAAAAATATTGTTTGTCAGGTAAGGATACTTTAAGAAATCAGGTAAATGATTCAAAGTAAGCTTGTCATCTTGTTTTTGAATAGAAATATTCTCTTTCCCCTCATTATCACTCCCATCTCTGCCCTTACATTGCCTCGTTGCTTAAAATATTCTTTTTCACCCCTAAAATATTGTTAGGGTTTTTTATAGAAGACTTTTAAGTGCATGAGTAAATTTTATTTTGTCTACTTTTATTACCTAAGGCTGATTATAACCGAGAAGAGGTAAACCTAAAGATATAGTGACTTTAGTATACAAGATGTTCTATGTTTTTAATGCTCAGGTCTTTAAAAAGTCTTAAAAGGAGAAAAGTGTTGACCTTTTTGTTTATCTCCTGCTATTTTCTTTCTCAGATATTAAAATTATGTGTTTGATTTTCCCAATATATTGTAATAGCTAATATTAAAATATGAGAAATATAAATAAGATTGTTTTCTATGATCATTTCTAGCTTAATCTTTACTTATGATCCTAGGTTTTAGAATACATTCTTTATTATAACAACTCTGATAGCTATAACAACATTTTTTATTATTACCTAAGTAGCTTGATACATCTGATGTCACCACAAAAGCCATTAGAATCTGTCAGTAAAGAAATGATAAGGGCTGGGACGATAATACAGAAGTTCAGGCACATGTGATCGACCTCCTTTGATTCCCGGCACCACATGGTCCCCTGAGCAGCACCGGGTGTGGCCCCCACAGGCCACTGAGCACTGCCAGGGTGGCCCAAGTAATCTACAGCTCGGCCAAGACGAGGAGCATATCCCCCAATATTGAACCACTGGCCTGGGTGACCTCCAGTCCCCTAAACAGTACTTTGGAGGTGCTCCTCTTCCCCCCCAAAAAAGAAAGAAGAAATGTCAATTAAGTATTAGAGCATATGGTGATTGAAAAGTAATATTCTAGACCCATTTAAACATCAGTTATATGTTCCTTATTACGCAAGAACTAAGGTTTAACATCACTGGCCCAGCCATTCTAAAAACAAAACCAACCTTCCCTTCCTCTTCCCATTGTTCTTTCTTTTCTCAAAATAACATACTGTATAAGACATTGAAATAGACCCTTGAAAACATTTTGTAGCTTTTACACTGGTGCCGTCTGTAGTATCTAGTCAGTACTAGATTATTCTGTTATGTGGACAAGTAACTGGTACTGAATGTTAAACGTAAATATGAGGAAACACACATGCATAGTCTGAAGAAAAGAAAACGAAACCCAACACTTAAAAACTCATTCTTCCTGTCATAAAAATCCATCCATGAAGAGCCCCACAGGCATCAAAGTGACCAAATTCAACCTTATGTTAAAAATCCAAGACCTCCAGTGCAGTTCCAGAGGCAAGAATCAAGGGCTTTTTCTTTCCTGGCTTATTTCGCAGTTATAAGAAGAGTAGTTATAAGCTTTAAATTCTCTGTAAATTCTCGACACTTTCGTGTTAATCTGTTGTGACTTTTTTTTAATAAGCAAAAAGAAAACAAATGTTGGCTCCCAAACTCACTATTTTACCTTAGTGTTAGAAATCATTCATCTGATAGAAAATGGTTTCTTTCTAGCCAAGGTTCTGAAATGGCCTCTCAGGGACGGGAACTGGCTAATCACTTCCAGAATGAAGGAACTCCTGTGATGATTGGTAAAGTGTTTCGGACATCTTGGACTTTTTAATATAAATAATGTCACATGAAATCCATAGTTTTTAAACACTTTGAAATTAACTTTCACACCATACAAACTGACCTCTGCATTTGTTTTTGTTTTTTCATTTCCAAAGTGGAAGGAATAGTACTCAACAGATTACAGTAATATCCCAAAGAAATAAAGGCTAAGAAGAGAAATTATCATGTTCTAGTGACTAGAGTTGAGAGTAATGTGGAAAGGCAGTGATGGGCATTCTACTGAGCTTCCTCAATCACAGCTCTGCCACTCATTTGGCTGGTTGTGTGACATTGTACACGTTGTTTTATGGGAAAAATGCAAAGACTGGATTGACTGATCAAATGCCTTGTGATCTTATCTTGTGATGACACGGGTCAGTTAAGACTTGGGTATTAGACATCAGGGTAGGCCAGTGGCAACAGAACATCACAGAGACCTAACTGAATCGGTGAGCTGAATTTCCAGAAACCCACAGAGCAGAAAAGCATGCCTAGCTGCTGGAAGAGTTACCACAGCAGTAATTGTTACCCTATTGGGAGGAATTAGTCACTTAAATTCAGTATGGGAACCAGGACCTAGCACAGTGGTTGCATGTGGGTTCAGATCCCAGCACCTGATGATTCCCGAGCATTCTTGGATATGGCTCTGGAGATGCCCAACACCACAGGGGTACACCTGTAATGCCAGGCATCTCACCCTTGGGCTGTAGCATTGAACGTATAGCCCAGCTGACCAAGAATTGCTGGTGGGGCCCCAGGCTTCCTGATCACCACTTAGAAGCCCTCCCCCCAAAACAGATAAATATAGTTGAGGTGACTCAGTGTATTTAGCAATGGAATATCAACTCTGTGATTATAGATATGATTGTGTATTTCCTGTCTTAAAACATGTTTTATCTTTTCAGAATAAATTTGGCATTATCTGTAGTCCCTGATGAACTAGTGAATTATATTGCTGTGTTACATCACATAAAGGTAAAATCTAAAACGTAAATTGAAGAAGTTGAAATTAATTATACTTTTATAATTCTTTACAGGAGGAGGAGTTTTGGCCCATACAATACTGGGAGTTGCATGGAATGAGATCACGGGGCAAATAAAGTATCTGATTCTAGATCCACATTATACAGGTGCCGAAGACCTACAGGTCATCTTGGAAAAGGTAAGTCCGCTGAACACAAATTTAAATGCAAAAGAAAGAATACTTCTTGCTAAGATAGAAAATTAACTGTAATAGAAATATGAATGGTAAGCCAAGGGCAAAGGGCCTCTTTGCAAGGAGGTATTCTGAGGCTGTGAAGAGTAACTCCAGAGAGGAGGAAAAGAGGAAACAACTAGGAATTGAAAAGACAAAAATTAGGTTTATAGATTTTTGTTGTTGTTGTACTTAATACTCTCAGAACATGAAACTGATAACTACATTCCTTTGGAGATGCAAAAACAAAAATATTAGCATTTATCAGTAACTTAGAATAGGAGAGTGGAATATATAATCTTTTATAATTTTAGAATTTATCAAAACAGCTAAGACATTATGCTGGACTTTTGGAGGCTTACCTATTTTAAATTTATTTACATATAATTGGTAATCTCATGCTATAAAATATTTTAATTTGATGCATATTTAATATTACAAGTTGACGTTATAGATAGTATTAGCTAAAGGAGCTATAAATTTATTTTAACTAATTCTCCTACGTTAACACTCAGTAATAAATCTTGGGGTGGGAGTAAGCGCCTCACCCAGCAGTGCTTAGGAGCTATCAGTAATTAATTTTGGTTTTGATTTTGGATCACACCAGTGGTGCTTAGGGCTTACTCCTGGCTCTGTGCTCAGGATTCACTATTGGAAGGACTTACGGGACCATGTGGGTGTCACGTACTGAGCCCAGGTTGGGTGCATGCAGGCAAGCCCCCTACCTCCTGTACTATCTCTCCAGCCCCTAGTAATTTTTGGTGGCAAGTGTAGGAAGACATGATGAAATTTAATTATAAATAATTTTCAGATCCTTTATCCAATATATTAAAATTGCAATGATACTACATTTTAAACCATAAAATATTTGCCTGTTTACCATTCTCCTTCATTTTGTTACATTTTCACTTGAATCAGTGCATTAATATCCTTTCTCTGAGGATCAGAGAGACAGTACAGAGATTAAATATTTGCCTTGCATGCCCTGATCCTACTTGATCCCTGGCACCAGGTCGTCAACCCCCAAAGAATGTTTGTCTTCTAAATTTTAGATTTGTGATTTAAGAAGTTACTTTTAAGTGCATTTTTTTATTCTAAAGAAATTGGACGGTTTAATATTAAAACTCTGGCGGTGCCTTTTATGAAGTACTAAGAGAAATGGACTGCCAGACAAACTATCACATGCCATTGACAGCCAGAAATATACCTATTGGAGTCCACAGATGTGGCATTTAGCATAGTAAAAGAATTTTTCCCCCTTTTTAAAAACTTGATGATCAAATACTAGAAAATTAACAGTTTAAACATCTATCTGAAATGGACCCAAATACATTATTTGTTCTGTGGTTTTGTAGGAATTCAAAGCTTTGACTTATATAGGTGTGGAGTCTGATTCCAAGATTCTGTGGCAGCCAGATTATAAAATGTTAGCTTGTCAACCCAAATAATCCTGTAGCTTTCTAAAAGGTTTTTCTTTCCCTTCTCCCAAATCTAGGGTTGGTGTGGATGGAAAGGCCCAGAGTTTTGGAACAAAGACGCCTACTATAACTTATGCCTTCCTCAGCGGCCAAATGTTATTTAGCACATCTTGAACACAAAGACTCTAGTAAAATTGTATTATAAAATTTATTAATAAAGAATAAGCTTAATTTCAAAGTAAATCTGGAGGGTAGTTTAATCATTTATTATTTTATCAATGTTGCACAGACAAAAAATATTTTTAGATATTCCTTTAATAACTTAAAAGACAAAGCTTGTACAACCAAAATGTAAGCATGTAAACACATGAATTTTTAAATGTTATCTTCACTTAGAAGAAAGTTTTTCTCCTTCTTAGAAGGCATTAGATACTCTTAGCAAGCCAAAAGCCTGAGTTTGTAGTTTAGCAGTAATCTGCAGGAAGTGAAGACTCTCTTCAGATCTCCTCATAAACCATCAAGCCATCTGTTTTTAATAAAACATTAACATTAAAAACTTACCCAAACTACAACAACCAAAACTTTAAAATGTGCCTATCAAGGGGTCATTCTTTGGAGTGGGAGGAAATGTGGGGACATTCCATGGAACGAGGTTGACTTTAGTGGTAGGAATACTGTTGGAACACTGTATGCCTAAAACTCAATTATGAATAACTACAAATCATAATTCTTTTTAGAAAAAATGAACAATTTTTTTAAATTTCAGTTTCGCTTAAAATTAAGTACCTCCACTATGCAGGACAACTTTTAGATTCTAGCAGCAATATCTATAACCCATATGAGAATGTGTTAATGAAAATGAAAAAAAATAGGCTAAAAATTAGATTGTTGGTAACTTTCACCCTAAAAATAGATCACTGAAGGAGTAGGAAAGAAAGAATGAAAAGTTACTCACCAACACTTCCTTTTCCCATTCATATTTTCTGCACTTCCCAAACTGCGTTTCTGCCTAAGAACTGGAACACAGTGATCTCGCTCACTTGATTTTATTGTCTGCATACATTTGATTATTGTAAGAAACTTGGCACATTCCGGAAATCCATACGACCAAGCAAGATCTTCAGCAGTTTGCCCATTCTTATTACATAAACTGAATATAAAAAGAGATAAGATTGAAATAAACAGTCAACAGCTATTCATTTAGTTCTTTTGTATGTTTAATATTTCCTAAAGTGGGCTTTGAACGGCTCTATTCAAAAAGAGAAGCAACAGACTAGAAGAGGTAGAGGGAAACACAGTTCTTTCTTGTTCATTATATGTACCCTCCATGGTCAGCAAAAGTCCAGCAGGATGGATGGACACTTGATTTTGTATGAAAGAGTATTGTGTTCAGTACCTGACTACCCAAAGAAAGTCAACGTGAGCTTGGATAGAATCGATTTTCCTAACCAAGATTACGGGTGATGCCACAAGGGCTGAATAGAATTGTACTTCGGACTACTTGGGATCTATCTGAGACTCAGGTATTTATGAGATGTCATTCGTAGCCCAAGTTAACATCCAAACAGGGAAACAAAGAGGTAAAAATCACATGTAACTTAGCAATAGGAGGCATAAATACAAAACCTGAAGCTACTAATGCATACTTACTTAATTTGGGCATCACCAGCTACAAGCAGGCTAAGGCATTCCAGGCTTCCAGCTTTTGCTGCCTTGTGTAGTGGGGCTTCTCCAAAGGCATCCTGAAAGGTGAGATAGCACTTGTTTAACTTTCTTCTTTTTGGAGAGGGGGACGAGGGGGGGGGGCGCAGTGTGGGGATTGAACCCACAGTGTCAGACACGCAAGGTGAGTGTTCTACCACTGAGTTACAATCCCTAGCAAAACAGCACTATCTTAAGTCTTCCCAAAATACTTTGTGGCATCTGGTGGAGGAGACCAGTCTAAAGCTAGCTTGTATTACTATAACCATGTAACCAGACTATATAATTTAATTTGCTTTTTTACAACGTTCATTTAGTATGCTTTTTTTTTTTCCATTTCGGGTCACATCTGGCAATGCACAGGGGTTACTCCTGGCTTTGCACTCAGGAATTACTCCTGACGGTACTCGAACACGGGTCGCCCACATGCAAAGCAAACGCCCTACCCACTGTACTATCGCTCCAGCCCCTAGTATGCTATTAAACACAAAGTTTACATTAATAAATGGTAGCTGCATATATTAAGTAAAATTTTATGTGAAGAAAAAGCATAATGTCAAGTATTAAAATGTACAACATAAAATGTGCCATAAATTTATATTCAACGGAAAACAAATTACCGTGAGAAAGTTCTGTAGGAAACTATTGTCATGTGTTTCAGTTGCTAGAATGAGAATTTTGTCATCAATCAGTTGTTCCTTTTGAAACAACCTGCAGCACTGTCCAGCTGTCCACTGTGTCTCCAGTAGCCCGCCTATGGCAATGAGCACTTAAAATACGACTAGTCTGAAACATACTATAAATATAAATGACTCACCAGACTGAGAAAAAAAAAGCATAAAGGAAAAGAATATGTAAAAAACAATTTGGGCTTTATATGGATTACATATTGACATGTTATGATTTCTGTTAGATTGCTAAGATTAATTTTATGTTTTCGCTTTACTGTGGATACTTAGAAACTTCAAATTACTTTGGACGTGATGGACCATGTAACAACTGAAACGACATTTGGCCTAGGAGAAATATGTGTGTGAATTTGGGCCAGCAGGAGGGTTGCACACAGCAACAGCCGGCTACCTAGTTACCTGTTGATTGAGGTCAGCGCCCATTTGCAGCTGCCAGAGGATGAAGCAAGCGAGACCCCCGCCTGCGGCTAAGTGGACTGGCGACTGCTGGTGGGGATCTGGGGGTGCATTGACCGAAGTCCCAATCTCCAGCAGATGTTTCAGATCATCCACCTGTGGGAAGAGACTCGCTCCAGCACCTCCCAGGGGTGCAAATCTCCGCCCCCCTCCCCCGATCCCCCCAAAGCCTCCAACTCACGCAGCCCCCGAGAGCTGTCCTCTCTCACCCTCGCCCTCGCTAATGCTCCCAGGAAAACCGAAGTTCCCGCTGCAGCACCCTAAGGGACCCGAGTCTCACCTCTGGGTTGCAATCGAGCAAGTGCATCTTCCACTTCGAGCAGAAGCCCGGGATCCTCGGGAGCGCAGCTCGCAGGGACACCCGCGGCTGACTCACAAGTGCATGGTCCGAGCGAGACGTGCGAGATTTTAAGGACCGCCAGGCCCCAGCTCTCGCCACGCCCAGCAAACCTGCTCCAGGCCTGCGGGACTTTTCCCCTACGGAGGCAGCAGCACGTAGGCAAACCTGCACACACACACTTGCGGGCCACAGCACCGCGAGCGAGCGGGGCAGGGGCGGTGGCGCGGGGCCGCCAGCCCATTGGCTAGCTAGAGGCGCTAGGCCCGCCCACTTAGGGGGCGGGCCTCCGGGCTAGCCTATAGGATCTCAAGGTGCAGGCGCCAGGGCAGCTGGTGGGCGGGGCGTTCGGGCGCTGAAGAATTGCGGTGATGTGGTCACGTGCCGCGCGCTGTCATTGACACGTCTCGCTCCGGCTGTCGCTGCCCCTGATTCCCCCGGGGAACGGGAGTCGCGCCGGAGGGCTTGGGTTTCTGCTTGCACGCACGTATGCAGGAAATAAAGTCTCTCTAAGCAACGTTAGTCTCCGCCCCCCGCACCCCCCCAGTGTCAGAGGACTGAGTTTCTCCTGCTAGTGCAGAAAAGCCCTGGGTTGCTGCTGGGACTCCCCAGCCCTGCCCAAGACCCCCGGAGAAGGAAGAAGGGTGAGGTGGAAGGTGGAGGGAGCGGTTGTTGTCCATCTGTTGGAATCAGACTTGTCCTCAGGGACTGCCTGGCCCTTACCCCTAAAACAAATGTACCAGGATTTTTGCTCCATGACTTGGAGGCCAGCCACACGTGCTAGGTGAAAAGGCAGCTCAGATAGAGAAGAGAGCACCGAATAAAGGGTGTTGTGAGGACCCTCCCAGGGTGGGAGAAGCATGCTAAAAGTAGTCTATAGACCAAACATGATTGCCACTCAGTGCCTCTCTTGCAAAACACAGTACCCAAAAGAAGAGAGAGAGAACAAGGGGGAATACCCTGCCACAGAGGCAGGATGGGAGGGGGGGGGAATGGGGGGTGGGGGGGATGTTGGGACCCATGGTGATGGATGACGGGCACTGGTGGAGGGATGGGCACTTGATTATTGTATAACTGAAACCCAAGCACAAAATTTGTAAGCCTATAACTGTACCTCATGGTGTTTCACTAATAAAAAAAGAAAAAAAAAAACAAATGACCCCGACCAGAACCCTTTGGGGGTCTTCAGACACGCTCTCGCGTCCTTACTGAGAAGTGCTGTGGAATCAACCAAGCTCTGGGATGTACCCACTTGCAGAGACACGGGGATGCGCTGCCCTCACAAGAACCCCGGGTTTCTGCTCTCACTAGAAAATGCAGTTGCTAGATTGCAGCCCAGAGGTGCCGCTCAGGTCTCTGTGGTGCTGCAGGTGGGAACAGAAGTTTTCCTGGGATGCTTGCAGGCAGATTGAAGCACACTTGGAGGGGCCAAGGTGAATTTTGCTGAGTCTGAGGCAGCAGAAAGAGAAGGCCACGTGGCTGCCCTCATGCTCCTGGGGGCAATTCAAGGATAAAAGTGGGGGCCTAAAAAAATGTATAGTGGAAGAGACATCTGCACTTGTTTGTTCATTCAGCACTCTTTACAATAGCCAGAAACTGGAAGAAACCTGAATGCCCAAGAACAGATGACTGGTAAAAGAAACTTTGGTACATCTACACAATGGAGTACTATGTAGCTGTTAGAAGAGATGAAGTCATGAAATTTACATACAAGTGGTACAACATGGAAAATATCATGCTAAGCGAAATGAGTCAGAAAGAGAGGGATAGACATAGAAAGATTGCATTCATCTGGGGGATATAAAGTAACAAAATAGGAGATTAATACCCAAGAATAGCTGAGATCAGCACCAGGAGGATTACTCCATAGCTTAGAGGCCAGCCGGGCATTCTAGGGGAAAGGGCAGCTCAGATAGAGAAGGGAGCACCAAATAAAGGGTGTTTGGAGGATCCTCCCAGGAGGGGAGATGCATGTCGAAAGTAGACTATGGACTGAACATGTTTGCCACTCAATGCCTCTTTTGCAGACCACAACACCCAAAAGGAGAGAGAGAACACAGGGGATTTCCCTGCCACAGAGACAGGGGAGGATGGGGGGATGGGGGTGGGTGGGATATTATCCATGGTGGTGGAAAATGGGCACTGGTGGAGGGATGGGTATCTGATCATTGTATAATCGAAACCCAAGCACAAAAAATTGTAAATCTACAACTGTACCTCATGGTGTTTCACTAATAATTTGCTCGAGCGGGCTCAGTAACGTCTCCATTGGAGACTTTGTTGTTACTGTGTCTGGCATATCGAATACTCTCGGTAGCTTGCCGGGCTCTCCGAGAGGGGCGGAGGAATCGAACTCGGGTCGGCCATGTTGGCTGTGTGCAAGGCAAACGCCCTACCCGCTGTGCTAATAATAATAAAAAAAATTAAAATTAAAAATTAAAAAAAGTGGGGGCCTAGACTCTGTACCTTCAGGATCTTGTGGAGGTACTCTTCCAAGAGTGCAGGGGTTGTACTTCTTAGCTGCCCAGAGGACACGCATTTACCCAGCACTCTGCAACCATTCCTTCCAGTAAAGCTGCAAACTGGTCTCCCCACTTAAAATCAGAGTAACTGACAGCAGGTTTTCTTTTGATTTTTCCCCACCCACCCACGAAGACCTCTTTTCAGATTAAAATCTAAAACTCCAGCCGTATATTTCTTTTCTCCAAAATCTCATGTGAGGCTCCTCTGTCTACTTTTGAGAGTAGGGTTGGCTTTATTTTTTATGTGTGTTAAAGGAGCCAGAGAGATCGTATAGTCGGTAATGGTGTCGGTGGGCCCCATGGGTGACTTATGCGAAGTGGGGAGGAGAAAGACGGTCACTTTCTCCCCACCCGCCTCTGCCACTCGGGACCCAGGGTTGCAGGGTTCTTGTCTCGCCTCGCAGAAAGGAATTTTAGGAGTAGACAAGCAGTGAAGTAAATAGATTTTATTTGGAGGATTTTTAGGTATGGAGGGAGAGAGAGGGAGAGAGAATAACGTACTCAAGAGAGAACATGGGCTTCTCCAAGGGCAGAGAGAGCCCCTACACACATCCTAGCATTAGACACGAAAGCATGAAAGTACACATCTCAAGAGGGGAGATGCGGGCGACACATGTGCTCGGCCACATGGGCGCAAGCAGCACATGGGCTCCGGCAGCATATGCGCGCCCTTCCTTTGTTCCAGGTGGCCTTTATATTATAGGGTTTCTCCAGCCTGCCCTCACGTGGGGGCCTCTGCCCAGGTAAAAGTCCGTTGCTAAGGAGGTTACCAGGGAGGTCCAAAAAGAGGAACTTCTTGGGGAGGAGGCCTAGATCCTCAGGGTCTGCAGATGGTCTTGGATGGTCTTATCAGGCCTTTGTTTTCTGTGTCCACAAGGTGGGTCATTCCTAGAATTCTTCTTCCATGAAACTTTGTTTCGTTGCAAAGTGCCTTTCCCTATCTACCTGCCTACATCAGGTAAGACGTTTGCCTTGCATGTAGCAACAAGGGTTTGACCCCCAGAGCTGCATATGGTCCCTGAACACTTCCAGGAGTGATTCCTGAGAAGAGCCAAGAGCCCTGAGCACTACCAAGTGTGCACAGCTGGGTGTAGCATAAAAACAAAAACAAAAAAAAGTGCACCGATTATGAGTTTAGAGAACAAGAGTATTGTCCTCTAAATATACATCATTTTTAGTTTTAATTTTGGTCATAGTATGTTGTTTATTTGTAATAAGAGCTCTAGTAGTTCTGCAATAAGAATGTTGTGGACATACAGTTATGAGATTCAGTTACAAAGCCTACCCAAGAGTAGTTTAAGACTACTTTTTTTATATGCACGTTTTTACATGTATAGCGTATACATTTATAATGAAACATACAAAGCATCGTGCTTGTGTTCTGTATTTTTATATTAAACCTATTTACAATGCCTGATATTTAAAGACTATCAAAGACAAGTGAGAACACTGTTCCTATTGGCCAGTTTCCATTGTCTCATGTCGGTCAATTTGGTAAGCACATTTTTTCACAGTTAAAAAGCATTATTTTCCCTTACTATAACATCATGATTTACAAAATTCTTCATAATATAGTTGTTTCAATCATTCAATATTCCAACACCAACCCTACCACCAGTGTCGTTAGGGTCCGAGCTCAGGACAGCCTCACCTGTCAAGGAAAACTCTGAGAGACCAAGTCCATGCAAAAGCAAGAGGTTTATTCGAGCATGCTCAGGCTCACAGCATGACCACAAACCGTCAGTGACTGAGAGCCCCGAGCCTCTTCAAAGGGGGCTTTTTATAGGGCATCTTCCCGCGCATTTCAGAATAAGCCCGCGCACAAACCACCCAATACATTTGAATTATCACATTAGATGCTGCACGCAGGCAGCCAGTCATTTTGCAACAAGCCATCAGCACCAGCCACTCTCTTCTGTACCTGTCACCAGGCCCTCCCAGCGGGCAGTCAATTAGGCCTTTTCATTAGGCCTTCTCCGACCTTGTGGCCTTATCTGGTGAATTCCAGGTGCAAGGAGGGGATGGGGGTACTTGGTGTTGGGCCTTGTTAGGCGGATTCCAGGACAAGGAGCTGCCTCATTAGGCCTTCTCCGGCCTTGTGGCCTTATCTGGCAAATTCCAGGTGCAAGGAGGAGATGGGGGTACTTGGTGTTGCTAGCCTGCCACAGCTGCAGGACGGGATATGGGCTGGGACTTGCTTTGCTAGGGCCCAATTGTCATGGGGCTATCTTTCAGTGTGACCTTCCCCTCCACCAATGTCCCCAGTTTTCCCCTCACCACGCAAACCTACCCTCTTTTTTTTTTTTTAATGTAGGAGTACTGCTATTTATTCAGTCATTGATTAAGCTGATTGAGTTGAGCATGAACTCCACATTACTTTTTTTATGCAGAATGGGGCTGGAGTGATAGCACGCGGTAGGGCGTTTGCCTTGCACGCAGCCAACATGGCCAAGCCGAGTTCGATTCCTCCGCCCCTCTCGGAGAGCCCGGCAAGCTACCGAGAGTCTCTCGCCCGCACGGCAGAGCCTGGCAAGCTCCCCATGACGTATTCGATATGCCAAACACAGCAGCAACCAAAGTCTCCAATGGAGACGTTACTGGGCCCGTTCGAGCAAATCGATGAACAATGGGAGGACAGGACAGGACAGGACATGCAGAGTGTTAATTTTATTTTATTATTTTTTATTATTATAATTTTAATCACCGTGAGATTCAGTTACAAAGCTTTCCTATTTGAGTTTCAGTCATACATACATCATCCAACCCTCCACCAGTGCACATCTCCCACCACCAAGAACCCCAGTATCCCCCCATCCAGCCCCTCCCCCTCCTCTATGACAGACAAACTTCCCCATAATCTCTTTTGTATTGCTTGTTATGAATAGTTTAAGATGCCACTCACCTGAAAGAGAATCTGCATGCTCCTGGAACCCCAAAATTCCAGATAATTAAGGTCTGTAGAAATCTTTGCAGCCAGCTGCTTGGTTCCAAGATTCTTTTGTGTGCCTCTGGATCCTGTCTGTTAAGGAGCTTAAGTAGCAGCTGGAGGCAGTTTGTAGGGTGACATCTAGGGTCCCCTGAGGATGGGGGGGGGGCGATGAGAAGTAGCGGCCCATCTCCTATCCCTTAAGGCCTGGAGTTTGCTCTCACTGAACCCACATACTGCAATTCTCATTGGGTTTTGGAAGTTTGTGGCCTCCAGGGTTTTTAGGGGGCAGATGGAGGGACAATGCCTGCCTCTGTCTAAGGCACCCTGGTGAAGTCAGCCTGGCTTAAAGACCAGAGGCATCTCTGTGAGCTGCTCAGTTCTGAGATTTTTTTGTGTGTCTCTGGATCATTAGGAGCTTAAGTAGCAGCTGAGGCAGTTTATGGGTGTGACCTCCAGGGTCCCATGGGGACTGGCGAGGAGAAAAACTGGCCCATCACCTATCCCTTGAGGTCTAGAGTTTGCTGTCACTGAACCCTCATACCTGCACTTCTCTTTGGCCAAAGCTAACCTCTTAGCAAGCACAAATTTTGCTTTATTTCATACTGCTTGTTGCGACAAAAAGGCAAATGGAATTATCAAAACATTGATAAATAAAAGTCACTTTGTGATAAATGTTCTGTTCACAATGGTAGATAAGCACTGTTTTTGAAGCACATAATAAAACTTCAGGTTTGTCCAGATGTTTATGGTCAGAGATTCCTAATGCAAGGTATTATTAGGGTTCTTAGCCATTCGAAACACACGTGTTGCAATTAACATATGCAATGGAATATTCGCGCATGGAATATGCCAGATATTCGTGCATCCATATTATAAACATTTTAACATGAGATTATGTTACCAAATCCAACTTCTGACGCTAGCTGCTCAAATACCAGTTAAGAGATGGGGCTATGAAAAAGAAAGTTTAAAAAAAAATTGTTCTAGTGCTTACAACCGTGGATTGGAGCTTCAACTAGATTAGTTAGAACAAAGGCACTATGGAACCATCTGAAAAGACAGCCTTGACCTGGAACTCAAAAAACTGAGCTTGACAGGAAACAAATTTTTGTTTGTTACATATAAATTTGGAGATAAGCAACTTCACAGGGATGCTCTGGCTTGTTTTATAACAATATAACTCCATTTTCCTGTTCAACATGTCTCATGACCCTAAGACAGTAGGAATGTTTTACTTTCTATCCCTAATAAATTTTTGACTTCTATTTTGATTCTGTTTCTCAGGTGTTATCAACTGGGAAAATGATGAGCAGTTTTACCCACTGAAGAATTAACTCACAAATGTACTAACTGACCTCTAGAAGTAAATCATTCTAGAAGTATATTTATAAGTCCAGTAGCACCATAATGTTTGTACAAATCAGCTTCTAAAAATCTATAAATCAAATATATATATTCACGGTCCTCCCATTGTTCATCGATTTGCTCGAGCGGGCCCAGTAACGTCTCCATCATGAGACTTGTTGTTACTGTGTTTGGCATATCGAATACGTCACTGGGAGCTTGCCAGGCTCTGCCGTGTGGGCGAGATACTCTCGGTAGCTTGCCAGGCTCTCCAAGAGGGGCAGAGGAATCGAACTCGGGTCAGCCATGTTGGCCGCTTGTAAGGCAAACGCCCTACCCTTGTGCTATCTATCGCTCTAAATCAAATATATATAAACCTAATAATGTTCATATATATATACAGATATATATATATGAACCCAGTAATAATGTTCATATTCATTTACCTTTGACTATGAAATGAAAGGACCTGGTAGCATTAACGGGCCACAGTAGATTTCCACCAGGTGGTGACAGAATGTTTGAGTTGATATTAAGATTTAAGATGAACAATTCATGTCTCTCAACTATTTTATTGGATCACATGATTATATGATAAATAGTAGAAAAATAGAATGAAAAGCCATGAGGCTCTCTTATGCAGTGCATAATGTATTTTATCAGATAGTAAAAGGCATCTTTATTTTATAAATTTTTATTGGAAATGCTTAGAACAAAGACTAATATCTGGCTTTACTTATAACTCAATAAATCTTTGCTTATATTTTATTTATTTATTTATTTGGCTTTCTGGGTCACACCTGGCGATGCACAGGGGTTACTCCTGGCTCTGCACTCAGGAGTTACTCCTGGCGGTGCTCAGGGGACCATATGGGATGCTGGGAATAGAACCCGGGTCGGCTGCGTGCAAGGCAAACGCCCTCCCCGCTGTGCTATCTCTCCAGCCCTTCTTTGCTTATACTTTAGATACTTTGCAACTCATTTCAGATCTCAGCAACAAAAACAACTGTGTGTAGTATTACACCCATAAATCAGATTATGAATTTAAATGATGTCTAATTTGTCAATGGTTTGAAGCTCGTCACAGGTGGGGGTGACGGGCAAAGGGCAGTATGACAATAGTAGTTGGAAATGATCACTCTGTACAAGAATTGAGTGTTGAAAGTAGACAAAAAGGTATACATGATAACCTTTCGGTATAGGTATTGCTAACCCTGGTGCCCAAAAGGAAAGTAAGACAGACAGACAAAGAGAAGAAAAGTGCTTGTCACAGAAGCTGGGAGGAAACGGAGGACATTGGTGCTGGGAAATGTACATTGGTAAAGAGTGGGTGTTAGAACATTGTATGACTGAAACCCAATCATGAACAACCTTGTAACTGTGTGTCTGTTTTTCAATTAAAAAAAATTAATAAAAAATTTTATAACAATTAACTGATGAAATTCCTTATTGCTGTTTTTTTCTTAGCCATTTTTTTTCTTAGTCATTTTGGATATATTCAGTATACTTGGTTAATGTCATCCATTAAAAATCTTCTATATTCAGTGGATTGAGGTGGATTTATATATATATACATATATATATATAGTTTTTGACAAACTGATAGTGCGCTGTATATCATCTTATTTGTATTTTTTTCTAAGTATCATTTCATATTTCCTTACCTAAGGCTTATTGGAAATTTTTATATTCAACCATAAAAATCATATAATGTTTGAAAAGCTTGGAATCCTATAATCAAAAACATTATAAATCCAAGAACATTTTGAAATCTTTCAGCTCAAACTTCTTAGTCCACGTTACAGATGAGGAAGATGACTCTTAAAAAGATGAAATAACTCTTCCACAATCACATATACATCAGAAATTCTTCCCTAATATGCCAAAGGAACTTCCTTCTCATTTCACTCATATTAATAAAGCATTCACTATCTAAAATATTAACATATAAATGTATAACTGTAGCTGTCCAATTACACGAATGGACTCGAGTTCTTTTCACCACTAAACAGAAAGAACCTTTATTGAAGGCTTCCTCCTGATTGGTGAAAAGAAGCTATTGCAGTAGAATACCAAGGAATAAACAGAAAAGCATAGCAACAACTGGATTCTGCTGTCTCACTACCAAACACCAACTTAATTCATTTAACTCTAATGGGGTGGTATCTACATTTGACCTGAAGCTTCTGATATTCCATTTGACTGTGATCGGACTTACAACATGGAAATCCACTACTGATGGGAAGATGAAACTGAACACCGCTAAAATAAAGTGTATTTCCAGCTAAAACAGACAAGTATTTTCATTTGAAAATGAATGTCAGACAAGCGGCAATTACAAGGAAACTGGAAAGTACCAGAACATAATAATTATATCGGTGTCAACACTTCCTTGTAGCGATAGTAGCTGTGGTGTGTGACATAACTCACTACAGCATGTGAAAACCACATAGCCAGAAGACTTGCAACCAAGTCTCATCGTTAATCCCATGCTATGGCAACAGACATGAAAGATAGTTGTACTTCTGACAGTCATGGAGGGACCTAATTTCTTAAGGAAGAACCTTCAAATCCTACAATTTGATAGTGTGGTGCTCTATTCCTAGACAGGCGAGAGACACTTTTTTTTTTTTTAATAATGAATGCCGTGTGAGATTAAAGCCTCTTTCTACATTTCCCTGGAGAAAGATATTTCTACCATCTTATTCTTTTTTTATTCTTTACAGCATACAAATTACGAAGATAGAATGAAGCTGACTAGCGAAAGGATGCCCAACAACTCTTCTAGTTTCTCTCTATCCCAACAGATCACGGAGAAGAATGGTACATCATTTTCACTGTATGTTAACTAAGTTTGCCAGAGTCGAAGAGATGAGAAAAATGACTTATTGATGCCAAGGGGATGGTTAATTTTCAGTCTTTACTAGTTTTTCTGTAAGAATCAACTGATTCTGACTTTACTCTCAGCACTCAAAAATATCTTTCTAAAAAATGTAAGTCAGGTATTAGATCCACTAAAGAGATTAAAGTTATGCTTTACTTGAAAGTGACATTTAATTCTACTGTGGTTTTAATAGACTTTAAAAATCAACATTGACAGTAATTGACTTTTTTGGCCAGGGTAGTTCTAATTAAGGCCTACTAATAAAGCATTTCACTCATCATACAGCAGTTTTTCACCCAAACTGCAATTGGCTGCATTGCTGGAGCTCCGGCCAGGCAGAAATCATAGTTCAATAGAAAATCATCAAATATTTCTTGATTATACAAGAGGCAAGTGATGTGACAATACTTTTTTTCCCAAGATAATACCTTTTCTTTAAACTAAGAAGGTCAATTTAGGAATGAGAATTAAGAATAACTTATTAATAGTGATCTATGAATCCTGTATTATCTATTACTTCAACAGATAAAATTAATGTTGTGTGATTTTAGAATTCTTTGTCTTTTTAAAAATCAGATCATTACCGTCATGCTGATTTGGTGCAAAAAGCATTGACAATCTTGCAGAAAAGAATACTGAATGGGGATGCTATGGCATATTTCTTACGAGGTCAATTATATTTTGAAGAGGTATAGTTTTTATTTTTATTTTCTATAACATTATTATTCACTCCCCATAACAAAATTGCCATTAATATTTCTTATATTGCTATGCGAAGGAAATGATCTCAAATACTTTAGATGATGGTTATGATTTTAGCTATGACTTTGGCACCAACTAAGAGAGGTCTGACTTTTCTCACCAAAACCATTCTAATAAATGTTATTAATGAGAGTCATTGCATATCCTGGAAAGTAGATGTTAGAAGAACTATGTGAACTATTATTCCAACTTCACTATAATACATCTTAATTTTTCACTTAATTCCAAAGAAACATGAGAGAAAAGACCATCTCTTCCAATTCCTCACCACCTGTTGAGTATTCGAAAAGAGTTTCATCTTTACCCCAACTTACCCTCTAGTCTTTTGATATCTTCACTCATACGGGCAACAATACACGATGAGTAACCATCATACACCTTATCATCATGAGGGTAACATAGCATAGCAGTTAAGAGAATGACCTCGCAGCTTTGGGCATAAGTTCAAATTTGGTCCTCTTGCTTATGAATGTATATTCTTGAACACAAATGCCTAACCTCTTGATGCTTCCCTCATTTTCTTCACCTGAAAAGGGGTGTGAATAATGTGGTTTTATAGAGCTATTGTGGGTGTTTGTTTTTGTAAAAGTACTCACTAGTAGGATCTGGTTTCTCATGTTTTCTAAGTGTTTGCTGTTATGCTAGGGATTGACATAGTGATGAGGACATTAGGATAGTTCCAATTTCATAAAGCTTCCAGTTATTCTAGTAGGGGAAGATAATAACTTCCCCTACTAGAATTTTACTAGAAATTACTATAAGCACAATAAATTGGCACTGTGATTAATAAAAGCTTGGGAATAGGTTGGAAAGAACTGGTGATGAAACTAATATTTGAAAGAAACGGGACAGATAATGCAAACAGCTAAGGGGAAGTGGGTGGCAGGTAAAGGTGAGAAAGGACACAATATTCCAGGAAGAAAGCTTAGCAAATTCCAGAGATTCAGAGAACTCATGTGGAAATAAGCAAAAGAGATAATGACTCTAAGAGGAGCTTTAGACAAAATGTAGTAGTAAGAAGTCCTTGAAGTGGTAATGAATTGATTAGAGATAAATATGGAGACAAGAGGGTATTAGCAGGAAGTTACATTAGTTTGGGCAAGAGAGGAAGTCGTCTCAACCAGAGTAGCAGTAGAGCAGAGAACTGAATTTATTTTGGAGACACAAACAATAATATCCTGGACTTAATTAGTGGGGAGGAATGTATTTTGAGGGGATGATTAAGAGTTCAATTTTTAAGACATAATGCTTGGGATGTCCACTAGTCAGCCAATTAGAAGTGTTTCAAAGTAAAAGTTTGTTTCTAAGAGTCTAGATCTCACAGGAGATCTAGGTCTGGGATGAAAGTGCATACTTGATATCTTCCAGAGTGTGTATGTTACTTAAAATCATAAAAACTAAAATGAAAACAAAATTAAAGTCATGAGAACTAAAATGACTTCCCCTTTCTCTTCCTTTGTACATTGTATTCTAACCTTTCTAGCCCTCTCACACACTGTCTAGAAAAGAGTATGAAGCTCAGGCATTTACTCATTGTTATGTGTTCTTTGTTAGTATTTTGATATTTTATAAGTTAAATTATAGTATTTAGGAAGAGAAAAATCAACTTTTTTGGTTTTTGTTGTATTTCTCTCTTCTGTACTTTCAAATAATGATCTCTTTCCACCATGCATACTTTAGTGTGACATTTTTCATGATGGATTAAGATAAAGGTCCCATATTAGAACGTACATCTTTGCATATTTTTATCAGATTAACTATTGACATTTAGCTGATTGGTATTTAACACATATAAGTCTCGATAGGACCTGTGGGGTAATTCTAGAGAATTGCACCTTGTTTTTCTGTTTTTTTCTCTAGCTAGACACTTGTGAAATTGGAGGACATAAACCAAGATAGCAGTAGATATTTAATAATAGTGTAAATCCTGATGTTCACATTTTCTTTGGGACTTTGATCCAAGCTCTACAGTTTCTCACACAAGGAGAATAATGTGTCAGGCTAGCTGAGCTTAGGGAGATAATAGAAATGAAAGTTGAAGTACCTACTCCACACTTTTCCTTGCCATTTCCCTCAGCTGCCATATTTAGACTTATCAAATTGATTTCACAGTGTATTGATTGCTAACTGTGATCATCTTGTGAATTCCATAAATATGTTGCTGTCATATTTTATTTTACGTGATCCTACTAGATATGACTTAGATAGCAACTAGCTATCTTAGATTACTTTGAGATCATAATAACTATAAACCAGTCTTTTCTGGGGTCTTATAGGGATGGTATGAAGAAGCATTAGAACAATTCGAAGAAATCAAGGAAACTAATCATCAAGCAATATACCAGCTAGGAGTAATGTATTATGATGGGCTGGGGACAGATGCAGAACCTGTAAGTTGTTGTTTTATTCCAAAAATATAAGATTTTATTATTAATAACATTATTTGATATACTTAAATTATTTATATTTTAATAATATATTATTGTATTTCAAGACTAGCTAAACATTTAGCATCTTAAAAGACAATAGTAGAAATTGTTACATTTATATAAAAATATTCTTTTGTCCCTTTTCTTGCTACCATTATCTACCACAACTGTGTGCTTTAAAACAAGGGTTGGAGCAATAGTACAGTGGATAGGGTGTTTGCCTTGCATGTGGCTGACCGGGGTTTGATCCCCAGCATCCCATATGGTCCCCCAAGCACTGCCAGGAAGAATTCCCGAGTGCTAATCCAGGAGTAACCCCTGAGCATCGCTGAGTGTGACCCAAAAAGCAAAAAAAAAAAAGTATTTCTGACTTTGGGGCTGGAGTGAGAGTATAGCTTGCAGGGCACCTGCCTTGCCCGATGCTGAGTTGGGTTCAATTCCAGGCACCCTACATCCCATACCTGAGAACCGCCAGGAATAATGCCTGAGTGCAGAGCCACCGGTAACCCCTGAGAATCACTAGGTGTGGCCCAAAAATCAAAAAGAGAAAAAAACCAAACCCCAAAAATAACCAGTGAACTAAACCAACAAACAAAAAGTTTGAATGATTACTTCAAAACTACCAGCACAGGCGCTGGAGCAATAGCACAACGGGTAGGGCGTTTGCCTGCACGCAGCCGACCTGGGTTCGATTCCCAGCATCCCATATGGTCCCCCGAGCACCACCAGGAGTTATTCCTGAGTGCATGAATCAGGAGTAACTCATGTGCATCTCTGGGTGTGACCCAAAAAGAAAAAAAGAAACCTACAAGCACATGGCCAAAAGTTATATAATAAAATATAGAATAGAGTAACTTCAATCAAATATAAAAAATGTTATTTTTGAGACCATTCCTCTGTCTATTGCTCTATACAAAAAAGGAATACGTGCATATGTGTGTTTGTGCGTGTGCATGTGCATGTATGTGTGTGTGGTGTGTGTGTGTGTGTGAGAGAGAGAGAGAAAGAGAGAGAGAGAACTCATTTAGGACTCAATTACTTGGACATGTTTGGAGATAAAAGAAAGACTACACTATGATATTTAGATATGAGTATTATAAATTTCTTTATATGATTTTTATTCTTTTTTGAATTCAGGTTCCAAAGAAATTTTGTGCATCATCAAATAAAAATTGAGAACTCAAAAAATCAGATATTTATTTCGATTCTGTGTTTACTAGAATAATTTTCGTATTATGGTGGTCTATTAAAAACTCCAAAATATGTCATCACAGAACATCAATCCAAAAAAGTAATTTCAAAATAAGAAAATGTCAGAAGCTTTCAAATTTGGACCTCACTACTTTATGAGCAGTATGATGTTAGGAAAATTACTAGTTTGCACATTTATTTCTACCTTTGTATAATGAGGATAAGTAAAACTAAGTCATGGTGATTCAAGTAAAAATTTTTTCAGAAACTAAGTTAGACTTACAGCTGCACTTCCTCCCTCTCCCCATTGGCCATGGCTGATTTGGTCCATTACTCTGGCTCTTCAGGGCTGCCACCAAACATTGCTCAGAACTTTTTCTCATACAATGCTTTAAGGTTATATTACCAATTCAATTTTTTTGGATGAAAATACAAAAGAAAACTAATGTAACTCAACTTTGCTGTTATTAGGCTGAACAACATATAAGAGTAATCTAATGCAGAGGTTATATAGGAAGTATCCAACAAGTGTTCTCTGGGGCTGGAGCGTTAGCGCAGTGGGTAGGGCATTTGCCTTGTACGCGGCCGACTCAAGTTTAGTTCCCAGCAACCCATATGGTCCCCAGAGTCTCACCAGGAGTAATTCCTGAGTGCATGAGCCAGGAGTAACCCCTGCACATAGCCGGGTGTGACCCAAAAAGCAAAGCAAACTAACAAAAAAGTGTTTTCTTTCCTAACTCTGGGATTATACTCTTAATCCCTGAAATTCTTGATTTTTTGCTGTTTTGTAATCATGGAATCCTATAATGAACTGAATAAATAATGACAATAAATATCTGTATTGAATATAAGATATTTTATTAATTTCATTTATAATTCAGCTTGTTAAAGTTTAGTAGCATATAGAACCAATGACTACCCTGCCTTATCCAAATTTAATACAGTTGACTCACTCTCACTGAAATAGCCTCCTCTTCAGCATTTAAGATGCCCTGGTTTTATCAAATTCTCTCATATTTCATATGTGTCTTTCTATGATCTTCTCTGTGATTGTTTTTAAAATTTCTGTAAGCCCTATCTTAGTCACCTTTACCTGGTTCTCCTCATTCTAAATATTGGTATATGTGATAATCTAGGCCCCCCCCCCTTTCTGCATGGCACACTTCTGCTCCTCTTACTCTGTATAACCTCGTTTAATCCCATGAACATTACTTTTAGAATTATTTTCTCTGAGAGCTTTTATGGGGCATAGTATCCAAATGCCTTTAATGTACCCAACCTTTAATTCTCTTCATGAATCTTAAGAATCATCTTCATTAGCTCTTGCTTGATTTCTTTCTCCCTCCTTGTAATGGAAGCTACACAAACCGGGGTCTTTCGTTGTGAGTCTCACTGACTGACTGACAAATAACCAAGACACTTGCAATAATGTCAGACTCACAGAAAAGTCTTAACAAATGTTTCTTGACTAGTCTTGTGAGCCCCTGCTAGCAACCCTGTTTTGGCTCTCATCTCAAGGGGATTTTTCTCAGAGGACTTTTCAAGAGAAATAGCATATTTATCCAAGAAAAGTCATGATGGCAACTATTAAGATAATAAAAGATTTCCCCTATTGCAAAATCAATAATACATTTAAAGGATAAGATTTCATGATCAAGGTAAGGTTTAACCCAGAAACTTAATAATTCAGTGTAAAAAAATCTATGAATAACCTAATTTAATAGTTTGAATAAAGGAAACCACAAAATGGTTTTGTATGTATTCAAAAGGACTATGGAAAACTCAATATTAATTATAATAAAAAATATGTATTTTTAAAAAAAAGCACAATGAAGAATGGTTTCTTAAAACTTAGGAATAACCTCTTAAAAAGTCCAATTGCAAAGCCTTTTCACATACAGAAACAAAAATCTTTTCCACCTTCACACTGATTCACTCAAACTGTCTTCTGAACACCTTTCAAACCTGGTCCAGCTCTTTCTTTCTCATTCCCTTTGTTCCAGCAGTTGAAGCTCATAGTGTCACTTACCTTAATTATAACAAAAATACCTTAATTATAATAAAAACAGAACCTCCAACTTCTGCCCTTGTCTCCAAATTCATCATTCAAACTGTTCCCCAAACCTTATCTTTCAAAAATATTAGTCTGATAATATTTCATCCATCTTTAAATATGTTCCAAGACTTTTATGTTGAAAGTAAAAAGAAAGGCATATCATTCGCATGTTTCTGTGGCCACCTAGCTAGGTGGTTACCAAAAGACCATATAAAATAATATTTACTTAGTAAATTCTTCAATGTCCAGACAGATGACTGCCATTTTGAAATTTTCCCCAAACTCCAAGTTTGCTCTCTTTCCCTAATCACTGCTGTAAGGATCCTTCACCAGGCTAATGAAAATAATTTACTGTGAATTTATCTGAACTTTACACTAGAATCTAAGTTTGGAACGTTGAGTTCCTTTGGTCCCACTCATACTCAGAGCTGTGACATGTTTGGTTATCACACAGTTTATGCCTCTCTAGTCACCTGCCTCCCCATACATTCTGTTTCTATTGCTGTGTATTTCCTCTTCATCTCCCACTGATTACTTTTCTTCTGAACTTTGCAGCTGACAGGGAAAGTCCCTACATCCTAAGTTTTTTCCCAGACTACTTCCTTCATGTCTTTGCTTTATTAAAAACTTAGTTTTCCACAAACCACTCTTTGTTTTTTCAATTTTAATATATTTTATTTTCATAAAAGGAGTTCACAGTAGTTCATTACAGATAATATTCAAACACCATTCCCATCACCGAGCACCTTCCCACCACAATAAGAGGTAAGTGTATAAAGATTATTGTATTTCATTCTGGAGCCATTTAACCCTATAGATAACAGAATACATGCAAGTAATTTAAACCCAAACAAATGTGTGCTACTTTTGTAAGTACGTGAGACAGAGTAAAATTCTGCATCGCTCTCTTCTGGGAGCTTTAATGTATAGTCTTTGGGTCTTGGCCATTGATAAGATTACTTGGTACCCGGGGCAGTTTGTGGGTGTGACTGCGAAGCTACTGGAGAACTGGGGAGCTGGGGGGAAGAGGCCCAGCCCCAATCCGAGCGGACTTGGGGATCTCAGTCATGGGTTGCTGCATTGGAATGCTTTCCGCCCCAGATCCCAATATATTATGATCTTCGAAACTGGAGCCGATTTTATTTCCATATTCCAATTCATTTTCCTGCCAGTCTTTCTCCAAGTGCAAAGTCCTATTTTGAAATTGCTATTTCACTCCTGTCAATGACCTGGTCATTTGTTCATGCCTCAACATTAATCTGAAGGCTTTGACTCCGGGATTACAATTTTCTTTTCCAGGTTATCTGGACATTTTCCTCTGTCATTTCAACGATGTTTTTTCCCCTCTGGACATTTTATCTGTCATTTCAACGATGTTTTTTCCCCTCATGAGTGTAGGCGTTTGTCAATATCTTATTATTCTTCAAAAACAAAGCACCTACTGGTTTCTTGACCTTTTGCATTGCTATCTGATTTCAATGTCGTTGATTCCTGCTCTGTTTTGATTGTTTCCTTCCTTCTGCTTTGAGATTCATTTTCTTTTCTTTTTCTGGCTTCATAAGCAGTGGGGTTCTTATTGATTTGAGTATTTTTGTCTAATTTTGTATTGTTATGAACTAGCAGTGCTAAGTAATAATAGCTGTAATAACTTTTCAGTTTCTTAGATATAACAAAACTTAAATGTATGATAACATTTCAACTTCTGCCCCCTTAG